TTTAACACTGTTCACTAGTGACATGTGGTTCACAATACTCACTATCTACACTACCAGGCAAAAGTCTGTGCACACTTCATTTATTTTTCGTCTTTATTTCCATGATTATTTGCATTGTAGATTCTCACTGAAGGTATCAAAACTCATTCATAGTTTTGATGCCTTCAGTGAGTTACATATGAAATATAAACTAAAACAAACTCACAACTTGTTTTAGATTTTGTAAAATATCCTTTTCTTTTTGCTTTGATCACTGCTTTGCACTTTTGGTATTTCTTGACCCTGACTAGGCCAAGGGTTTGCACTGCACTGTCAACAAAGCAAAGGGTGGCTACTTTGAGAATTTGAATAGAAAATGAATAGAATGTAAAGTATTTAATTGACTTTTTAAACTTTTTTCTTTGCTACATAACTCCATATATCTTGCATTATATATTTGATGTATTCCCTTTTAATATATGATGTACAAAGTAAACATAAAGAAAAAAATACACTGAATGAGGGTGTGTGACCAAACTTTTGTTTGTAAAGAGTTTTGATACAAGTTTTAGTATTGACTATTATCTGAACATTAATTTGTGGATAACCCCTGGTAGTACTACAGTATCAAACCCCCAGAGAAAAACAAAATGATATGAATTCTGAATCCTAGTATAGATAGTATCTTGGTTCAAAGGTTCCATATATGATACAAAGAACTATAGTTTTTCATACTCAATATTAGTTTTTGTCTTTTTTTGTATTAAACCTGTGTAATAACATTTAGGTTGTAGTTGGCTGAATAATAAACACAATAGATACTCAAACTGACTAAAGTGTTTTGACACTTTCAAAACAGTTTACTGGGATTATCCTGAGTTTGGGTCAGTGGTCCAAAGTTTTTTCAACATTATCATTTATCAAGACTTTTTTTTCTGTAGAAATATTGTATATATACAGTATATATTGTTCTTCAAAATATATTATTGTATCTTAGATTTTACTTAAAAATTCCCTTAGTAACATCTAACCTATACCTATATACAATACACTGCACTGTGTAAGTTTTCTGCCATCTGCTTGTCTTCATCATGATGTTTCACAGTGTGGCATTAAACTTATGCATCGCCATAAAGACCAATACAGTATGCGACACCACCAGGCCAAGCTACAGGTCAGGTCTGTGAAGAGGGAGCCCATGCCAAATACAGATGCGTGCTTTTCAAAGTATTTCTGAGCAATAAAAACATCTGTAATTAAATCAATGCAAGAGATAGTTGACTTTATTCCCATACTCTAGAACATTCTGGGCAAAGCTATATCTTCTCACGAGACAATCAATTGACTAGCCCTCCACCAGAAAAGTTACATAATGTACCTTTAACTGTATTGTTTCAAAGCACTACAAGATTCAGCTTTAACACTGCACAAAAAAGATGCAATTGTCAAACTCAGCAAATATTTAAACAATAGAAACCACTGCGCTTCTCCAATACTTCAACTTTCCACTTTGCCTGCGTACTTTTCAAACTCAGCTTTTATTTTTGCTTACTACTTTCATCTCATGAGCCTGTAAAAGCAGCTACGCACTACCTGAAGCACTCTACATGATAACTATATTTCTCTTCATTTTCCTACACGCCTTATTTTGAGCATCTGTTTGTCTTACCCACTAACGCTGCGCAGCCTTGTCAGCAACCACCTCATCGAAATAAGAAAACTAGTCTCGCGAGGGTCATAAAACAATGCACTCTGCTCAATAAAACCCGCCCCGAAATCCCCAGATGTAGAAACAATGGCCCCAGCGGCTCCTGTGCGTAATATTGATTGATGAAATTGTTCAGTGGTTGTACTTATTCACACTGTGGCCCCTAATACCGCTAGAGTAATCACATCTCGCCTTGTGCATGTTGTGGCCCTAAATGTAGCTGACTCTGCAACTGTGCCAGTGTGACAAATCAGGGCAAGCACAACACATGGCTAATATGGCGGTACTGCAGCTGGATTGGATTCTGGGCGGGTTGTTTTTGTTGTTTTGCAGTGAGTAAAGCACTAGTCTAGTCTAGTACAGTGGTTTTCAGGTCTTCTTCTGCAATTTTAAAGGTGCATTGTGTAACTTTTCTGGTGAAGATGTTATTGCTTTGTCTGGAATGTTTCACAGTATGGAATTAGGAGACAAAGCCAGACCAAGTTACAGGTCAGATCTGTGGAGAGGCGACCCCGCTCACAGTCGGAATACAGGTATTTTTTTACATTTTTTACATTTCTAGGTATTTTTGAGCTATAAAACTATTAAATTTTAGAGCTCTTGAATATCATACTGTGGAAAATTCCAGACAGAGCAATGACATATGCATAGAAACAAGCAGGTGACGGACCCTCCACCAGAAAAGTTACATGATGCACCTTTAATGCATTTTAAAGGTCCTATATTATGCAAAATTGATTCTTGTGAGCTTTAAGCCATGTTGTTGTTACCTTGTTAAAAACATACCCATTGTGTTTTGTTTCATTCACACATGTTTGAGTAATCCTTTTTTATTCCTTTGTCTGTACCTTCATGGCTCAGAATGCTGTGTTCCACCTAATGATGTCATGAAAAGTTACTTAACAGCTAACAGCTACATTTTACCCTTTTGTTCAATAGAGACTGGCAACTCCAGAGCCAAAATTATCCAAATGATTCTAGTGAAGGTGTATGGAGTTAAAACACAGTGGAGCTCTTCCTGTATTACCACATGACATCACAAAGTGGAACAGAGTGTTTTCTGCTTGAGAAAAGAACTCTAAATATGCAGGATTTGTGCACTAAATGTGTGAATGAAACAGTACACAACTCCAAGTATGTTTGGATGAGGAAACTACATTAAAACATATAATAATATGGGCCCTTTAAATATGTAGTCTATTTGGATAAAGCTTTAACATATTTTTGGGATAGAAACTTGAGTAGGGAGCATGATTTAATTTGAACTGTTAGCCCCGCCCACTCTTGGGGAGAGTCATGCATGAGACGCCACATTAGTCAAAAGACAAATGCAGCCTACTTTTTATTTTTCTTTTATTTATTCAGCTCCTACAGGATCAAATATTCAGTATACATTGCAGTCAGTGCAATAATAGGTTGCAAGAGTGCTTATTGCACTCTTCAGCTGTCTAATGTATCCTAAGTAACATGTATTTTTTGTAGAACATGATCACCATCGCACGCCTGTCTGTGCCCAGCTGGGATATTTTGTGTAGTTTAGAGGGCAGTCAGCAGAATCAGGAGCAGTACAAATCCAGGCAGTGGACTAATTGTATCTTAAAGACTTGGCAGAAGCCCTCCTCCCACTGATGGGTTCAGTCATCAGGGCTAAATTACAATATGGATTTACTGTTGCCCAAGTTGTTATCTAAATCATTCACAAATAAATTAAGATTAATACTTGCACAAGTAACACATGCATGTTTTTACAGGACTGCCATGCTGACACAGAGACAACTCTCTCTATTGATTTGTATTCAACAAGAGGTGGGTGACATGACCTCAGATCAATAACACAATAATTGAACAATTTACCTGGATTTAGATAGAAAAGCTTCTGTGTAGAAGTCTACATAAAACTGAGTTCCACACTTTACTATTCTGTTTACTTTATCAAATAAATGTTTTACAAATCTAAAAACTTACTTCACACTATGTGTGAAAGATAGAACATGTATATACAATTACAACACCATGCAATTCTAGTGGGTGGTCCACCAGCTGCTTGTTTCCATAGACATGGTATCACTTTCCCTTAAATTTTCCACAGTATGGCATTTAAATTCAATCTTGCATTTATCATATTACAAGTTTGTTGTTGTTTTTTTTAATCAAATGGAAGCACATTCATTCTTTCCACAGATCTGACCTTTAACTTGGGACAGTGATAGTAGCTGCCTATCTTCATGGACATGCAGGCCTAAACCAAAGTTCAATGCTTTACTGCCAAACATTCCGGGGAAAGCAACGATAAAGTGGAAAGAAGCAGGTGATGGACCTGCAAGTTACGTACTGCACCTTTAGATCAGATCTAGGTTTTATGCTTTCCCTTCCTATATCCACAGAAGGCTATTAACATGAGAGAGAGAGAGAGAGAGAGAGAGAGAGAGAGAGAGAGAGAGAGAGAGAGAGAGAGAGAGAGATTTAGGGTTAGGTTTTTTCTTCAATCTAAGCTAAGAAATATGTAATAAAAAAATAACAGTCTAACTAAAAAATATGAAAAAAGTGTCTTTTCATTCATGATTTGATACAGTCACATCTTTGTTGTGCGTCCTACAGCTTTTATGATTATGCTTCATGCTGATCTCGCGGGCACCACCCTGGCCGTCTCCATGGTGATGTAGTTTCCCAGGTTGCTTTGCGGCTCATCGCGCGTCGATTTATTGCCGTCCGGACCCTCCGGAGGGAGAAAAAATGAATTTGTGCGGTGTTTATGTGGAGTGTCGGCGGGTTAAACGGCACGAAATGTGCACGAAAGCTCCAGGAGAAGTGACTGTTAATGGTTTTTCGCTTAAAAAAATAAACGAGGCTGATACTGCACCGCTTAAAACAAGATGGTGCGCTCGTTTACTTAGTCAACATTCATTTTAATGAGAAAAGTGCGCTCACATGCTAAATTTTGGTCAATAAACCTCACGTAAAGTCTTTAATACCTCTCAAGTAATGGAAATTGATTCCATTTAGTTTAACTTTATGATCTGCTATCCAACCCTCCTCTTCCCTGAGCTGCAGGTGCAGGTACAGTGGAGTACGGGGGTTATTACCTCGGTTTATCTGCGTGCTCGTCTATCAGCAATAAAACCAACGCACGGTCAGACATGGAGCATCTGATTTACTAATGTTACTCACCTTTGGACGCATGGTCTTTATCCTCTTTAGATTTTATTTTCCCGCTCATGGAGCTCCTGCGCTTCCTCCAGCTGCTCAGATCAAAACTTCAGGTGAGAAATGCGGGCTTCACTTTCTCATCCTCCTCTTGTGTCTCTCTGCCCAGCGCTGGGAGCTCTGTGGCAGCAGTCCAACTCTCCGTGCGTCCCTGGGTCTGTGGCGCGCCTCCTCCTCCTCTACTCTATTGAACAACCCCGCTTCGAGCGACTGGGATCCGACCGGTGCGTTAAGGTTGTCACCGATACTGTAGCTCCTATAGGAAGGATGGGACCACGTGCACCCGCCACGGGCACGCGCACACAGACAAAGAGAGGTGGCACATGTGCACAGACGTGGACCAACACAAGTAAGAAACAAAGCAGTGTTATATTTATACAGTCATGGTCTGTTGAACGGTTATAGGTCAATTTAATGAGAAACAAAACATCAGATAGAATTAAAAGATTGCTGAATAAGCACATACCCTCTTTGTGGATCAGAACAAGGAAAATTTATTCAGTCTTGAATGAGAAATGAGAGAAAATTGGAACACAGTCTCAAGGAATAACAATAAAATGCTTTAATGTAAACATTCTGGAAATGTGTTTTGATAGAACTGTTTTCATTTTAAATAAGATATCTTTGCCACTAAAAACAACTTATTTTGTCTTTTGTCCGGTCTTTAAAAGTTACCATAAACAGAGGAAAGAATAATATTTAAGTGTTTCCAAACTTGTGATGTTGTTGGAGCATATTGCCTTGTGTCAGTCATCATCTCTTCTATGGTAATACATTGGTGTCCCGAGAGGTACTGCAGAAACTTACACTGCAGTAAATAAAACCTGAGAGAGGGTCATATATATACAGTATATATATAAGTCCAAGAAGAATAGATACCGCTTATTCTGCAGTTTTGCCCCAGTATTTACTGAACAAAACATTAAAAGAATGTGACCAAACTTAGTCTCTCCTGTTCCAATCATAAAATTTATTTTGGTGCAGTGAACAAATAAAGAAACACCTTCTAAGGTCCAACTTTATTTGAACTCCAGTAGTGTCCGATCAAAATATTAGTTTATCTCCTACACAAGTTTTAATACAGCATTGGAATCGATAGGGCTCAGACAATTTTACATCAAATCACTCAATTAAAATAGTAGTTGGCCAGTGCTAAACCCATGTTAAAATATAAGTTGACATGCAGGCAGACAGCACAAAAACTTGAAATTTAAGGAGACATAGTATGCAGAATCATTACTGTTAAAAGTTATAATTGTTCTCCTTTCTCATTTACCCCCTCAATGTTGTATTTAGAGTGATTCATGCATTTTTGAGTAATATTTATTGTTTTGTAATCAAGGCGTCATCACTCTGAAAAGTCCCAGTTTCCCCTGCCACTTTTTTCCCTAATCTGTAGTACATGCTATATGATGATATTATTTTGCCTTCATCAATCTTTTGGACACTCATCTTTTATACTGTTCCTCACTGACTTAACAAAGGTCAACATATTCACAAGGTTGTCCACAGCACATACGTGTAGATGCAAAGTCAGCGATCTCAAGCTATGCAAATGAACTTGTATTGATCAATTAGTCAATCCAAGCTGAAAAACGCCTTTTTATTCCGCTGGAGGGGACATCCTTATTTCATGATCAAAATGTGTAGTGGCAAGATCTTGGTTTTAAATGGATTTTGAATCGTGTGAGTAGCTTTGCCATTTCAAATCATAATTTTCTAATTTCCAGCTCCATTACGTATGATTTGATTTCACAAACGGGAAGTTAGCTCATCACAGATACATTTTGTATTTGCCTCTGACATGCATTAAGGCGTACGATTTATTGTCCTCATAGGGAAATTAGTTCTTTGTGTTTGACCCATCCTTTTCCACCACTATCAACAACAACAGAAAAGTTACGTAGTGAACCTTTACAAAAGAGAAGACAAACCAAATAAATTGTATACTTTCAGTAAAAAAAAATAAAGAAAACACTGTGATATTTGTTACAGTAGATTTAAACAATGGTTCTTTATGCAAAACTAGCCCTGCTGACACAAACAGTGAGGCGGGCGTGACCTGAACCTCCACGTACTTATTCTCTCTGTAAGCAAATCTGAGTCCAGACTCTTTTACATAGACTCACGTTCCAGCACACACTGACTCTTGTCTAACAGCTGTGACTTAAGCACAGGTGAAAAGAGTACTGTGAATTTGTACTTAACAAAAGTACAGTTCAATGGCTAAAAAATATACTCAGTTACAAGTGTAAGTACTGCTGTGAGTATTACTATTGCACGTTTTTATCCAGTTTAAGTTGCATCAGTTTTTTTTCTATAATACTTGATTAATTAAACAGTTCAAAGTTGAATTAAATAGTTTTAACCTGCAATCTTTATGTCTGCTGAGCTCTGGCCAATCAGAGCAGGCGTTGCTGTGTGGTGCTAGTAGAGAGAGAGGAGCAGAGACATGTGTGAGAGAGCCGTGGATAGGGTTTAGTAATACATGTTTAAAAAGTACAATTATCACAAAAATCTACTCTAAAATCAAATCTGTTACCCCTGGACATACGGATTTTAGCAGAAAAACACCTTAAAAAGCACACATTTTTACTATTATTGACTTTACATTAAAAACATCATAACAGATTATTATTTTAAATCATCCCCTGCATATATAACTCTTACACAATATTCATTCATCCATGAATTACTGCTTTTACTTCAACAAAACAAGGAGCTTGCATTTGTCTTTTGTCAAAGGTCAGTTCTCATTTTGTCACTCGAATACTGTGATAATTGTACTTTTATGTGATTATAGTGATTATAATGTATTCAGGTGTTCCAAAAGAGAAAAACCCTTATTGCCTTGGCTGATCTGTCCTAAAATACATGTCGTAAACCTACTCAAATTCAAACTGAAGCTGTTTTTGACTGCTTTAGAGTGTAAATAAGATACTTGCTTCTTTGTGAAACTGACACAGATTAAGTGAATGTAACTGGGAGGAGGAACACACAAAAACATCAATCAATTGTCAAGCTGGTGAACGATTTATATATATTTTTTTTTAATCAGTGCAAATTGATCAAAACACCCCAGTAGTTATTAGGATCATGATATTGTTAGTCATGTATTATGTATTGATCATGAGACTCCATAATGGTCTTAACAGTTCCCCTGCTCTGTTCCCTGTGTCTAGATAATATTGGACCAGAGCCTCTTCTGTGCTGCAGCAGACTGGACCACAGATGACCCTCCTCTGTTGCCGTATATTGTTGGATTACTGTTTTGGGACCAGCTGCTCTGCTCCAAACCAGCCTCAATCGACCCTCTTGTCTGCATCAGCACAAAGTAAGTCCACAGACCCAGAGGTGGGAAGACAAACACTATACTCACTAATACCTTTCGGCAGAAGAAAAATATAGCTCAGCTAATTAGAAAGTAAACACTTCTGATGTACTGACGAACTATTTGGACATCTGTGTGACGTTCAAATCCCAAAGAATAGCCCATACATTTTGAAAAATAATTTGTTTCTCAGTGTAAGCTCCAAGAAACAAGTATCAGTATCAGCTAAAGTTTCTTTTGGAGCTCACAATGGGAGGAAAAATAGAGCTAAGCAAGCATACATACAATATTATAATACTCAAGGAAGTACAGTTACTACCCTAAAATATCAATGTAAAGGACGGTGTGATACGATAATTAGCCCTACAGCGTCAGTCAAGGGATTTCTTTTCTTTTAAACATGGTAAAATTCTATAAAGCAAAAAACAAGACTATAAAATGCAGAAATAGGTCTAGCTTACTTAAAACCCTAGCTCATATTTGCAGTCAGATATAAGATAGGTAAGATATTACCATAAAAGTAAGTGCAAATGTAAATTTTTGTTACACAATACTGCTTCCCCAACCTTTTCAGTCTTAGTAACTACAATAGGGGTCTTGGCTGAAGAATGGAGATAACCTTTTGGAAAAACAGAGTTGCACATGTAGCTTTCTCTATGATTTATGGTGGTGCACAATCAGAGGAATAGTTTGCTCATAAATTAACTTCAAACATCTTGCCTGGATCAGCACTTGTGTTGGTAAGGCTGTGGTCCCTTAGCCCACTTTTGTTTGTACTGCCATGTTTTCATTTTACAGTGACATGATGCACACTTAACCCAGAAACACAACACAACTGAAATAGTCGACGTTGCACATCTATGTTACCATGGGAGCGGCAGGTTCATAGTGTTTTTCCTCTTGTTGTTGTTTTAAGGTTCACACAGCTCTCTTGGTTTGGTTCCTGTTTTGAGCCCAGTTTAGACTTAAATTAGACTTCAAAATTGGTCCTGTTTTACTTCTGGTTTAGTCCCAATTTTCATTTGATGTGAGAATGTGTGAAACCTTCTTTTTCTTATACTTGCCAGATTTTGCTTCTTGTGTGTATTAAAAACTAAATAGTGCGTCAGCATGGGCCACTGCTCTGTGTAGGATCAGCTGTCCTTGTCAACAAAAACAATATTTACAGAAAACTGCAGCTGAAGCCTATGTCACACATTCTGGTTATAGACACTGGATGCGTCATTTTCAACGATGGTATGATAAACTAAGATAAGATAAATCGAGAAAGAATTGTGTTAAATGGCATTTAAATTGTTAAAATTATCTTAGTTTCTTAATTTTTTTTTGTAATTATAGAAAGTTGGAGATTGGTGGATACAGGCTCATTTTCTGATATATGTTATAACATTAATCCAGAACTTACCTGACTTTATGTTTTGTTTCATTTAAACACGTTCTTCTCTCAAACTGAAAATGCCCTGTTCCACTTTGTGATGTCATATGGTAATACAGGAAGTGGTCCACTGTGTGTTTAAACTCCATACAACGTCACTAGAATTATTTGGATAATTTCCCTGGAATTTCCAATCTCTACTAAACATTATATAAACAGGCATTTGTTAGCTTGAAAACTACTGCTTAATGACATCACAAGGAGCATTTTGGACTTTGGAGATGTAGACAGACAAAAACATAAGACAAAACATAAGTCCAGGTATGTTTTTGATGAGGTAACAACAGTCTAACGTGGCTTAACCTTTAATAATTTGGGCTTTAATAATTAAAAAGACCTAGTTCGGCATTACTTCATTTATCCAAACTTCCAAAGATTGCAAGAAAAGCAAAAAATGTATGATCGCAATGAAGTAGAAATAGACCTCTGAGGCCCTGAAGAGGCAATGTAGAGCTATACCTGAACAAGCAGAAGTGATTTAATGATGATGGCATAAACATCATGTCAAAGGACCATGAGGGAAGTCTGCTCCCTCCATCCACCCTTCATTCAGCAGAGTGTGCTCCCCAAGAACGCCAACAAAGAGCCAAAAACTGCAGGTCCAGCACTCTCGAACAACACAGATGTTCAGGATACAGGGGGTAAAGTGGAGGGGAAGAAGATTGAAAAGCTGAAAGAGCAGCTTGAGAAGGAGCAGAAAGAGAAAACCTGCACCAGGATGAGGTTCAAGAGGGTAGAGCTCTCAATCATGATGTGGAACAAGAGGAGGCAGAAGAAAAGGAGTGCCTCAAAACTGTCCACCAAAACAATAAACAAGTCATGGTTAAATTTACCATTAAAATCAAATGCTACATAATGTTCAGAAGCCTTAATAAACTTAATAACTGTAACTTTTCAGGTGGGTCTCCTTTGAATTTTCTTGAATTGTAGCAGTATATGATTATGTTTTCCATTTTGCATTTTTAACAGTTATTTAACAGTATTTTAACAGCTTATAAACAAGAAACGTGCATCCTTATAGAGCTCAACAGTGACCACCCAAACCTCAGTTCTGGAGCTAAATTATTCATGTTTGCAAGCTTGCATTTTGCCAGATCTTGTGTTTTAGAAGTGCTTTTTGGGCTTAAAACAACCACGTTATGGATATTAGTTAGCACGTAGCTGGTTAGCCAATGTTTTTGAACTCTTAATATTAGAGTTTTTCAAATAGTCTTTGGGAAAAATGAATGGAAAATGTACTTCTGGAACTAGAGCAGGCTGTCACTGTTGAGCCCCATTGTCAGCAGACTTGTCTCTGTGTGGCCTGGCTTGGTGTCATTACCAGCTTGTTTAATGCCATACTGTGGAACATTATTGATTAAGCAATAACATTTCCATAGACACTTAGACTTAGACAAGCAGATGGCTGACCCTCCACCAGAAAGGTTATGTAGTTCATTCACATTTAAAAGTAAGTTTATTAACAGTAGTTTGCTCCTGCACACTGTATTGTTTGTATACCTCAGTACCACAGGTGTCTTAGTTTTTCATTGTCCATAGTTCATCATAACATTTGCAGCACCATGGGAGGTGCTCTGGGGTCGCGGGCGCTAATGGAGCTGTGACATTTAGCTGTGAGCCACGCGGAGAGGCTAAACATCTGTATGATAATTCTGACCAGCGACGCCCGTCCTTATTGACTGATGAGAAGGTGACATGAGAAAGAGCTATTGACCCAATCCCCAGCCTCTCGTCTTCATCTCCACTCTGCTTGCTGTATTTATGCCCCGAGCTGGAAAGATGGATGAGTATGACTGAGGGAGTCCTGCAGCCAGCCCAGATTAAAATCCAGTCAATAAAGCAACACGCAGGCTTCATAACATTGCACAATCAAGTAGCAAAAACAACAAATAAATATTTAGATATATGTAGTTTAAATAAAAGAGGAATCAGGTCTGAACATGTTTGTTCATAACTGTTTTTGAAAGAGAAGAAATCAGTTGTTGTTACGGTTGGATATTTTTCATCTATTGGTTTTTAATTGCTGACACATAACATGCTTAGATCACCATGTTAACTTTTATTGTTTTGAAAAACGCTATATTCACCAAAAACAATGCATTAGTATGTTTTATAAGTTTCATGTTTGTTTTTGATCCTCTGAGTCTTACCTCCCTTTGCTCCCTGCGTTAAATCACTCCTCCTTCAGAGCACTATCACAATAATCAGCATGCACACAGCAACTATCCAGTTGCTGTGCACAGTTCATGGTTTTGTATAGTTCTGGAGAATTGTCGTGTGGGAGCAGGAATGATGTAGGCTTGTGGGCTGAGCATTAGACAGAATTTTACAGATAACTGTAAGGACAGTTTGAATTGGACCTAAGAGATTGCTAGAATATTCAGACACACATGGATGACACCTAAGACCTCTTCAAGCATGTTTTTGATAAAGAAACAACATCATAACATGGTAAAAAGCAAAAAAAAAAAAAAAAAAGTATATGTATATATATATATATATATATATATATATATATATATATATATATATTTTTTTTTCTTTTTTTATAATGTTGTTCTTTTATCAAAAATATATATATATATATATATATATGGGAACAGCGCAATATCTTTGCTATTGCGATGTCCACCACCACGGCTCTGCACTGTTTCTTATCCACCACCACTATGTCTGGTTGGTTCGCCATCACCATTCTGTCAGTCTGTATCTGGAAGTCCCACAGGATCTTGGCTCGGTCGTTCTCCACAACCTTTGGAGGTGTTTCCCACCTTGATCCTGGGGTCTCCAGCCCGTACTCTGCACAGATGTTTCTGTACACTATGCCCGCCACTTGGTTATGTCGCTCCATGTATGCTTTCCCTGCCAGCATCTTACACCCCTGCAGTTATGTGCTGGACTGTCTCAGGAGCCTCTGTTGCACAGTCTACACCGTGGGTCTTGTCTGGTGTGGTAGATCTGGGTCTCTATTGCTCGAGTGCCCAGGGCCTGCTCCTGAGCAGCCAGGATCAGTGCCTCTGTGTGTCCTTCAGACCAGCCCTCTCAAGCCATTGGTAGGATTTCTTGATATCAGCCACTTCAGTTATGTTCCGGTGGTACGCCCCATGTAGGGGTTTGTCCTGCCATGATGGTCCCTCCAGCACCTCTTCCTCTGGACCCCACTGTCTGAGACATTCTCTGAGCACCTCATCTGTCGGGGCCTTGTCCTTGATGTACTCAAGGAGCTTGGATGTTTCATCCTGGACAGTGGTTCCCACACTCACTAGTCCTCGGCCCCCTTCCTTCCGGCCTGCGTACAGTCTCAGGGTGCTGGATTTGGGATGGAACCCTCCATGCATGGTCAGGAGCTTTCGTGTCTTAACATCTGTGGTCTGTATCTCCTCCTTTGGCCAGCTATATATATATATATATATATATATATTAGTATATATATATACTAATAATTTGCACGATACTCCCTCTAACAACAAACTAACAAAACTAATCAAACATTTTTTTATGTAAATTTATGTAACGGACCTTAAGCTTAAAGAAGGACTAAACACTAGGTCATTGTTTTAGACCACAAAGCTGCAAATTATCCTACCATAAAAACAATGAGTGTGCTTTGCCTTTGATTGAACTTTGATTGAACTCTTCTCTGATTTGAGACTCAATCAGAAACACACCTTAAAGGGTGGAGTTTGAAGTTCATCAAGTTGAGCATCAAACAGAACCTATCCTATCCTGTCCTCACCTAGTCTCCCCTTTAGTCCTTGTTTAGGACATGTTTAGTTCTTCTTTAATAAATTATACACAAAAATGGGGACCATATTTGTGACCCTTAAGTTCAAAATCAGAGCTGTACTATGTGTGTGTGTGTGTGTGTATTTTGCCTTGTCCTACACTCAGCCACTGTCCTAGGACACTTGTGAACCCGCAGTAAGTTTTTCATAATTGTTTCCGAAGGGATGGAGGTCATGCTAATTGCGTGGTGTAAAATCTATACTTCACAAGTGGACTTACATAACTCGCACTTAACCAGAGCCGTGTTTCCTCCTCCCGCACCCCTCCCTGACCCTGGGACGTCTAAATCATTCTCGTCCAATAAGAGAGCACAAGGCCACTGTTGCCGGGCGCCTTTTGGCTCAAGGCCTGCTGACCTGGCTGTCGGTCAGGGTGATTTGTCCTCAGCTACAGAGCAAGTAAATCTTTGTCTCATCCTTTAACCTTCAGTTTAGGATACACTTTAGTGTCTGGGGCCTCCACAGTTTAACGGACTGGACTCAGAAGATTTATGCATGTTAGTTAGAGAGGTTATCATGCAGTTGATCAAGATATCTGGACCAGTCACTGGTGGATTTGGACCGTATCTGTGGAATCATAACACCTGCCACTTTAATAACTCATTTTAACTACTCCTGGGTTTCACACTAAAGAAAAAAGACATAGCGATTATCAATTTAAATTAAAATATCAAAATTTTGCAGCTACAAGAAGTTGAAATGCTATAGAGATGCTATTTGGTTTCTTAGAATGTTCCACAGTATAACTTTAAATTAATCTAAATCAGTGTTGTGCATATTGTACATTCCAGGCAAAACAAAAACATCTCCCCGAAGACAGTCACACTGTATGTCTTTAAACTGGCCGGTTTCTTGCAATATACAGGATTTGTGTGTTAAACATGTGTGAATGTAACAAAACACAACTTCAGGTATGTTTGTGATGAGGAAACAACATCATAACATAGAACAGAAAATAATGTAGTATGGGTCCTTTAAGTCATGCATATGTAGATTAAAAGTATGTGAATCGCCCATACGCAGATTGTAAATGGCCTCACTTGATTGTATACTAAATGTCATGGGGCTATTTTTAACACAACAATCAATCAAAATGTGTTCAAAGAAATCTCAGTACAAAACTGTGCACACTATGTACAAGTTAGGGAATTAGATTACCTTGTATTAAAAGTGATGTAAGATTGTTTTCAGAGCTTCTAGACTAGGGCTTAGTTGTCATGCATGAATAATCCTGAAGGTTGAGCTGCCTGCCATTAGGTAAATCCTCCCAAATGTTAGAAATGTGCATGTTTCTTTCCATAAGCTGCTTATCAGATAAAGCCATGATGACAAACAACAACATGATAAACAGCTGGTAACACCAATGTAAAACACACACTCTCACACACCGGGCACTTTTACTATATCTGTGAGGACAAGATACTCACAATTAGCAATACATAAAGACTCTGATTATATATTGGTTACATAATATTGCAGTCAACACAACATTTCACAGGCAAAAGTCAGGATCTCTCCAAAAGTCAGGATCTCTCATATGCTTGTCATGTTTAATCCTACAGATCATGACCATACTCCTGATTGTATTATACTTTATATCATGCTCCACACCATAAGATGAACAGATGCTGAGTAGCTGCTAGAGTAAAAACAACCAAGTTGTCTGCATACATTAAATGATTCACAACAAGATCTCCAGCCACACTGGCGCACTGTGTAACCTTTCTGGTGAAAGGTTCATTTCCATGGAGATGATATTGCTTTGTCTGAAATGTTCCAGTGTGGCATTAAACATACATCTTGCATTTACACAATAACATGGGTTTTTATTTACCTAAAAACTTGCATTCTTACTTGTGCTTGGGCTCACCTCTCCACATATCTGACATCTAACTAGGCCCTGTGGTGTCACTTGGTGGCTTCATAGTGATAAATAAGTGTAAAGCTACAGTATGGAACATTCCAGGCAGCATCTCCCTAGATTTTTTGTACTTGACACTTCAGTTTATCATTTTTGTGCGTCAGGAACATAAACAGTGACAGCATATTGATTCTAATTTGACAACCACGTAATTCTTTCTTTGACTAAAGCCTGTGCTGACTTTTCCTCACGTCTGAGGACAAACTCTGTTGTGCCTCTGCGGAGGGTAAACAAAGCTGGACTTTGGAGCTCTGAGTTGCTCTGCTTCAGAACATTTGAGTTTGAAACAAAGCTGGCCGTAATGGAAATGTCTGCCGCTTATTTAAAGCTCTTTGCTGCTGTTATGCTGCTGGATTTATGTGCTATGGAAGCAGAAGTCACACCAACAAACCCAGGTAGTGAACATCAATAATGTCTAGATAAAGGATTATTTTAAAATACATTCAAAACACCTATACTAATTTGTGGTCAGTTGATTCATTTTGAAATTTTTATTGTGGTTTTACTTACTACACAATAAATATTTACAAATTTTCAAAATTTAATAAATTTTCAAAATTTATTTCTAGTCTATTTTGCTCTGTTGTGTGCACTAAGATTGTTTGAGAGTCCCTGAGAGAGAAATGTCACCCATCTTGTCAATAAAGGCAGCTTGTGTGTCTAAAATAGTGCTATATTAAAAGCTTCTATTTTACAGTTTTTTTTAATAACATGGTTTTACTGATACAGAATGTTCTGTTGATTAACCCATAGCCTTTGCGTTTCGCAGAGTCTGTCTTTGTGTCTCAACAGTCAGCCAGTGCAGTCCTCTCCCGACCTCGCAGATACAACAGTGGCCATTTTGAAGAGCTTTTGCAGGCCAACCTAGAGCGGGAGTGCAGAGAGGAGACGTGTACAATGGAGGAGGCCAGAGAGTACTTTGAAAATGATGAGAAAACTGTGAGTTGTTCAAGATGCTATGCTATGACAAAGCTCAGTGCTGGTTAGTGTTGTCACAGCACTGATTACACTATATTGATGCAGAGAAAAAGACCATTATAAGACTATTCATATTTTTTTAAGTATTGATTGGTGTTGTCACGATACTAAAATTTCAAACTCGACTTTGATACTAGTTTTGATACACAAATGATCATTTTAAAAGCTCTTTTTTTTTAGACCACATTGTTTTGTAATTTTCAACACAAAATAATAGTATTTGTTTATTATACCATATGATCTTACACTAATTCTGATAGAATTCAATTTGAAGCTTTTCGGGAATGATAAAATTTTATCTTGTTATGGAATTTTATTTTCTGTATCAGTACTTGCTTAAATATCTAGTATATAGTTTTGTTACTGGTTTTAGTATTGATGTATATCTGATTTTCAATAGCAATCTTGACAACTCTAGTACTGATACAAATGAGTATCTTGTTTTGATAGTATCTGGGCATCAAATTGACAACACCAATACTGGTTAATGGCTTTACTGCTAATCATTTTTTGGATGTGTTGTTGTTTTTCAGTTGGAGTTCTGGGCTGGTTACCTTGGTGAGACATCACATTATTTGAATGTATAATCCGCCTACAGTCTTTCATGTGTGCTGTGTTTGGGGCAGATGGGAACCAGTGCGACCCTGCTCCCTGCCAAAATGGAGGAGTTTGTGAGGATGGAGTCAGCTCCTACATCTGCTGGTGCAAACCGTCCTTCAGCGGAAAAAACTGTGAGATTGGTAAGAACAAAAGATTGACTGCTTTTGTGTTTTGGTGCATGGTTGATGCACCAAATGATGATTAAAGTAATTAGGTATGGGCCGATTCCGACATTCGATATTTGACCTGCTGTTGTGGCCTATAGAGCCATATAATTCTCTTCTGTTTCCATTGTTACTTATTAGTCTGTTTAAAAAGAAAAATCGTATGGACTGAGGACAATTTGGGAATAACACCTGGACGCACAGAGAATGGGATAGGACAAAAAATATCATAATTGAATATTGGTATTGAGTATCGTTATCAGCCAACACAATATCAACAAAAATAATCGTTATCATCTGATATTGACACTGGAACTGATGTTTCTCCCATCAATAAAAGTTAATGTAAATTATGGATGAGTTTGTTTTGTGTCTTTGGAAGCCTGTGACAAAGAGTGGTTGCTGTAGCACTATTAGAAGATTGTCAGAGCTTGTAAAGCACAATATAGATCTAAGCTATTGATATTAATATTTCAGTATTGTAGTCCGATGTTCAGCCACAAATATGAGTTTCTGTGGGGTGTTCTGACTACACTGGTTAGTATCAAAACAGTGTTGCCGCCTTTGCTCTATTTAATCGGTGCACAGATGATGTAACTGGTGCTAATAGAGACTTGGGCTGATTGATAATATACAGTACATGTTTCCAGTGGTGGCTCGGCAGTGTTCGATGGACAATGGCGGATGCTCTCATTTCTGTGAGATGAAGGATCAGCAGGTGGCGTGTTTGTGTGCGCCGGGATATGAGCTGGGTCCAGACCACTCGAGCTGTATATCCACAGGTAAAACAGGAAACCAAATCAAGAAGGATGCTTTTTGTAAATATGCCAGTATGTATGTACCTCCAGCGGTACACAAGCTTCTTCAGGTGGTATGCATATACTGTAGTTAGATAATAATACAATAATCCTGTATTAGACCTGGTTTAGCTCTGGTAGTAAATATTTTAAAAGATATAATCATCTTGTCAATTTATAAAGCAAAAAAGTATTGGATTCCTGACTGGGTTATTAGTATTAGTAGGTGTAGTAATAGATATGATTGAATTTTGCATAACTATCTAAATGATAAAATAAAATTAAAATGTCTAAATCGTGTTAAAAATACAGTTGCCTAGTGCTGAAAAGGCCATAGTGAATCCTCATAATAACATAAGAACACCATAGAAAGCAATTCATTCCAGCTTAGTTACAACAGCCTAAGTTTAATATTATACTGCCACTGAAATATAAGTTACATACATTTCTCAAAATTACACAAAATTATATTTTGAGAAGTTACATCAGCTTACATCAACAACTAAATTACCAATAAAAGCAATGGCAAAAAGGTGTGTGTTTTACAGTGCTCAAGTAATGGCGGTTTCAGGGGCCTTGTCTTACTCCTCTTGTGCTCAGTCTATATATTGAGTGAAATTACTACTACTACAACACAGGCCTCATCCATCCTCTGAATCCACATACTTCAGCAACATTTGACACATTGAAGTTCCCACTTGCAGCTTTGGGCCTGACATAAATATTTAATCCTACTTCATTGAGTATTCATGGGGGCACTCTGACTGTGATTGTATTTGATTGGTTCCTAAATCTTTAAAGAAGACATATTATGCTTTTTGCTTAGTTTTTTCCCCCATTATTTTACATTTTGTTCATTGTAAACCAGAATATTGATCTAAAATGCCTTGATATTAGAAACTGAAACTTGTGCTACAACTTTTTCAAAATGTGAACATGCAAGATAACTCAAACATGCATGAATCAGCTGAAATACAACTTTGATTAGGGAATGCTTTTATAACATATAATGTTTAAAGGTCTTATATTTTGCTAAATTTTTAAGCCATGTTAGAACTTTGCCTCATCAAAAACATACCTGGAGTTATGTTTTGTTTCATTCACACGTTTGAGTAATCTTTTATTATTAGTTTGCTTAGTTAACGTGGTAGTTTGCAAGTTAACAGCTACCTTTACCAGTTCAGTAGAGAGGGCTGAAATCCCCTACATGGTTCTAGTGAAGGTGTATTGAGTTTAAAAACACAGTGGAGCACTTCCTGTCTTACCACATGACATCACAAAGTGGAGCAAGGTGTTTTCTGTTTGAGATAAGAACTCAGCCTAAATATACAGGGTTTGTGTGTAAAACATGAATGGAACAAAACACAACTCGAGGTATGTTTTTGGTATGATAACATAGACTGTGTAATATAGCACCTTTAAAAATGTATTTTATGTGCTCTTTAACATATATATTTTAATGAATTTTTTTTTTTATTCCAACAGACCCGTTCAGCTGTGGTCAGGTGACCACCAACAGTGACACCAAGACCAAATCGAACTTAACCCCACGGACATCAAACTCAACCCAGAGAAATAGCTCTTTGCATTATGAAGGATTTGACTTCAACCTTACTATGTTTTACGAGTACTATGATGACACAGGTTTAAGTGATTCAGAGCCCTCTCATGTCATTGAGGGGTCGACTATAGACATCCCATCAGATTACCAGGGGGATCAGGAGATCATTTTCAATGAGGTGGAGGAGGGGAACACAACAGATAATGGTACGCTGCTCTGGTATGGCCCAGCGCAGTACAATGAGAGCAGAAAGAACGAAGACCACAGGATTGTAGGAGGAGACGAAGCCACGCCTGGTCAGATACCATGGCAGGTAATGGCACACTAATGACTCATGTGATATTTGTGTTTTATATTTGTTAGACAGTACAGTATACAGCATGAACTGGGCTGGAGAGTGGGCATAGACATTTTGATTGCATGCTTGTTTATTTTTCAAGCTATTTGAAGTTCAGTGTTAGGTAACATCAAGGGCAATAGTGTCTCATTGGTTTGAGTGCTCATCCACCAACCCAGAGTTTGGTGGTTCAAATAGAATCCCACACAAAGCAGTTCTCAGTGTTTTTGTGTCCTCAGGCAAGACACTTCACCCACCTTGTCTAGTGTGAATGTGGTGCATGAGTAAGTGATTGGTAGTGGTCGAAGGGGCCGTTGCTACAGATTGGCCAGCTCACTTCTGTCTCTCTAACCCAGGGCATCTGTGACTACAGAAGTAGTCTACCACAGAGTGTGGAGTGATTGGATAATGATCTCTTTAATAGGCCAAGACAGAGACATTTATAATTATAACATTTGAGGCCAATCTTTGATGATGTAAAACTGAACATATAGTGAACTATCTCACATAGATTCCATTTGTTCTTGATTGCATTAACTGGACTTATAGCTGTCAATTTCAATTTCACAGTGGCAGGAGACAGAGTCCAGGCCTCTCTGCGCCTTCACTGACCTCAATCCATTTAGACCACAGATAAGAGCATATTAGTGGGTATGTTATTACTATTATGGGCAAAAAACAGGTCAGATACTAGTTAGATAATTATTTTAGGACTGTTGTTTACCAAACAAAAGACAGGATAGTTTAACTAAAGTATACCTGTGAGTAGCTGTCGTATTACTTTAGACATGCATATGAGTGAATTGGTGAAGGAGAACTACCTGCACGGTGAGAGGGCGAATGCAATTACCTGGCTATTGTATTGAGGGTACTATACCTCATGCACAATACAACTGAGAAAGGCTGCAGTCCCCTATGGCTCTAAACAATAAGGTCTACTTCAAGGGTACTTTATTTGTAAATTGTTCAGTGGATTAGTTCACAACAGCCTATACCATTTGTTTATTGCAAACCGAATCAGTTATGAATATAGTTACAGCAGTATAAACACAAAAAATGTGAATAAAATCCAAAAGTATTCACAACACATGCAAATATTATCAGCTAAAAATGTATGTACCAGAAACTTTGAAAAAGCAGTTAAATATTTCTTATGTCATTTTGGAATCAATAGATCAAATTCCTATTCAGTCAAAAGACTAGAGTAAATATATATTTATGTATGACCAAATGTAACACAATTATGCGTTGTCGCGTTGTATTGAACTTTTTGTGTTTGGCTCAGGTTGCTCTTATGGAACGTAGAAAGGCGGGGCAGAGAGCACTCCCATTTTGTGGAGCATCTCTCATTAGTGACATCTGGGTCCTCACTGCTGCTCACTGCCTCATACAAAGAGACGGAATAAGCATAAGAGATGACTTCTTTATTCGAGTCGGTAAGGAAGAACTACTGAACCACAAGTCACTGGTTAATGTGAGAAAAAAATAATATTCAAAATACACATGTAACAAAGACACAGGCCAAAAAAAGGGCTTCATTAGAACAAAGGAATGTTAAGTAAAGTAAAAAAAAAAGACAGTAAAAAGTGACAGTGTGTTAAGTGACTGTGATAACTGATAAAATCATGGAGATAGGTGCTATATCTTCTATGGGCCTTAGGGAAAGCTTATCCACTGTGTGATTTGTGAATTCAGGTGAGCATGATGTACTCAGAGACGAGGGCCAAGAGCGGGACCACAATATATCCGAGAAGCTCATCTTTCCAAACTACAACTACAAAACATCCCCTTATGACCATGACATTGCCCTTCTGAGACTGGGAGAGCCAGTGCAGCTGTCTGACCGTAGGCGCCCCATTTGCCTTGGACCCAAACACTTTTCAGAGAATGTCCTCCGGGACGCCACCTCCTCTCTTGTCTCTGGCTGGGGCAGACTGAGGTTCCAAGGTCCTGAATCCACCAAACTCCAAAAGCTACAGGTGCCTTATGTAGACCGGACTGTGTGTAAACAGAGTAGCAGGGACAGAATCACCCGTCACATGTTCTGTGCCGGATACGCCAATGAGCAGAAGGATTCATGTCAGGGGGACAGCGGAGGACCTCATGCCACCAACTATAAAGGCACGTGGTTTTTGACTGGGATTGTGAGCTGGGGAGAGGAGTGCGCCAGAGACGGGAAATATGGGGTGTACACTCGAGTTTCCCAGTACTACAAATGGATCGCCTTCACAACTGGGATAAACTTACAGAGGACTGACAAGGAAAAACTATAATACAAATGCACTGATCAATCTACATTGCACCATTCCAGTTTAGAATTATTGTCCACAGCAACAAGAGCATTAAATAAACCAGTGTTTCTCAATGTTTCTGTAGTGTGCTGCACAGGGTTTAATATTATTATTTAGTTTTATTATAAAATGAATTTTATGTGAATCTTTGTCATCCTTTGGGTCCAATTTCATTTAGTTCTGGTTAAGCCCCAGTTACTGATATCTGATATAGTTCTGTAATAGTCCTGATTTTTATCTGGTGGCACTAAGAAAACCAAATATACTAGTATCAGCTTTGTGCATATTTAGAAAATACACTGGAGCACTATGCTTGAATGTATAATGTCCAATAAATTTTATTTGTCTTAAATCAAACATTTGTTTTTATTGGAGAAAATTATAAAAGTTGTGGCACCTTTTATGTATATGTATACTTAATTGTACTTAGAGTAAAATTTGTCCTCTACATGTGACTTCAACAACTGGTGAGTGACTTCCAAAGAGCTGTGAGCAACCAAAGTGCAGCGCCCGGGATCCAGCTCTATTACCCTGCTTGTCTTCATAGAGATGCCAAGAAAGTTCCACAGTATGGCATAAAACTTGTATTACAGAAAATATCCTAATGTCAGCCAAGAAGTGTCAAACCTACCACCAGACAAGTTACATAGTGCCACTTAAATTTCAGAGGGTTATACAAAGACACATTAGTAGAAAAGAGCTTCAGCTTTGTTTATATGTTAATTACACAACCTCTGAATCAGGCTACTATGTTTGTCAATTGATACTTCAAGGATGGAAGCTGTCTTGTTTGTATCTGACTTTATCTAAATACATGGGCTAAAGAAGTTGAAGAAACACGACCAGTCAAAGTATTTCAAACTATCTCTGTGCTTATATTTGGAAAATAATCATATACATTGCCTTATATTTTACAGCCTCGACAATGGTTCAAAATATCAAAAAGTGCAAAATGAGCAAAAGCAGCAAACACCATTGGGTTTAGTGGACATCACATTAAGTAGCCTGACACAGCACACTTACAGTAAAGCCAGCATGATGTAATTCATATTTTGTGGTATTTGTGACCTAATATTAATAGTTGGAAACACTACAAAACTAGAACTATTCACAATTGAGCTATTTATTTAAAAAGTACATATATATGGCTCTGAAGACTTTCATGTTTTGTCAAGATGGTTAGGTGTGAGAAGAGTCCAATATTGTCAGGTGATTTAAGTACTTTCATTCTACATATTCACAGTTGTATAATGTTTTTCCTAAGCAAACAGTGGCAGTGTTATTTGACCACTTTTTACACATTAATACAGTATAACAGTATTTTAACAGACTCTGGGCAGTTTGAGATATCCAGGCAGTTTTTTAAATCTTTTTTTGTAAATTGCCATTTTGCTCTTAAATTTGCAGTATGCACAATGGAGTAGTATTGTTATGATCTCGATCTTATTGAATGGATGGCTTTTGTTTACTGATAATTCACAGCTACTTTGAGATGTGCCCCTTTAATGCAAAATAACAGAGCAGCAAAAATAAGGCATTCCCAGAATCATGCAACAGCAACAAAATGCAATATGCAATATGTGTGGCTCATTTGCATTTCAACTAAAGATAAAAAATATAAGAGATTAGCTGGTGGCATAACAAGTCAATATGCTGAATATAAATAAGACTTTCGGTTGACATATCAAAACTCTACCCTGACATGCGAACAGCTGGTTTTGAGACAAAGGAAGACTTAGGTCCAAAACATGATCCTTTGGCACAGAAACAATCAATAATAAATTTAAACTGTGGTATTTACAAAGTTATATGACATACAGTACTTAAAGAATGCCCATGGTTAATGTGTAAAATATGTCCTGCTCTGTATATATGTCAGAAGGCTTAAGCTCACACATGTGCCTTAAACAAGATAAAATATAAATCTATGAGATGTATCCAGAAATTTGCATTCGCAGAACTTTAACATTTCAGGGAGAAATTGCAATAGAAAAATTCTAACTGAACATAAATGTAAACATTTTCATGAACTCTGAAGGATCTATGAATGTAAAAAACAACCCTATATAAGTTATTAGCTGAATGAACACATTTCTATTGGTTGTTGTTATTAGTTGTTATGTTATCTAAACTATATGTAGGTTTCAAGTGATGAAAAATGGGACTTTTGTCATGACAGTCAACATTTTCAACATACCACTAAAAAGGACGCTCATGAAAGGAAAAAGAGGGTGACTGAAACCCATGAATATGCAAAATAAATACTGTAAATGTAATATAGAAACATTCTTCTGAGGCTCAAGTCTTTCAGAAGATCATAAAACAGATCTTGTGCTTCAGTCCATTACATTCTACTGTGACTCTATGTAGGACGTGATTGATGCACTGCAAAAAGTCAGCATGAGTTCAAATGAATTGAAATCTAAATCAGGTTCTTGATTTTTTTAAATGGTTAATATACATGTATTTGTTTAGTAAGTCTAAGTCTCTTTTTCTAACTAGTTTCATGTTTTTCTTGTTTCAAGCTAAATTATGTGTTTGTCAAGTATGTTTTTTGTTAAGTGCAATTTGTTTCTCAAATTTAGAAACAGTTATCAAAACCAATCAGAAACCTGAAACTTTTAACCAATGAATTAAAGAGAGAATATATACAACTTATATTTCAAATTTCATGAACATGACCCAATTCTGTTCCCAGATACTAGGGCAACATGTTTTTCTTAATTCCCAGAACACTGAACATGTGGGCCAAGTTGTTGATGTTTTCATTAGGTTTGTGAAATCCAGAATGAGTCCCTTTCTGGCTGTCAGATTCTACAACCAAAACCAGTTCAGAACAAACCTAAAAGAACTCTCTTTAATCTGAATGGTCACTAAACCCCAGCTCCTGCAGCTAATAATGAATCAGTGTTAGTGCAGCCTCTGCAGCTCAGTGAGTGAATTCTGGAGGTTCTGAGCTTTACGTGAGACATGGCCTGTCCTTTTGCTGATGATGATAAAAACGTGTGTATGTCCTCTATATACATTTTAAGGCACTGGCAACCCAGGTTCAGTTGTGATTGTAGTAGGTTTATGAATCGGCAAGGGTGCAGGCTACATACCCTTTCTTTAAGTAAATCTAAACTACTCAAAACATTATGAATATCCTGAATTCAAGTCATTTTAACTCATGCAGATACATGTTTGCAGTGTGGCTCTAAATAAATGCAGGTGCCATAGTGTTGTTTTAGATCAGCAGCTCTCCCCCAGGATCCTGTGCAAATCTTCAGGTAAAACCCGTCCTTCTTCTCCTCGGCTTATGTTCTTCACCATCCTTCAAAACAAGACAAATAAGGCTGAACTGTACCAAGTGTCCAAAAACAGTTATGTTGTAATTAAACAATAACTATGTGTGAAACAGTAAACCATTTTTACCACATCCCAGACACCTCCTCGTGCAACAGCTCAATGACATCACCACAGTTAAATATGATGTCATCAGTGCTCGCCATGCTGCTCTCCACCATTACCCTGTACCGGCCCGCCACCTGAACAAAAGCAAGAGAAATGTAACATAAATATGCTGCTGAAAGAGATTTCGATGAATCACCCCTCAAGTCATTCATACCGTATAAATATGCACTCTCTTCCATCTTTCATCCTGCCTGTTTAGCCCTCCTCCTTCCATTTCAATCACAGCAGCAGAGCCATCAGCCACCCCAGAATCTCCATTTTCATCCTCTTTACGATCAGCAGTCTGAGACCCAGGATATTTTCCCATACTAATCTAACATACTCTTCATCACATTTCTAAGGTCTAAGCACCACTTAGTCACTTACAGTCAAATAACTATTCACTAAATTGCCTGTTAAAGTCTATGTAGGACTCTTCTGGTTGAATTGACAAAATCTTGGCTTAATCTCAAAATCTTACGAGAGGTGCAGGTTCGTCCTCATCAGAGTCAGATATGGCAGAGAGGTCTGTAGCTCCCCAGTCTTCCAGGCCTTCACAAATTGCCACAGAATGGGGAATGGGCCAACCTGTAACATAGAGACAGCTGCTCAGTTTTGACTGTTACATGAGGAGCAGTCATCTGGGAGAAATTCAGACTAGAGCCTCTGCTCCTCCACACTGAGGGGTGGCACCTTTTATGGCTTGGGCCTCTGTTCGAATGCCTCCTGAAGAACTCCCTAGTGAAATGTTCCTACATGCAAGCCGTTGTAGTTTTTCTCTTTGTAATGTAATCTCGCAATTCATGTATTAGCTCAATGTTCACCCACAAACCTGAAGGTACTCTAATTCCTGCTACTAGCACTGCATATCACCATTGTGTCTTTTACCAAAACACTCCCCCCACTTTTTCTCCAGTGTCTGCCCTGGTGTATGAATGAGTGTGAATATAAACATTTTTGAATAGTGGTAATGCACAATAAAACATTACCTGGGCTTTATGATTAAGGTATGAAGGCAGTGCCATTTTCAGACACTATAGAGAGACATACTGCTCACAGGTTTTACTATTATCAAAGGCAGTCCATAAGACAAATGCAACACTCTCTTAGCTGCTTGTTAGAGGAAGTACTATTAAATCAGCCAGTTAATTTTGTAGCTGAAAATGTTACTGCACTGGACTGTTGGATGGTAATAGAGTTTCTCCCAAAGGCTTCTCAAAGAGCTGAGTACAAACCTCTATATAGCCATTATGTGAATTGCAGCTCCTTCATTGAAGTACTGTAATAATAAACGACTGTAACAGCACTTATTCGTTTTTGTTGCACAAGATAAATAACACGATTTTTACACAGCCTTAACTGGACATAAAGCATTAAAGAAATCTACATAAAATAATAGTAAAACAGAGCAGATACTTATACTTGCGTATACTAAAATAGTGTATACTTTCAATCTTGGAATTATACTTACAAAATTAAATGTTGTCAATGCTTTCTAGAATTGTAATGGTACAAAATCCATATATAATTCACTGGTAAATGTATTGCAAATATAGGTAACAGTGGGGTTATTTTACTGCCTATTATTTGGTATAGATGTTTGAACATAATATTTTGACCAAAATTAAACAAGACTCATTACACAAGCTCATAACTTATGACTAAAACTACATTTGTGAATAGTTCTGTCAACCAAAACAGAAAAAACAAAACAGAAGAGATGAGTGGAGACACAAACTGTAATCCAGTAACCCTGCTGTCACCTATATTTACAAATGTTTGTGGTATTTCATTAAAATGCATATACTCACTGCGTCTGGGCGATTGCACCACAGGGTCGGTGAGGGCGGGGCTTGTGTGCTGTGACTCCTCCCCCCTGAGCAGGTGGGTGTGGCCTGCGGTGGAGCTGTGAGGGACATGGAGACACGCTGAGCAGCCTCCTCCCGACGGTCCAACCCACGACACACAAAAATCTGACGCACTTCACCCAAAACAAAACATCACCCAACAAACCAACAAAACAAAACACAAAAAAAAAAGGCCCACCAAGTCACAAAACAAGAAAGCATTCAGTAAATCAAGATTCACATATATTTCAGCTGCTGATTCAGAAGAAGGGATCAGAGAAGCTGTAATATATGGCACAATTGTAGAAGTAAGGGTCTGTCTTAAAGGTGCAGTGTGTAGGATTTGCATTACCTTTAGATTTGCAATTTCTGTTTTAACAATAGAATTCTGCTCAACTAATATATATGTTGATACTAATAGTTAGTGTTGACAAAAGAGAAAACTGGCATATTAAGTGTTAAACTGTTAGGGGGAAAAACATATGAAAAACATAAGAATATGGTTGTGCTAATATGTTATTTTGTTATTTTCAAAAGTAATTCCAGTCTTTGATATTTGCTAATTGTAACTAGCCTTTTATTAGATTGCAAAAAAAATCTCAGTGAAAAGGATTTTCAGTTTCAAGATGGCCTTCACCAGTGTGCAACATAGGCTTGGAAATATTGAATAAACTCAAATAAACAGTTTTGAGACACTGCACCTTTAATATACAGTTACTTTGCATGCCTTAAGGAGTACACAAATTTGGGGACTTGCATTTTAATGTCCCTGTTTTAGGTGAAGAAAAATTCTTATACATATTAAGAAGTGCCCCAACAAATGTCTATGAGACTATGGTAGCACATTTGTTTTTAATAATTGTATTGAATTCAGTGTTTGAAAAACATATAATTTAAATATAAATTAATCTTTTAATTATTTTTTGTTGACATAATTACAGTCAGTTCTGGTTCTATGGAGATGTAATTTTTGTGTCTATGTACCCCTTTGAAACCTGCATGCACCCTCTGTCAGATCTGGTCTGGTGTATAAGTATATATAAGTGTATAAGTATAAGCATAAGTGAGCATAGAATTACAAATTTGTTGTGAATCTTGTTTTTAGTCTATGGGGAGAAAATAGGACTGATATTTTTGTAACATTCATGTATTTATAGTAATGCCGTTTTTATTTAGTGTCTGTCTGCAAAAAAAAACAAGAGGGCATCGTCAGTGGATTCCTGTTGTACTGTAATGTCATTTGTACAATATTGTAGATAAGTGTGCAGCAGTGGCCTTTGATTTCCATGAGCACAAAAAGACCAGGATGAAAGAAAAATGCCACAAACTCAGATACAGTCATGTTCTATTAAAAGGCAAAAACATTGAATCAAATGGACTTCATACAGAGAGCAAATAGGTCTGTAACGTGTTTAGTGAATGACTCACTGGATACACTAATGCTATTTGTGAAGGTCTGACTAGTTTCAGCTTCATTTGAGTTGCAGGCTTGATTTAAGAATTAAATTATACATGTGTATGTAATTAACTTTGTTATTTATTATTTTTAATTTAGATTTAATTTAGATTTTTACCCCTGGAAATGAGTTTAAAACTTTCTAACCCTTTGTGTTTTAAATAGTTTCTTTTTACTTTTGCCATTTTTCTAAAATGACATGAGTTCACCCAGGTTTATTATTTAATTCACCCATTCACACAAGACATCAGGCACAAACAGGGTCAAACAGAGGCCATGCAGAACCACTTACCTTTCTGAATGAGGAGCATCTGAGAGAGAGGACTCATCTGAAAGCAATTACAATGTTATCTAAATTGAATTATGTATAATCAAAGTATTTCATGTACTGCACTGTTTTCAATTATTATTGAAGACTACAGCAGTCCCACACTGTTCAATTTCTCCACCATAGTCAAAAATAATGTGAGGAGAAAAGCTGCAATAGATAAACCAGTTAAGCTACAACCAAACCAATTATATATGAGCTGTAAAACTGACCTTGGAGTCGTTTCTGGTTTGTAAGGATTTTGCGGATCTCTCTGAGCCAGGCAATTTTCACCTCCACCGTGGGGGCCTACAACACAAGGGTAGATCAGTTTGGACACAAATGAAGAGAAGAAAAACAGGAAATGGTCATAGAGGTGCATCTCTCACCTGGACAATGTAAACCACTTCTCGACCGCTGTACCAGATTTCAAACTTCTTCACATCTCCTTTGACATTTTCTGTGATGCCGACTGCAGTCATCTGAAAAAATGTATTAATTAAAGGGAAGGTTTACTTAAGTAGTTCCCAACAACAAGCATAGACTATGACAAATGTTACTCAAACACCCTAAACCAAAATACCATAAAAAGAGAAAACATTATACACGAAACTACTGTCTTAAATAGGGCTGACAAGGTACACTTAATTTGTCTCCCTGACCAAGACAAAAACTAAATTTCAAATGATCTAATTACATTTACATCATTTTAAGCTTTACATTGCCAACAGAATACAAAATAGTTATCTGAAATATGTACTCTGAGGCAGGACTTGAAGCTGTAGAAAGGTGCCCGCTCGTGTGTGTCTTCATCTCGGCGTTTACAGAAGAGCAGGGCATGGTCGTACAGAAACAGGTGGCGCTGCATGGGCTTAAAGCGGGCCATCTCCTTCATCCTGACCGCAGCGCGTTTGTGACTGATCCAGACGCTGAAGCCCCCCTGCATCACCACACGGCCCAGCTGGGACAGGTCGCCCTGGAAACACACAACCAGGAAGTGAGGATCATGGTTAATTATTCTGTGAAGACTAAATCCGATTAAAGTAGTTTTGACCACATTTCACTTTGGTTCAGATTCACTCAACTTGCCTCTGCTGAGCACATTAGCATTTATATGGCTAGCTGTCATAGTTTTGAACTTGGAGCAACCTACTTCCTTCTTCACAGTGTCAGCAAATGCAGGTCTAAAGCGGTCGGTTGGTGCTGGTATCATTGTAGAATAATTCTACAATGAGGCAAATACACAGGAAATATCTGGGATTAATAAGGAATAATACTTGAAATTATAAATGTATATAAATTAAAACAACCACATACACTCGACTATACCAATTTATGTTATTAGTTTCTTTTTTCAGACCAAGGGTTTGTTTTCATACATGTCAGTTTTGATTGCTCACTAACACTCTTCCTCAGAGTGGTCATGTGATGTTGTTGAGATGTGCCCGATCATCTGATTTATACAGGTTTTGGTGTCTTCCTACTGGTGGAGGCAGGCTAGTGAGCAGTCAAAACTGTCAGGTATGAAAACAAACCCTTAATCTGAAAAAAGAACCTAATAACATAAATTATTGGAAGACCAAACAAACCTCATTGGACAACTATACCGATTAGCAAACAATCACAAATCATAGGAGAGGCAGCACTAAGCTTGTAAAATGTATATATCATTATCAATGTGATTAAATACAGTTAAATTATACATATGTCAGAAGTAGAGTGGGCCATGAAGCTCTTCATGTTCAGAATAATTAAAATTAGAATACCACATGGCACACAGGCATAGATTTACCGTGGTGATGAATGGGCTACTGATACGTCAAACTGCTGAACTGTCCTTGAGAAATACATTAGCTGACATTCTCTTAAATGGCCTCCTCCAGCTATAGGCATAACTCTGCATATTGTATGTGACATATGGAGATGTTACTGACACTTGGCATGGTTTGTCTTCATGTGCTCCTGTGCACGGCTCCAATACAGCAGCTAAATGAGTGGGCTTATGTTTGTATGAGGGTACTGGGGGTGTATGGAAACCACATAGAGCCTCAAGTATTTGTACCACATTGATCACAACTCATTTTTTGACAATCCAGTGGCAAATAAGGCAACTTTTTGAAGAACTGTCTCAACATTTAAGCATTATAAAGAGAAAGATGCTGTTCAAAATGGGTCTGAATCACTCCCTAACAAAGTACATTGGTTTCACTAGAAAGGGTATTACAATTTATAATGTACAGTTCAAGGTTCCAGTTCCACAATGCAAAATATATTCACTTGTCCAATTACAAACTTAATTGGTGTTACAGTAAACCTATTCACCAGTTCACCAGTAGGTTGGGTTATACTTTGATGCCATATTTTCAGAGTGGGGGTGAACATTGAACGTTTTACAGATTTTTGTTACATGAGAATAGGCCATAGGTACAGAAATTACAGAGGGATTAAGCGAACACCAAGTCAAACCATAGACCCGCCCTCCTCCTCAGTTCAAAACTACAGACTCCTTAGAATGCTGTGATATCATGTGAACACAGTACCTGGTATCCAGTGATGGCGATCTGATGCATGGAGTCATTGACAGACTTGAGCAGCTCCAACATTGAGTCTAGTGCCTCCTGCAGTTCACAGCGGTACTGCTCCTCTGTGCAGTGCTTCAACAGCTCCTGGACAACATCACAAACACACAGTGACAGGCCACTTCACATAATACAGTTTAACTTTGTGTATAAATGCACTGAGACATAAATCAAGGCCTGGAATAAGCTTAAGGATGTCTGCAGGTTGAAATTATTGAATTTGTTGAAAAGTAATTGTCATTGCCAGATAGGGCCAATATAAGAAACAAAATAATAAACAAGTGTGCATCTGGATGACTCTATATTCAGGAATAAATATAGGTACATTTGGTAAGCTTCTAAAATATCAAAACAAACTAGTAGTGACACTGTAAAATGCTAACTCAATGCAAAAGGACAACCACCTACACCCAGTTATACGGCGATACATCTCTGTCAGAAGCTTCCTCTGAACAACATCATATTGCTGGCGTCATGTTTTTAAGCGCTGCATATATATGAGCTGGTGGAACAATAGCCACTTTTAGAGTAGAACATGTCTTACTTGGCGCATCTTTTATTTTGATTTTAAACTATAAACTATAAAAACTGCTGATTTATGTACTGCAGTTTCTTAGCTTTAACTATTATTACTATAATCATGAAATACAATAGACTCATACATATCTTTACTTTAACTATTACTTATTTTAATTCAGGTATTTTGAAATATTTATCATTCGTTGCTGGTTAAACAGTATCTATGCTTATGTAAAAAAAAAGAATAGATAATAAATGTTTTTCTGCTGCATTAAGTTAACTAAAGGCATTTGAATGAGGACCTTGAGCAGTAGTTGGTATTTGGTGAGTCGTTGGATTGGTTTCAGAAGATAAGAGTCCAGGCCCAGTTTGTGATCCAGTTTCTTCTGGCACTCCTGAGAAAACAACAGATATTCAATATTTAAAATATTTCTCATACACTCATGAACATCATGTGTTATGAAGTGTGTGAATGAGTTTGTGGATACCTGGAAAAACGGCAGATCGGCATACTGTCTCCATAGTAACTCAGAGCAGGGTTTGTTTTGGCAGTAACGCTCGTATACTTGAAACTTCTCCTTCTGCTCAAACATATACAGGCTCATTTAGAGGGATGTAAAGTATAGCAATACATAAAGTAAAAATATACTTTACAGAAAGGACACAGATTTATACTGTCTTTCACAGAAGACTAGACTACTTTTTACAATAATGCTTATAGATGCAAATAGATAGATTTTTAATCTATGTCATAATTTCAACAGACATTTCAAATTACATGTACATCTTAAATGTTTACTTCAAAAATCCTGTTGGCTCTCACCCTCTGAAGAAAGCAGCCCCCGACTCGCTCTGGTGTCTCCAGGCAATCCTGTAAATCCTGCAGGAACATCCTACAGAAGGATAAGAGATTATAACCTTTGATGTAATTTTTCTTTCAGAATCAAGATTAAGGTGAGGGTTAAGATCAGTCTTCAGGAAATTAGTGTCAGTTAATGTAATGTCCTCACAAAGCAAGGAAACATGAGTGCTTGTTGAGTGTGTTTGCATGTGCATGTGTGTATGCATGTGTGTATGCATGTGTGTATGCGTGTGTGCGTGCGTCGTGCCTGCTGTGGAACTGGTAAATCTCTGGCATGTTCCCAAACAGGACGTCCTTCTGGCTGCGCAGGTCTGAGGGGAGCAAATTACACACAGATGGGTCCTCCATCTCTGCCCTGTAGCCCTGATCATAACACACACATTACATATGAGATGCACAGGGTCTGAATTAATTGTATCAAGTGTTACATTTCAATACATAAGAGACATAGAGAAATTCTTCCAATCCCTTTTGTTTTTCTGTCCTTATATCACTGGGAATTTATCACAGTTTAAACATTACATATTACTGAGTATGTTTTACACCTTTCACTTTCACAGAGGAAACATGGATTGTGTGTCTGTCAGTTGCTCTCTGCTGGGAGTCAGCAGATTTTTTTCATACTGACTTTTAGAACCATGCACACTTTGGAGGATGTGAATGTATTATGCTTTTTTATCTGTGTTTTCTGAAGGACAAAATGAGGTGAATTATGAATATAAAATAAACTGTATTTATCAGCAGTATCAATTAATTATGTTCATGAGGAAACAGATGCTCCCACCCTGAACAAGAGGCTATTAATCACACCCAAGAAAAGTTCTAAATCACCTTTTTTTTTAACTCACCAGAAGGACAGAAAGCAGCTCGTCCACATAGATCCTCTCTGTGGCTATCAGCTCTTTCATGATGTGACTGAAAAATAAAAGAAAATCGAAATAATTGTTGGGTTTCAGATGACATTCTCTGGTCCGGTGGTGTTTGAGATCAGGCCAGCCAACATGACTATTGTTCATAAATCAATTACAATAGTATCACATCTTTAGTTTCTCTATTATTGAGACTACAAACAATATTTTAAGCTTGTCCAAATAATGTCATTAACCAATTAAAAAATGTGTAAGTGTTTGCCAATATAGCATTTGTTTGTTTGTTTTTTTCATTGGGTTACTTGTTATTAAATACCTAATGATCAACACTGGCACCTGCGGCTGTCTAAGATTGATATATCATTCTGTAACACAAACAACCAATATTTCATTTTCAAACATTTTGCAGTGAGTAATGTTTTGTTTCAGCATGACATGGATAGAGCATAAGAGTCAAAGGTCAAAGGTTGATGAAAGGGCAAAGTACCGTGTGACCTGCTCAGGGTTGTCCTCAGCCTCAGAGTCTGTTTCTGACATCGGTCCATACAAACAACTGCGGTTTCCCTGGTAATCGTGCATCACCTCAATCTATAAAACAAGGAAGAAGCACTATCTTAGCATCTCTTATGGTCTACTGTTATGAAGATAAAATCTATATTTAAAATGATAAAACCTATAGGATGTGTTAAAAGTTATCAAGTATCTAATATTGATGAATTATGCTAGAATTTAATAATTTAAAAAATTTAAGCTTTGTTGCACGTTGATAAAACTTTCATCAAACTTTCATACGTACAGTTTTACCATATTGGCGAAATGAATAAAAGTAAAAAAGACCCTGTGTTTTTATCATTTGAACACACTTTTGGCTGGCTGTTGTTCTTCTTTAAGGCTCTCTTTCCTGGAAGTAGGTCAAAGGAAAATTTGGAATTGAGGACATTGAAGTCTACACCTGCAAAAACAGAAACACAGGTGTACTCAAAACACAAAGTACCAGAAGATTTGAAAGCTCTGTTTAAAGTCTGGATTGTACCATGTTTTGGAGAGAAGAGGGGAGACTTGCCGCGCTGGGACATTTGGTCTGGTTCAGGACGGGGGGCCACTAACTGAATGGGTCGAACCTGGATGTCAGCCAGTTTTCTCAGACACTGCTCCCTGTTTCTGATCATAGACCTCATTGTATTCAGTTTATCTGTCACCATGGTAATCTGGGACTGAAACGACAATACACAATTAAAAACAATAATGTCAACAATGTGACTTTAACAAAATATTGAATGGTAGACTTCTGTATGTAAAATGCAGTTGTGGTGATAGAGATAACTCATAATATTTGTATTACTATTTTATTTGTATTACTATATTTCTAAATTTTATTTTTTCTTGTACATAAACATTTATATAATTATGCAATTATGCATTCACACTAGTCTCTTGCTATTTTTTATTATATTTTCTTCATTATTACTACCATTTATATTTTTGCAATAAACTTGGTCTAAGTCTAACGAATAATTATTTTCTCCATTTGTCACATCCATAACCTGAATTATTTCATGTGACAACAATGACTGCAAAAAGGCTTGTCAGGGAATTTTTAGGAAAATCTAAATATTATAAAATATATATATTTCAATGCACCCATTTTGTTTACTTTACTTTGTGTATGGCTTGTTCTCAATAATAAACTTGCCTTGCCTAAACCCTAAAAATACAATAGCTTGGGATTTCATATCATAACAATTATGGCAAAAAAGAACAGTAAGCAAAGTGTGTCACTCCTACTCTTCACCTCCAGCTGTGGAGTAAGAATGGCTTCAAACTCTAGGCTCAGTGTGGTGTGGCTGTTTTTGATAGCAGATGGCGCCCTCTCCTGGTGACAGCTGAGACTGTGCAATGCCTCTTGAGCTCCTTCTCGCGTTTGAAACTTGTCGACCATCTGACTGGCCAAAAGATAGGCTCCTTCATCACACCATCTCAGAGCCTGCAAGCACAAAAACACTTATACCACATTTAAATTCAAAAGTGATTTTTTAATAGAGCAATTTTTTTGCAATTACTCTCAACATAGTTCAGTTTGACTAATTCACATTATTGAAGTCATTTTTAAAACAATTATGCCAATTATAAATAAAAGTTTAAGTGTAAATAAGAATATCAGATGGATAATATTGTTCTTTAATATCTAGCCCCAAGAGCGGGCACATTATTTTTGTCTTTGCCACATTAGCTTGCTATTTTTCCACAGTTTTCCTTGGCAACACAACACAACATAAAGAAATCAGATTACTCACTCATTTTTCAGATGTAAGTATTTACATGAGATTTCAATAATTAAATTATGATGGATCATCATACAGCACTTTTCTACCTTCAAGGCACTCAAAACAAGGAACATTTCACCCATTCACCCACATACTCATATACATACACGCAAACACTGGAGGCCGGGTTGATTACGTGTCTTGCCCAAGGACACAACAGCAGCATTCATCTGTGGGAGCTGAAATTGCACTGCCAACCTGTAGGTCAGGAAGTGGACAAAAGCTATATAAACTGAGCTACCTCCTCAAGTCTGAAGAGCAGGTCACGAGCGCGGGTCAGAGAGGCTTGTTTGGAGCGGAGCGCGGTGGACAGGACGTCACAGTGGTGCCGCAGTTCGTTACAGCGCTGGATGATCAGAGCCAGGGCATAGTGATGGTTCGCTGCCAACTGGTGCCCATGAAGAATCAGCACCTGCGCTCGCGACATTTCCTCCTGATGAATACAAATGCACACATCCATGCACACAATCAATATCATAGACACAATACAAAGTAAAATATTTGAATTTAAAGGTATACAGTGTAACTTTTCAACTCGCGGACTGGTACCGGGCCGTGAGTTGTTTGGTACAGGGTCGCAAACAGTCGTCAAGTTTCCAGAATGCATAGTTTTAAAGGTATTTATGAGCAATAACATGCCTTAATTGAATAAATCCATCTTATACTGTATAAGTTTAATACAATTATTGTGGAACATTACAGACCCCCAACCTGAAAAGATTCAAAGTGCACCTTTAAAGTGTACTGAACTGAACTAAGTAAACATAAGCAAAATATATATATATATAGGACAATAGCCAATGATAAAATAATTTTTGAGCAGAATTATTCCTGACTCCTACTTACAAGGTGTGAAAAGTTTGAGAACCACTGCCCTACAACTATAGGTATAATGCAATATTAAAGGGCCAATATTACGCTATTTTCTGATCTATGTTCTAATCAAAAAGATAACTGGAGTTGTGTTTTATTTCATTCACACATGTTTAACACACAAACCCTGCATATTTAGGCTGCATTCTTCTGTCAGACACAAAACACTCTTTCCACCTTGTGATGTCATGTGGTAATACAGGAAGCGCTGTGTTTTTAAAATCCATAACACTTTAACTAGAACCATTTAGATCATTTCAGCTCTGAAATTGCCAATCTTTACTGAACTAAAGGTAAAAGGAGATGTTAACTTGAAAACTACCGCCTCATGATCACAAGGTGGAACAGAGCATTTTGAGCATTGGAGAGCTAGACAGACTGAGAATACATTGTAAGTTTGATACCAGACCTCAGCTTGTGTGTTGAGTATATCCAGGTCTTTCAGAAGTTGCTCTGTTTGAATGACAGTTGTCCCAATACAGTCTATGGCTTTTTCCTGAGCAGAGAGTCTCTCCAACGTCTCTTCCATCTATGCACATGAACAGATGATCATAATAATATAATAAAAGTAATGAGGTAAATGGCAGTCTTTGTTTATAGTAGATCTTACCTGTTGAAAGTTGGTCTCGTAGTGCAGAAGCTGAAGATACTGTTGAAGTTTTAAGTGGTGCTTTTCAAAGAAACCATCAAATGCCTCCTCCATGTCTCTAAGCTGAGCCAGCAGCCTGAAAGACAGATTTATAAAGAAATTATATTAATTTTTTTATTAATAAAAACTAAAACAATTTAAAAGCACCTTTGTACAGTCTCCATGTCTGACTGCATTTCACTTTGGTTTTCTGAACTTTTCTTTGAGGCTTTCACAGTTTCCAGATTTGAAAACAGCAGACGGCCCTCTTTCAGTACGCCTCTTATGTCATCCTGTCGCACACACACAACACACAAAAAAGTAGTGTTATTATATTTTATGACCGCTAAGCTTTATTTGACATACCTTTAACTAGCATGAAATGGGGTAAATACTGAGGAGAGACATTAATTTTGTTGAAGCTCGGTATTAATCTCACCCTGATGATGGCAGTCTAGGAACAAAATGTGCTTGGGTTGCAAAATTCATGACACACTCAAAAATAGGACCACTGTTCTACTGTCCTATCAATTTTTTAATACTATTTCAAAACATTAAACATATTCTTCTCCCTTTTCCAAATAGCTCCATCAGCTGCACACAAGTCATTCAATTAATTAGGACAGAAGTATTTAAACAAATGAACAAGTTTAAGAGGCAAACATAATGAAAATCAAGCATTAACAGGAGTAGACAGCATATAGTAACTTGTTAGTAAGTAGAAGGTGTTGTACCTTCAGCTGCCTGTACCGGTGTGTGTGAGAGTGCAGCAGGAAGTCGATGGCTCCAGGTTCATCAGGGAGCTCCGTCTCTGAGATCTCCGCCCCAAAGCGCTGCAGAAGCTGAGCAATCTCCTTTACCGTCACAGCAAATGTCTCTATCGCCTGACGACAAAATACACACATGACACACAGAACTCAGAGAAACACTGCAAATGTATAATACTGCAATACTTAACAGCTGACAGGCGTCTTCAAGAGATATGTGGGCAACAAAATGTCTTACATTATTATGTATAAAACCTGCTAACTCGCATCCATTTTAGAACAAACATGTTCTAAAATAAAACTACTATTTCTAATCACATTGGCAATTAGATATTTTTCATAAGTTGTACAGCCCAAATGTAATATTAAAGTATCCTTATGTAACTTGGTCATTCTATGGAAAATCACAGTCATTGCAATAACATCTCCATGGAGATAAGCATGTAGTGGACACACTACCAGAACTTACATAACACACTTTCAAAATGTGTGCTTACTTTGATTCAATCAGTGATTTTGAAGCCTACTAACCAGGCCAATCACCAGTAATGCATTATTAACCAATCTGAGAGCACTCACAGATCTGAGGACGATCCAGTCGCTCTGACAGTACTGCACTTTCCCTGTGAACTCTGATGTCAGGTGGTTTTCATCGATGTAGCGCAACAAATCTCCCACTGAACGCAACATCACCACCTGTAAGAGAGGAGACCAAGAAAGTAGCACATTATACATCATTGATTAAACTTTAGTCAAATACATTTTTATCACAAAATCCTTTCAAGTAAAGCTCAGACAGCAATTCTTCAGAAGTGTGAAGACTAAGTGGCCTCTCTTATTTAGTAGACCTTGAATTACTCAAAAAAAAAGGGAATCAAAGGGAAGGCAATCAAATTTTGTCAGACAAGAAGTCTCAATTGTATGACCTACTAATGAGCTGTTACATAGGATTTATACAGTAAATCCTTGCACAGATGCTATAAAACATTTCCATGACTCTGACTTCTGGTGAACACAATAAAAAATAATGATATTGCTTTGGATTAATATAGCAGCTTTCAATAAATTACAGAATGCTTTTTGGTGATGGTACGCTTCTACTGTAGACACGGTCGCCTTAGGGTAGACTGACGGAAGTGAGGGTGCCAATCTGCCCATTGGCCCGTTAAACTGCCAGGAGCACTCATGCACAGATCACATTCAAACTAAGCAATGCAGGTGAAGTTTCTTGCTTAAGGACACAGTGACAGAACTTGGTCCAAGCATGAATTGATCCTCTGACCTTTGGGTAGGTGGATGAATGCTCTAACTAGTGAGTCACTTTACTATATTGAATTACACCTCTGAGTTACATGAAGTGTTATTGTAGTTTCATACCGGCATCTTAAGGAGGAAGTCATCCTGGCTGAAGCGAAAGCCGAGGTCGGTGCTGGAGGATGGACTCGGGGCAGAGCCGAACAGAGTCGTGGGACGCAGCACCAAAACCAAGTGAAGGTTCCCCGGAAAAGATGTCTATAAAAGGGAAACATATATAAGTATATTCTTAACATGCTGTTACTGAGGAGTTTAAACCTGGAACAATTCAACACATCCTAACTTTATGACCTCTAGCATATTAAGTGAAACACATTTCCTTAAAGTAGATGGGTCCTAAGTAGAAAGCTATTGTAAGTATTTGAATACATTAAATAAGGACAAAAATGATGTCCCTTCAGATCTACCATAACTGGTCACTGCAATTAGGAAATGAGTGAGGAAGGGCCAGGAACATGTCATTACCAATATCAAAAGTCTTGACAAAAGTTAGAAGGTTGTTAGTTAGATATGACAAAACTAACCAAATATTATATTGAACATATTATTATTGTGCTATTCTAATTAAGAAGACTAAAGACTAAAAAATATGTATTAAACTTATTGTCCACAAAGAAAACTCAATCTGCTCAATCTGTATGCGTCAGATAAGCGTTTTAACATAACTGTTAAAAGCTTAGTTGCACTTATAATACATTTAATTTCTTGCAATATTTTGAGCTGTCTGATATTTTGCAATATATTAAGCAGACTTACCCTGTAACAAGGATAATTAGGAATCTTAAGGAGTCAGACAAACAGTGATTCAACATCATTCACTCAGACAGTGTGATGTGTCCAGTTTGTGCAGAGATCCCCCAGCCTCAGCATCACTCACTGTCTCTTGGCAGCATCTTTAGTGTCTTTAGCATCTTTAGTGTCTCCAACACCTCGGTAAATCCCACAGACTTGAGCTGACTCTGCTCTTCTGAACTGTTCATCATTGACTGTGCACTTTACATCCACCCACAAACACCAGATCCACTCGAAATGGTCAAACTAAAGCTGGCGCTGGAACTTTAATGAGCCCAAGATCAATATTCAAAACATAAGGTTAACAAAACATCGGGGAAATGGAAATTTTGCTGTCCATGGGATTTAGCAAGATCTGGCAAGTCTGAACTCCAAACAGCATCCTTTATGCGTTCATTAAAAACACACATCGCCACTGCCAGTTATTATGATCTGCCAAAAATGTTATTTTGATTTTATTTAAATTGCCCTACCCTTTTGATAACATTAATCATAATTGTCTGCGTGAAGTGAATGTGTTTCTAATATGTTAAGAATCACCACTGGTGCACAGCGATAAAGCTCAATGACAAATCTGATGTTCCTTCTTATTATAGCACTACAAAAATGTCCCCCACAAGCACTTTCTTTGGAGAGAGGACTGATAACAGATCAAACTCTGCAACAGTAGTCAATGTCAAATCTGCATTCCTTTTAGTCTGTGTTTCATATTGGTATAAAAGAAAGTTCACTATATAACTTTTTTGTCCACTTTCATTTATATGTTATTGCTTATACTTATGTGCATGAGCAGAAGCCACAACCAGGTCAGATTTAAGTCCTCTGTTAGCAATAAAATCACTTGTAATTGAATAAATACAAGATAGATAGGCAGACTCCCACCTGAAAAGTTACATAGTGCATCCAAAATATAGTAAAACTTTTAAGATGGTTGAAGTTTTTTTTTGTTTTTTTGTTGTTTTTTTTTCACGGAGGTATGATGTCAGCATGGAGCAGCTTTTGGACACCGTTGCTATGGCTTATGTTGTGATTGGATGAGATGGGTATCTTCTGACAAATATGCCTCCCATCACCCTTTGGCACACTAACTTACAGCCAAACAAGGTCAGAGCCAGTCTAGGACACAGACATGACACACTTATATGCATCCAAAAATGCTCTCATGCCAAAACTGTAACTTAAACTGTTTTGGTGCCCCTGAAGAATTAAGGTCTTCCATTTTAACCTTGACTTCCCTCTTCGTTACACATTTTATATTAGGTGACAAAACTTGAATATGGATTAACAGCTCCAATATCATTAAAGCCACAAGAAACTTAAAAGCCATGTGTTATATGAAACATCTTCTAAATACTTATATAAAACTGCATCACTTTTTACTCATTGCAGCACAGTGGACCGCAGTGCTGAGCAGATGCACCTGCAGTTTGTTCAACGCAAACACATGGAAACACGTTTGTCATTGGCCTGTCCTGGTCCAATACTCACTCTCTCTCCTATCTCTAATGTAACATGCTCTCAGCACTATCACACCCATGCCCTCTGTCGCAGCACTCAGTAGTTTAGAAAAGCATCTCCTCTTTCTGCTGCAGCCTCCCCGCCTGCATCCTCGCCTTGTCCCGAAGAGGAGCTTACCGCGGCCCGGCGAAGGCGTGGGAAGCCCCATGGGTTAGACTCGGCCATGGCTCCACCGGGCAGATGGAGACGAATGTGTCCTGTGTCCTCTGGAACAGTCGTCAGAAAGTCCGCAGCGGGACGTGCTATTGTCGGTAACACACGGAGCTCCAGCAGAGACGGCGAAGGGTGCACGCTGTACCCTCCGTCACTGCAGTGTCCGGGCGGGCCGAGAGGGGAGCCGTGCCGCTCTCCGCTCCTCTCGGTGCAGTGTGCAGTGGAGCAGGACGCGCATGGTCCACCTGACGTCAAACACCGCGGAATGAGCAGACACACTAAAGTTAGTTCATCGATTGGCCATTTGTAGAAAAGCGTAATGTTTCACATATCACATGTTTTAAAATTTTTAAATTAGAATTGAATCAATTTGAATTGATTAATGACACCTGAAACATTATGGCAGAAAGGGATGATAGAAAAGCACAACCGCGTTTCCTCGCTTTTAAATGTTCTGCACAGAAGATGGCGCCAGAAGCTCAGGTTGAACGTGGGCAGAACGGGGAAAATATACACTGTACATCATATCACATAAACCACTACCCAAGTCCATCAATCATGTTATCATCGGGCAAGTAAATTACATCAGAAATAAATATGACATTACAAGTGCTTAATTTTATATTCTTGATTCAGGCCACTAGGGGACAGCGTTTTAAAGGAATAAATATAAAAACTTTCTCTTTGTAGGAGCAGTCCGTTAATATCCCCTCCTCTTCTTGGGAGCTCGGTCCCAGTGTATGTGAAGGAGGAGATGGATCTGCGCTTCTCCATTTCTAAGATTGCTCCTATGTTCGGATATCAGAGTCTTTAGTGCTCTAGATGTTTTTCCCACATAACCAAGTCCACAGCGGCAGTTTAAAAGGTAAATGACTTTTTTGGTGGAGCATGTAATTGTCCCTTTGATTTTCATAATCACATCTTCGCTGTGTTTGGGTGTATAGAAGTTTTACATTTATAAGTCAAATTCAGTATCGTGCATAGACGTTTTGGGGGACAGGTGCTCAGTGAAAAATAAGGGCGCTTTGTGTGCATATGGAACTACCGGCTGCCTTATTATAGATTAAGGTAATACAAGATTACTGCAAGTCTTGTAACATAGAAATAACTTATGATTGGTACAAAATAAAAGCTATTATAGCTTAATGCCTGATTTAGTACCAAAAGTATGAATAAGGCTGCTGGTGACATTACAAGGCAGAGGGGTATTTCTACTCTGGCAAATGGGAGCTGCCTGTTTGTTATTTAGGAAATAAATTAGTTAATTATGTAGCCTAATGCAAACCTGCAAAATAATAAATATTCAGCTTAAGTTTACTGATAGATTCACAAACATTATGGGACATTAGTTGTGTGGTGGTCATCATGTCATCTGTTATTGATCTGGGAGAGCGTTGCACAAGTCACTGAGCAGGTGAGCAGTCAACTGATTTCTGCTCAGCTGTTTGGTGCTGTATGAGACAGGCTACTTCACAACAGAGACAAGCAGATCTCTCCACTGCAAATCGCAGAAGAGAATACAATAGTAAATAGCCTACGTTGATTTTTTTTTTTTTTTCACAGCACATTTTATACTCTGAATTTAGACTGAGGTCTTGAAAATAAGTGATTAATAGGTTTTTATTTTGAATTTTTAAGCACATTGAAAATGTTAACTGCAAAATTCAGCAACTTCAGAATAAAAATAATTCATGTGTTTTCAAGGTTAAAACAAGTGAAAAATTCACCAGCATTTAAAATTCTAAATCTGATGAAACAAATCTATCTTTCATGGTTTTCTTCCCCTTCCCTCTTCTCTTCTGTCTCTTCTTTCTTGTTCGGCATTATGGATGTTTTACTCTTAATGGCCAACATGGAGAACCTTCTTTTCCAAATCCATGTTTTCTCTGTTTTCTTTTGACATTGACTTCTTCACTTTGAGATGACTCCCATTTCTGTCACAAACACAAATGTATCACAAATGGTCACTCTGAAATTATCAGTGCTGAATCGCATACAAGACGGATGCACCGATAAAGCATGAATATCACTGACACGTTTGGCAGTGGTTAAGGCCACCAGCAAAACAGCCTTCCATTTCTGTTCCTGGATATAAGATTCCTCCTCCACTCCTCCTCTCCACAGTCTGGTCTAATTGGAAGAAAAACAGACAAATAAATGTCAGTAGTATAAATATTAAAATCTTACCTGTTGTAAGATGGCCACACGACGACCTCAGCCTCCCTCCTGACCCAGCCTGGACCGCTTGGCAGACTCTGGAACACAGGGCCTTCTGCATACCTCGAGTTCCCCCAAATATCCAAAACAGCCACACATACTGTAAGGCTCCTGTTTTCTTTTGACATTGACTACTTTTTGACATGTCTCCCATTTACTTCTGGCCTTTTCTGTGTTGGAAGCTCAAAAGAAAAGGGACAAGAGACATCAGAAGCATTGGTACAGGTTGGTGGACAGCACACAGGTTGTCATGGAGAAACATGGAGCACATGGGCCATGGTGCTTTGTCTTTTGAACTGGACACACAACAGTCCCACTTCAGGACCTCAGCAGCCCTATTTTGTATGACAACGTAGCTATAAGCTTCCTCCGCCACTCCTCTCACTCCGCTCGTTTTCTGCAGATTGGTGAACAGCACACAGGTCATCATGGAGAACGATGAAGAGAACACAGGCCATGGTGCTTTGTCTCTTGAGCTGGACACATGACAGTCCCACTTCAGGACCTTAGCAGCCCTCCTGACCCAGCCTGGACCTCGGGGTGAACTCTGGAAACACAAAGTCCTGTGCGTACATTGATTTCCCTCTGAATCCCCAAATGTCCAAAAGAACCGCACATACTGTAAGGATCATGTTTTCTTTTCACATTGGCTTCTTTGCTTTGACATGTCTTGCATTTCTGTGCCTATGAAAAAAGGCAATACAATACAATATACTTGGAGGAGGGACAAATACAATTCATAGTTGTGTCCAGTGTACCTGTACTTTGTATGACAATGTGGATATAAGCCTCCTCCTCCACTTCTTTTCTCCACAGTCTACACTCTAAAGTTCCATCTGACTGGAAGAAAAACAGACAAATAAATGTACTGTGCTTCAATAATTTAATACTATCAATATAAAAACTTACCTGTACTGTATATTTTTGTCGCTGACATTTTTCCCTTCCTCCTCTCTTTCTGCAGGATCACATCTCCCTGGTCTTGGACGCTCAAAACAAAAGAGAAAAATATTACATTTATCTATAAAGAAATGTGTTAATAATGAATCAACACTCACCATTTGGTCCAGTATATTTCTCATGTATTCCTTTGTTTAGATCCTAAACAGCAGTCATTCAAAGCTATAGGACTAAGCTCCGTAATTTTAATGTATTATTTTGTCCACACTTTTGGCCATGTGTATTCCATGCTTCTCCATGACAACATGTCTGCTGTCCACCAACCTGCAGGAAACGACTCTGATGTCTCCTGTATCCCTGAGTAACAGTCCCCGGAGCAACACTGAGCCAAAACAACACGTGAGGTAACTGATTTTCTAATGCTGGACACATGACAGTTCCACCTCAGGACCTCAGCAGCCCTTCTGACCCAGCCTGGACCTCGAGGTGGACTATGGGAACACAAGGTCCTGTGCGTACATTGATTTCCCTCTGAATCCCAAAATGTCCAAAAGAGCCACACATGCTGTAAAGATCTTGTTTTCTTTACACATTGGCTTCTTTGATTTGACATGTCCCCCATTTCTGTCCCTATGAAAAACAAACACAAATGTACAATGTCGTTGGAGGAGGGACAAATACAATTCATAGTTGTCTCCAGTGTACCTGTATTTTGTATGACAATATGGATATAAGCCTAGTCGTTCACTCCGCACAACCTGGACTCTATGCATCATGGGTCACTGAGGGTTATCATCAATGACAAGTCTCTCACTCATTACTGCCCTCTTTATGGTTTAGCTGGCTGGACATGACTGACAATGTACAGAAAACAGCATTAGTTAATATTTTTTTACAAAGCCATACGGGGAAACTTCCCTAGTAACGTTCTTAATATCAGGTGAGATAGTTATGGGCTCTGCTTTTCCCCAAGGTTACTTTTCACAGTGCCTCAGTGCACCCAAAGATTATTTCATATTTAATTCAATCAATTATTCAGTATTGAAATACAGATCAAATACTGAAAAATTTACTGGATCAGATATTGGTTTCATGATATTGGTCAAGTCGATATGCTGCTTGACCTTCCAGCTGATTTATTTAGACCATTTACAGGCACATTTTGGCATAGAATTTATCAGAATATTTTGATTTTTTATTCAAATGGAGTTGTTCAATCGTAATTTGAAGGATGGTGTTACAATGCACAGTTGTCTTTCTTGTGTAATAAATTAAATGTTTTAAAGAAATAAGTGCCATTTTCCTTGTGCACACTGATGTAAGCATGCGCATGTCTTCGTGTGTTCTATACGTCCATAAGCATACACGCACACAGTGTATAGATCTAACATACACAGGTTCAGTCCTGGTTCAGTCCTGGGGTCAGTCCTAGTTCAGTCCTGGTTTAGTCCTCCTGGTTCAGTCCTGGTTTAGTCCTCCTGGTTCAGTCCTGGTTCAGTCCTGGTTTAGTCCTGGTTCAGTCCTGGTTCAGTCCTGGGATTAGGGCTGTCGCGGTTAGGGAATTTCTCCTGCGGTGCGGTATAGCAGCTAAACAGTGAGATATGCGATGATATCGCACCCCCTCCCCCACCCCACATCCCCTGGAGTTACAATATTTCCAGCGGCTCTGAAAACTCTCTCTCCGATGATGCGCTTGTTGTGCAGATGCACATGTACCTTGGTTGTCGCGCAGATATAGCGTGTGTAGCGTGGGACATTTGGCTTTAGAACAAATGCCGCTGCATCTCTTCAGCTCTCACTGTGGCAGCTCTGGTCAGAGTCCTGCACCAGGTCAAGTACCGACTTAAGAGAGAGGGCCCCTAGCACGAGCACGCAGAGGAGGTGTCCGCAAAGCGTGATCGGCGACGGCCACACTTAACTCCGCGCAGTGCTGAGTTCTGCGCCGGTCCATTCACCTGCGGTCAACAGACGGTCTACGCAGGCGCACCTTAGTCCTGGTTTAGTCCTGGGTCATCACGGGCACGGACAAATGGAATAAATGGAATGTTAATGGGTCCAGGCGGGTGTGTGTCTCTAAAAATGGGCCCGTGCAGGACTCTGGGTCACGTTGGTCAAGTGCGGTGATTGCAGTGGCCCAACATCCACCGTGGTGGGCCTCCGTGTACCGCGGTGATTCATTTTTGTGGTTATTGCGGCAGCCTTACCTGGCATCAGTCCTGTTTAGTCCTAGTTCAGTCGTGGTTCTGTCCGTATGTGGTGCAAAAGTCCAGCAACTCAATCAATGTTTCTGCTGCTCAGTAAATGATGCCTGTGAAGTGATGCTGTATTTTTGACAGTCAAGTTGCGTCTGTGAATTCGTATTCGTACTGAAGAAATCATAATAAATTTTAATTTCGTGATTGTAATTCTTGATGTCAATTCGTTTTCTGATGGATAAAATACACACAATACATTTTATGTACAATTGGACTCATTCAAGAGTTTACGAATATTTTATGTTCAACTACAGCCAAATATGTGCGGATTTCCCAAATATTCATGGATTTCTATCCTATGCACACAAATATTTCTGAAGTTTCTTACTCCATACATAGAATAATTTGTGACGTGCTACCTCCTTGCTGTCAGCCTATTGTGACTTTTTTATTTTACCATTACAAAAAACAAAAGCTACCCTCAATAACGAGTTTATTTTACTTGTTTGTTTACTAGCATATTTCATTTGCATAACGGATTTGAAGAAGATGCCTGCCAGGATAGTTCTTCTCATGTGTGTGCATGCTCTTTACAGTGAAGGGTGTTGAGCGTCATGGTCAGAACTCCAGTGCCCAGTAAACAACAATAAGTACAAACCATCCATTATGCACCACTAACATCTTCATCTGTATCTAAAGTCTGTTTCTCTTCTGATTAAAACTGTTTTAATGCAAACTGAAATCTTGTGCAACATTTCCTGTTTATCAGGGACATGTTTGTCTTGAAGGTTTCATTTGAGTCTTTAAATGATTAAAGGTGATAATGCTTTGGTATAGCCTTTAACCTGGTCTTAAGCAGTGTTGCCTTGGTTCACTTTACTATGATTAACTCAAACCTTTGGCTAGTAGGGCATCCAGCTGGTCAATAGGTCAGGCTAGTCGGACACAATAAATATTTCTTATCTAATATGATTGTTTACAACAAAATAAGCCATAAAATAATTGAACTTAAAGGTAATATTTCAGTGTACTTTTGGACACTTTAGTTTTCTTTTGTCAAAAACAACAATAAACAAACTGTTTTGCCCTATATCCATTCTACACCATAGGTGTACTATGTAACTTTTCTGAAGAAAAGTATATGCCACCTGCTTCTTTCTGTGGTAATGATATTATTTGCCTGAAATGTTCCACAGCATAACATTAAAATAATCATCATTGCAAAGCAGTAATATCTGCATGATGCAAACAGGGGGCCAACCATTAGAAAAATGACACAGTGCACCTTTATGCTCCTGCAGTGAAAAATGTGCAACCCTGTTTAAATGTCATCATCAGAGTTGGATGATGCTCAGTGACTGGAAGATTTCCAAGGGTCAGAGGGCAAACACAGAGGGAACCCTTTTAAAGTTGGCTCATGTTTCGGGTTTAATAAGTTCACTGTGAGGATGACACTGCTGTTGTCCTCGACAATGCGGACTCGACCAGCACTTAATCTACAGGGATCAGACGGACTCCTGATTCTAAGAAGTAGCTCCACTAAAAATAAATCAGAGCTGCCAAATAAAGCATGGACTTAAATAATGTTGTTACACTGTGACACTACTTTACTAAATATAAACAAATGAGATGTCTGTGCCCATAATTTTGAACTGAATGTGGAACAGCTAAATTGAATCATAGTAAAATGTCCTCATCCATAGTCTGCACTTGAATGCCTCAAAATGCACCTAAGTGCCCAATTTTGATCTTGTTCCTTTTATGTATTTATTTTTTTCCTTTTTATCAGCCCATGACAGGAGGAGAAAGGGGGTCAAATGTTGTTTGATTCTATGTGGCCAGAGGAGACAAAAATGGCAGCTTCAGCTCATATTTCCTCTGCAGGTATTCTGATGGTGACTACTTGAAAGTGCAGTGTTTGGATTGAGGGCTATGGTACAACTCCCATTTGAGTTATGAATGGACCCTTGTCCAATTATCATTATCCAATTATTATGTGTCCTCAGAAGTTCAGTACCACTTTATAATAAGTGCACCTTAATAAAGCATAAACACAGAATTCATTCATAATGAAGGGTATTAATTAAGTAGGATTAGTAACAACTTAATTAAGGGGTTAGAGTATTAATTAAGTAGATACTAAGCCTAAATCATTCTTGATAAACTATTCATTATCAGTTGAGTCTTTGTACATGCTGTAGTGTATAAAGTGTGGCTATTATAAAATGTTACCATTAATTCTGACATAATTACAACTAAACACATGTTATTTATCAGTATACGAGGATTACGTGACTGTTACTATCAGTGTGCTACTATGTCCTGATTTAGGAGCAGGTATTTTTAAATCCTTTTTGGTTTGTGAAAGGCGGAGCTCTGATTGTTTAATGGGATTATTAAAGAGAACGTCAGTCTGCAGGGGGCACTGTGTATAAAAGAGAACTTCCACAGATACAGTCTACACACTCCTACCAAGCTGCTACACTATCACACAGGTAAGCATAACTATACTGTATGCCATGTATGTGAATGGGTAATATAACAATAGCAATATTTATTGTATGTATTTTATATTCAGTTTAGCAAGCTGCTTTTGATGTTTGTTTTGTTTCTTACAAACTACAACCTACTGTACAAAACAACTGTACAAAATTTGTGCATGTATGTTTGTAGAATGTATAAGACACTCAATAATATACTATACAACATATTCATGTTTGTATCTAATACCTAGTCACAGTGTTACTCCCAAGTATGGATAAATGCAGAAGATAGTGCTAGGAAGGGCATCTGATGTAAAGTACAGAGCAAGATAGGGAAGATCATTGGCTGTGGTGAACCCAGACAGGATATGCAAAAAGAAGAACAAAATACCTCTCAAAATGCCTTCAGGTTTAATTGTTTTTGTATAGTGAAATGTACACTGTCCCTCCTGAGTGTAAGCAGTAGTACTGGCTCTAATCCCATTACTCTGTTTCTCATTCACATAAAGCAGGGGTGGGCAATTATTTTTTTCCATGGGGCCACATGAAAAACTATTATATTATATAATAGAAAATATTATAATATAATATACATGGAGAGCCAGGTCAAAATGTTTAACTCAATTCTGCATAATATTAATTGTATTTCTTTATAAAAAGCAGTAAATAGCATTGTTTTGGCAAACTGATAAGACTGGTAAGGGTTTATGTTATGATTAAGCAATGAAAAAGTGAGGTTGCCTTCCAAAAAATGTCATTTAAAGAAACGCCTCTAAAATAAAAGCAATGCAGCTTTGATGCATGAGGTATAATTATAAAATGTTTATTTTGTAATTCCAAATTATCTTAAATGGGCCGGTCTGAGTCAACCAAATGTGTGTGGCCAGGGAGCTGTACAATGGCCGCGTCTGATGTAAAGTTTAAACCATTAGGGTCTTAAGAGATGTTCTCTGATTCTACAATAGATGAACAGACGCAAAAACAGCCCAGACCAGATCAAAACACGTTTAATCTGCACTGTTTTAGTCAAGAAGACATGCATGGCAGTAGCACTACAGCAATCCATGCTTCTATAATATTACCAGGACTCTGTATGCCCATTTGATACACAACGTATATGTGGTAGTTATTTGTGTAAAGTTAGCACAATTAGCTGTACACCTAATTAAAGTTAATGGATTGACCCCAGCTGGATCTGTGGTGCTGAATAGCTGAGTTAGCTTTAATTAGCTGCTTCCACTGTGAGTATAGTAACTCTGGTTAGTCTGGTTCTTAAGGCAACAATAAGTGTAACAATAAGAGACAACAATCAGTGTTTTACCACTACTGCCCCCATGCACTGACAATGAGACATTTGTTTTCTTCATAATTGAAGAAGTGATTATTACTGACTTAAACTGGACTTTACTTGCATGTGAATGACTCAGTGAATGTTTATAATTACTTTATCACTTCTGTCTACTACTGTCCTTTCAAATAAACTAAAAAGATTAGATTTGTCTTAGAATTTTTGTATTTTCTGTTCTGTTTTTCTTCAAATCAAATGTCTAATTACAATGGGAATTAAATTAATTAAAAAATACTTTCCTCAGCTGTAATTTTCACAGCAGCCTGTTGATCCGCATTAAAGAGCTATAGAGGGCTGCAGTGTGGACTTAAGAAGAATCTATTTAAACTCACTTTGGTCTGTGATCCTTTTAGCTGTCCTCACATAGTCCCCTCCCATACTGTCCTGACATATGAGGGGACTCATTTCTTAAAATTAAACAGTAAAAGGAAAAAAAACGGTAATTCACACTGTTTGACTTACTTGTGATTATTTGAATTGTTTTAGATAATTTCTGACCAATTTTAACTCAGACTGTAAATTATACTGTATATCAAAATGATCTGCCAGTGGTCAATCATTATTCAGCTCATAAATATTATTTAAACGTTTTCATCCACTTCCAAGTGCTGTGATGAGCAAAAGACACAGCTTTACTTAATGTATGAAAACGGTAAATACTCAAGACTAAAACAGCGTATGTGTGAGTTCCAATGTGTGCTAACTAATCTCCTCCAAAGTGCCTCACCTGCCATACCCTGAAAACAAAGACTTACCACAGTCTTTGAAATGCCAATGGTCTCTTAAGAGGATTGACTCTGAATGACTTTTTAATCACATCGTCTAACCTTTTGATAACCTTTGTTTTTATTTTTCTCCAACAGAAAAGTGCAACTCCTAATTCAGACATGTCCAAGTAAGTCTGTTTCCACAGTATACAGAGCTTTTTATTCATACTGATGAGGGAGGCCTGTGTTATGGACTGGTACTAAACCACTATATATATATATATGTCTGAAATAAAGGACAGGATATGTTGCATTAGAAGCAAATAACATTAGAAATCAATGTATTAATTTGTGATTGGTGCATAAATGGTGTCAAATACCTGGTACACTTTACAGCCAATGCAACAATTTTACAGTCAGTATAATACAAAATACACACAGTTTTCTTTCTCTTTTTTTTCTTTTAAAAAAAATTTAATGTACAGTATGTTTTCTGCTGGCGTATTGTATACTTTCATTTGTTTTGTTTTTTTTTTTTTTTTTTCAAGCTATTCCATTATAACTTTTGAATCATATTAGTAACATTATGCCATGAAGTTAGTCAACATACTAGCTAGGTAGGTAAGGTATTTAAAAGTATTATAAAGTACTGCCATTTCTGGTATTTGTATTCAATATGCCTTCTAAAAGATCTCAGGTTATCTAAGAGTTTCTCCACTCAGCACTGATTTTACTCAGAACTTAGATCGTATTTGCCTGTGTGTGCCCTTTTAAAACCTCACGTGGATTTACATAATTTATTTAGAGTTTGTTAATGTGTAATCGCTCAAGGCGTTGGTTCAAATGAATGTCTCAGAGGCTATTTAGGAGTTTTCGTTCACACACCACCTGGATGGGCCTTTGAATCCGGGTGAGATCAGAATAAGCTGCTCCTCTCTTAGCTCCTACTAAAAGGATCAAGTCAGATGAGGTATTAGTGATTAGCCTTCTGCTGCCCAGACACACTACTACAACTACTTTGCATCAAATTAATTTAAGTTTCTCTCTAGCAAAGGATTAGACATATTCACAGCCAATAAATGAATGTGTACATAATTAGTTTGAATCTGGGCAAAATTGTAATGTTTTACCTTTTATGTGAAATAACACATTTGATCATATAAAATTATGTGTTTCCAGAGTTTTCAAGAAGACCAGCAAGAATGGAGGGGTAAGTCTAGTCATTGTACATGCTTTTCTTTATGAATAACAAACCTATGTATTGAGTAAATAATGTAATCCATTGGCTGTAGTTAGTTGGTTTTAATAGAATTTTGCTCTTAACCTACAGCTCACCCTCTACCTGGGAAAGCGTGACTACGTGGACCACACAACATCTGTGGACAAAGTTGGTAAGTGGAGTTAATTCAGTCACAAATTCAAGTGCTGTATGTTTCTTATAAAATGTATTAACACTAATGTTTTACAGATGGTGTGGTTAAGATAGACCCTGCAGAGCTTGGAGACAGAAAAGGTAACAGTGACCCTTAAAAGTGGTATCCAGATCTATTCAGTTTTGAGCAAATTGCTTGACTATTGCTTAAAGTATTTGTAATAACAGATTTTCTTTTGGTTTTGGTTTTTCTTTTGGTTTGATATCCAAAACACAACAAATAAAAACTATGTTTCTTTATACACTATTTAAATAAATATTTCAGGATGAGGAACCTTGTCACTTAAAGGTCTTATATTATGCCAAATTGTCTCTTGTGAGGTTAAGGTATGTTATAATGCTGTAACCTCTTCAAAAATACACCCAGAGTTGTGTTTTGTTTCATTCACACATGACCTGTTACCCATGATTATTAGTGTGTCTACATATCTAAAGCTCAAAATGTGTTTTACATTCTGTTCAAGATAAAAGAATGAGAACTTTGCACATCAATTGCTTGAGAAGGGGGCGTTGAGGAGAGGGAGCAGCCCCGGAACATAGAGAAAAATCCCACACACCATCTTACTTGCAAATTGTGAGATTTATTAGGACAAACCAACCATTGCAACAACCCTGTTTGTCTGACGAAGGCCTAGTTGCACGGTTTGTCCTAATAATTCTCACAATTTGCAAGTAAGACCATATGCAGGACTTTTCTGTACCTTCTGTTCAAGAGAAATTTGCAATTCCTTGGCTGAAATCATCCAACTGATTCTAGTGAAGGTGTATGGAGTTTAAAAACATGTGGAGCACTTCCTGTATTTGAGTGTTTTCAGTTTAAGAAAAGAACTCAGCCTAAATATGCAGGGTTTGTGTGTTAAACATGTGTGAATGAAAGAGAGCACAAGTCTGGGTATATTTTTGATGAGGAAACAACATTATAAAGACCCTTTAATTGGGTCAGGATCTAATAACTTGATCATGTAAACATTATAGGGCTACTGATTGCTGTCATTTCATCTGACTATATGTTTCTTGTGTGCGTAGTCTTCTGCCAGCTGGCGTGTGCCTTTCGTTATGGCAGTGACGACCTGGATGTGATGGGCCTGTGCTTCAGGAAGGACATCTGGATCGAACACGTCCAGATCTACCCCCAGACATCCAAACCGGCTCAGACCCCCATGCACGACACCCTGTTGGCCAAGGCTGGGGACAACGCCTACGCCTTCACTTTTGAGGTATGTCAAATACTGTATGTATTAGAGATAGGCAACCACTGATGGTAACCAGTTTAAGTATTGTCAGTGTATGTACTATTAGGTGGATATTGACTTTTTCTTGTTTTCATTGGGTTAATTTTGTACGATAAAACTACTGCAACCAACAAATTTCTAGGCCTAATAAGGTTTGTTGTGAAGGGCCGTAACAATTAATCAAATTAAGTGTGACTAGTAACAATTTTAAAAGCATAATCATATATATCTGGACCATATAGACTCTCAAACATTTGGTTATAATTGTATTTTGCATCTCAAAGTATACGAGAAGTAATAATTTAACTAGCCATTTAAACAAAGAAATAATTACTGACAGGTCGACTACTAAAATCATTGTAAGTCGCAGCCCTGCAGTAGTCTAAATATGAAAGTGATCATTTTACAAGCAATTATTACCTTCTGTCTTTTTGTCACAGAATAATACAAACCCAAAAAATTGTTTATTTTGACAAAATTATTATTTTTTAAATGTCTGTTTCCAGATTCCCAACAACCTGCCGTGCTCAGTGTCCCTGCAGCCAGGACCTGATGACAATGGAAAGGTCTGAATTGTCTGAATTGCTAAAGTGAAATATGAGTTGTACAGTCTCAGCCCTGTTGCATTGCTCAGCTTTTGTTATTTGTAGGCCTGTGGTGTTGACTTTGAGGTCAAAGCCTACCTTGCCAAGGAAAAGGACAACCCTGATGAGAAAGTTGAGAAGAAGTAAATGATATTATATTTTGCACATATAACATATACATCATGTTTTCTACATCCAGCCATGAATTATGTTTGTTTTTTATTAATTATTCTACCAGAGACACAGCTCGCCTCATTATTCGTAAAATCCAGTATGCCCCCTCTCAGGTTGGCGCTGGGCCAAAATCTGAAATCTGCAAGAGCTTTATGATGTCCGACAAGCCTGTCCATCTAGAGGCCTCCCTACAGAAAGATGTAAGGATCTCATTCAACTATGAATCATAATCATAATAATGAATACAAAAAGCTACAGTTACTTTGGACACATAGTGCTCTGTATTGTATATTTACTCTTATTAATATATTATATTATATTATTTTTGTTAGCCCTACAGTTTAAACCTTCACAAACATTTTCTAACTTGTTTATGTTTAGTGAATGTTCATTTAAATATAACAAAACATATTTCATATTTCTTATAGCTCATTGCATATTCATAGTTTCAGAGTGATGAAAAGAGACCATAATAAATAATTAAAAGGAAAATGTTCAAACTTTTGAATGGTTGAAAGTCCTCAACATGCTAAAATCCTTGACGAAGAACATCTGTATCTGTGGTACAACTGTCTGGTAACTCACTGGATTTTGTGCTTGAACACAGCTCTACTTCCACGGTGAGAGCATCCCAATCAAAATCAAAATCAACAACGAGAGCAACAAAACTGTGAAGAAGTTCAAAATCACTGGTCAGTGTTCTGCATGGTACATTCATGAGGCCCATATATTTACAGGCTTATTTTACATTACAGTGATTCTAACTCAAACCCTCCTCTCTCTCCTACAGTGGAACAGTGCACAGACATCGTGCTGTACTGTGCCGACAAATACACCAAGACTGTTTACTGCCAAGAGTTTGCGTAAGTATCCAATTACACTACACGCAGGCACAGGTTAGTTTGTTAGCTGATGATTAGCATTTTAGAACATTTGTAAAATTAATATAGCCAGTTTATCCCTCAAGCTTCTGTTTGTATCACAATAGCACTTGTTTGGAGTAAATTTAAATATTTTTAGCAAAGTAAACATATCTCTTTCTCCCTTTTAAATCAGTTAACGGGACAATAGTGGACCTATGTATTCTGTTTGGGAAAATACTAATAATTATTCTAAGTAAGTTTCTAATACAGCAGTCAGCAACTCATCAACACAAAACTGCACAACAGGTAGTTCATAGTTCATACGAAGCCTAGCTCATCTGGAGATGGGTCCTGGCGCTGCACTGATCAAATGTAGAGAACAGTTTTCTCTACAGACACAATAAAACAGTTAGTGTACCTTATGTGTTTTTATGTACTGTATGGATAGAGCTGTTAATTTTATTTTATTTTTCAGTGAGACTGTGGACCCTACTGCCACCTACGACAACACTCTGTCCATTACACCTTTGCTCAGTGAAAACAAAGAGAAGAGAGGCCTGGCACTGGACGGTCGGCTTAAAGATGAAGATACCAACCTCGCCTCCACCACAATGTAAGAAAGATTCACTGATTGACAGGGGAATTTCTAATGTCAATGTTAATATAGTTGAAAACAAACCAAGATCTGATTTGTAACTTTTTATCTGTTCCACAGCCTGAAGACAAACATTGAGAAGGAAGTGCTGGGAATCCTGGTCTCCTACAAGATCAAGATCAACCTGATGGTGGCTGGAGGAGGGTAAATACTACGAAATAGTTGAATTAACAAGAAAAATAAAATAAAAATAATACATTTTAATAAAAATAATACATTCTTTCCCTCTTCTTATGAACTTGTCTAGCCTGCTGGGAGGCCTTACTGCCAGGTGAGTTAAATATTAAGTTAACTTAAAGCCAGTATAACATATTTACTTTCCATTATTTGAATAATTCTTTTTCTAATATATTTTTGTGTCTTTATTTAGTGATGTCACAGTTGAGCTGCCGTTGATGCTTATGCACCCCAAGCCTGAGGGTAAACATAAATACATATGCTAAAAACAGAATCATTATTATACTATATTTTTTATGTGCCATAAATTTATATTTTATCTTTTGTACCTCAACAGAGTAAACACCTCAATATTGTAAGTATAATTTGACTGACTAAAATACACAATAAAAAATGAATAAAATATGATAACAATGTTTATTCTCTTTTTGTTACAGTGACAAAGACAACCAGTCCTTTAGTCCAGGTGTGTTTGAATTAAAAATAAATAAATAAATATGTTTTTATTTATTTTTATTTATTTCCATTTTGTTTGACAAAGAGTGAGTTGCAGGTGGAGAGTGGAGAGAAAAGAACAAGAAGAGACAAGACTGAGCCATGAAATGCACAGATGCACCTAAACATTCCCCATCATCCCCATGTTGTAACATCACTTCTCTGGACACATTGTTACGTTTTCTGTATTGTTGAATATAGCTGTCAGATCAGTGTAGACACAGGCCTGTCATAAACACACCACTGTGTTATTAGTGTAAGAGAGCATTCTCAGAACTGTTCACTTTTCCTTCTCCTAGTGTTGTGAAAATGATTTTGATTCCCACTGTGAAAAACACAATAAATTAAGAAAAATAAAAACAATGATTGTGACTTTTTATCCCATTATTTAATATTCCTTAGCGATTTCATCCATAAGGTTAAGGGCTGTGTACCAAAGAGAATGAAAACCATCCCATAATCTTTACAGGAGAGGCAAGACTCTATGTACAAAATAAGAAAATGTATACCCACTTTATCCATAGGTTTCAGAATGGTGAGAAATTAGGATTAGAATTAAATATATCGTTTGATATAAAAAAAAGTCTGATCGGTAATATGCTTGTAATATTATTGACAACCCAGACCCAGCCAAAAATCTTCAAAATGCTGCATATAACATGAAGCTGAAACCCGTGAATATTCTTTTTTTGAAAAGATGCAACATCAGTTTTAATTGTTTTGTTTGTATAAAATGTGATAAAAGAAAGAGATAAAATTTACCAAATGCTTAAAGAAACTCTTATTCCTTTATGTATGATATGCCATTTTGCAATTAAATTACCCTTTTGGAGGATAATAAGTAAAACACATACACAGTAATAGTATTAGTTTGGAACAGCAGAGGGCAGCACTGACTGAAAGCTGTTTTCTGTCAAAACGAAGAAGGCTTTTGCTCTGACGTCATCGCGCAAAACGTGCCTCACAGCAGCAGCAACATGGCTCTGAATGGAGGTTTGTAAACTTTTATTGCAATTAAACCATTTTCCTAAACCTCTTCTTTCATATTTATGTTATTTCTACCACCCCACGTATGTTTATTAAAATGGTACGTAAGGTAAAATGGGTCTGAACAGCAGTATGTTTGTGAAATTATTGACAGCGTGAGCAGAGCGTTAGCATTATTAGCATGCTCACAGTATCACCGATAAAAAGCTGTATAACTGTATTTTATCATTATAAGTAAAATACGAAGTGAGCGCAGTAATGCACAGTGTGTCGTTATATTCGACATACTCAGTGTAGCAACTTAACTGTTTTACGCTGTGCATGCATGTCTGGTAATAATATGGACTGTGTTTGAATAATTGTGCAGATGATGAGGACTTTGAGTGGGAACCTCCGTCTGAAGCCGACATGAAGGTGATCCAGGCGCGCAGAGAGAGACAGGACAAAATAAGTAAACTGATGGGAGACTACCTGCTCAAAGGATACAAGATGCTGGGGGAATGCTGCGACACTTGTGGGGTGAGAGACAGACTGGGGCTTTTGGGTAGTAGTGCGGGTTAATTTAGTCTTCAAATAAATGTTTGCTAAAATCATTATGCCACCAAGGAGTAGGTTGAGTAGTTAGGTTGTATAGAAGAATTCCCTTGATAAACAACAAAACTTCAATATAAACTGCTAACCTTGTTGTATAAATCTATACAGATGCACAAATGCATGGATTTGTTCTTATGCCGCTTTCTATTGAATGTCCATAGACAATATATCCGAGTCAGTTCTCTCAACATCCATTGTAAATGTATTCCATTGCTACTGTTTAATGCCCAACCGACTCAGTCTGCACCAAATAGGCCGAGTTTGTGTTTCAGAACCCCAATTTGATTGGCCATTCCGTTGCACTTTCTTGAGGTGGAGGTCAGTTTTCCCTGAGTCCTGAGCACAACAGAATGCGCCAATAGTTCGGTCTTCTTCCATATGTATGCAAAACTAATTCAAATAACAATATTTACCAGATATTTGCAACTGTTGCTCTTTTGTAGCCATACCAGCTTGTCAAAGCCTGATCCCGTCAGATCTCAGAAGCTAAGCAAGGCCTGGCCTGGTTAGTACTTGGATGGAAGACCACTGGGAATTCCATGTGCCACAAGGGGGCACCAGTAGCAAAAACTGTCATTGTGTCCTTAGGCAAGACACTTTGCCTAGTATGAAAGTGCTGTGTGCATGAGTGATGGTGGTGGTTGGAGGGGCCAAAGATGCAGATTGGCAGCCTCACTTCCATCAGTCTGCCTCAGGGCAGCTGTGACTACAATACTAGCATGCCACCTCCAGGTATGGAGTGAATGAATAATGAGCTGTAAAGCGTCTGAGTGTCCAGAAAAGCGCTATATAAAACTGGTGCATTATTATTATTATTATTTTGTCTTGTATACAGATTTTTCAAAAAGGATGGATTGAACTGTCGTCATTCCATCATTTTCACAAATGAAAAAAAATCACAGATTCACATCTTAAAAATGAACATGCATCTGCTCTATTTCAGACTATACTTCTGCAGGACAGGCAACAGAAGAACTACTGTGTTTCTTGTCAAGAGCTGGACTCTGATATTGACAAGGATAATCCTGGTGAGAATACACTCCCTTATAACATATTAATGACTAAGCAGTACAACTCATGTATTACTCAGGTCTCCTCCCTTTCTTTGTTTTCAGCTCTTAATGCCCAGGCAGCACTGTCCCAGGTGAGAGAAAGGCAGTTAGCATCCCAATCCCCGGCGCCGCCCCAGACACCTGAGGCCAACAGCACCTCGTCAATCCCTCAGCCACGTCCCGAGCACTGTGAGGGGGCCGCTGCTGGAGGGAGAGCTGCCTTACCTCCTGCTCCTGTCCCGCCCGTGCCCACTCTCTCCACCCCTCCTTCAGCTCCTGTCCTGGCTCCCACTCGCCCAGCAGTCATCCCACAGAACACAGCCCTGCGACCCGTGGTGCAGGACGCAGAGGAAGCTGTTCTCACTAAACTGCGCTGGGCCACCAACCAGCTCCAGACTTCAGCATCACTCGAGACCAGTATCCAGCTTTGCAGCCTCATCTCTAGCTGTGCAAACTCACTGCGCACGCTTCGAGAGCTCAGCCAGTGACCACTATGGACTGAAAGAAAAATGCTCTTTCTATTTGTCACTGTCATTCAAATAGTGACTGCTTTGTGGACTGATTTAGATGCATAGGGAATGGCTGAATATGAAAATTAGTATGTATGCCTGAAGTGCAGTTTGCTTGGCATTTACCATGAATCCACTGCACTATGACTACCCCAAATTGTACTCATTGAATTACAATTATTACATCAGCTTAATTCAACTGCCCCACCACCCCTGCAGAAGTTTAGAGTTAATTTGATCTTGAATCTTGTTTGATACTTCCATTCTGCAGTTGTTGGTAAAGCCTTATCCTAATTAACAGCTCATACAGAATGTAATATACAACCTTGATTCATTTGCCCATGTAATTATAAAGCAAGTATCAAAATGTGTCAAAATATGATTTAATATTGACAAGTCAGGAAGATTGAATATTAAGGGATTCAAGCTTCCTAAAGTAGAATTGCACTTCTGAACAGCTGATATTTGTAATGATATCTTCATTTTGTTCTTTCCACCACAACCCTATCATTTCGCAACTTGAAAAACATGTTACAACAACTGATACAGTACGACATAATGGACCTATACATTGTGCATTGTTATTACATAGTACTCAATAAAACTGACGTAAGGATATTGCCTTGATCAAGCAAACAGAAATTAATAAATTAATATTAAATGTTATGTTATGTTTTATTGACCTAGCATAACCTATTCAATGTTATTCCTGAAGTTCATCCTGTTTACTTATGACTCAATTTTGATTTGTATTGTAAATAAACTGCATACATTTCCTTTGCATAAGGATATTGCTGAATGATGTGGGTAAGACCATTATTTCTCTTCACCTTTATAAACGTTAGAGCACATGTTCTCACAATTTGTTACCTTCGCCAAGGAGGTTATGTTTTTGCCGGCGTTTGTCTGTTTGTTTGTCTGTTAGCAACATAACTCAAAAAGTTATGGACCGATTTTGATGAAATTTTCAGGATTTGTTGGAAATGTGAAAAGGAAGGACTGATTTCATTTTGGGGGTGATCCGGATGAAATCCTGGATTCTGGATCACTTTGAAATTTTAGTTAACATTGTGGTAAATGGGGCCAAAAATTATGTTTCTCAATATCTCTTTTAATTATTGACCAAACCCCATGAAATTTGACTCAGGGATGGACAATCAGATCCTCTTTCATATTCCAAATTGAAAGATACAAGACAAATATTTATGGAAAACACAATTAATATGAGGGGGACTGTAGTCCTTGGTGGAGGTCTGCACTCTCAGTGCTTTTCTAGTTCTTAATAGGTTGATGAGGTTTGCAAAAAATTCAGGAGGCTATTGTAAATGATTGATGTGATAATGTGATTGTAATTAATTAGAAAAGAATTGCAATGTATTATATTGAGATCGTGCAATACTTTTAAGGTGGGACAGAAACGTCTAAAAAGTAACTACAGTCAAAAGACACATCTCCTTGACGTTTTCCATATGGTCCCCAGTCTACTGTACAGGGGCGTGGTGCGTTCAGTGTTGGGCGGAGCTAAGAAAGTCAGACACAAAGGAAGGCAAAGGAAGCAAAACAAAGCCAGGAAGACTCATATAAACAAAACATGTTATACATTCACTGACTAAACTACAGAAATATTCGCCTGTATGCGGTAAACGCGTTAAATCAGCTTACAGCAGTCAGCTCCTCGGGATGAACGGGAACTGTCCAGCGGCGGGCGGTGTGTTGTCGCTGGAGGGGCTACCGCCGCTGCCCAAAGGCCTCAGCGGGATCCTGAACTCCAGCGGCGGCTCGTGGAGGGACATGGAGCGGGTACACGCCAAGAGGGCCCGTATCCAAGCTGACATGTCCCGGAGCGGCACCGAGGCAGCACGACAACCACCGGGGAAGCGAGGAGGGCTGGACGCAGCGCTGGCTCTGCTTCGGAAAGAAATGGTAAACTGCACAGCATGAATACAAGTGTGTTCATAGTACAGTAGGTCTATGACTCCAAAGCTCTTTTGAAATCTGATTGGACTTAAGTTTGGCAATGTTCTATCTATGTAAGCGTGTTTTCTATTGTCTTTTGTCTACAGCTACAACTTTTGTTCACAACTATTTGTTATGAATGACACTGCGCCAAAATACTTGCAGTTTTAAAGTAGGTCACCCCTGGATTATTTAGGTCACTGATATCATTGATAGTCTCTCTCACTTGATCAGTTATGATGTTATAACTTATTTGCATTCTACTTGGCTAATGTTTTATTTCAAATGTTACTTTAATTTATTTATTCAGAGTTACCAAACAGGAAAAAAAAAAGAATGATGGACAATGGACGTTCCTACGACTTGTAAGTGACAGGTGGATTTAACCAGTAACAAAGAGGTTCAAACTCCCAATACAAGAAGATGGATACAATTAATCCTTAGATTGTAGCAATACCAGCTTGTCAAAGCCTGATCCTGTCAGATCTCAGAAGCTAAGCAAGGCCAAGTCTGGGTAGTATTTGGATGGGAGACTGCTGGGAAAATAAGTCGTTGTGTCCTTAGGCACCTCACCAACATTGCCTAGTATAAAAGTGGAGAGTGTGTGAGTGTTGTGATGGTGATTGTTGGAGGGGCAAATGGTGCAGATTGGCAGCCTCGCTTCCAACAGTCTGTAGTTACAATAGTAGTGGAGAGAATGAATAATCCTCTGTAAAGCGTGTTAATTAGTATTATTATTTAAACAATGTGAAGCTAATAAGTAATGCTAATCTTTAAATTGACCATAAAATTGTGACTTTATTTGATGATTTTTCTCTCTCTCTCTTGTCCTCAGGTAGGTCTGCGTCAGTTGGACATGTCTCTCCTTTGTCAACTCTGGTCCCTTCACGAGTCCATCCAGGAGTACAAGGGCTCCTCTCTGCTTCACGAGGGCTCGTTTAGCACCGAAAACGTATACTCAGATGACGAGGAAGAGGAGGGAGGAGAGGAGGAAGAAGAGCTGACCCAACCTACCCCCACCACACCTCTGTCTCTACCCCCTCTCAGCCATAACTCTCGGGACCAGTGGATAAAAGACTCCTTCAAAATACCATGAAGTTTAAACTCAAATATGCTCAAGAAATATGCTCCATACAATCAACACCATTTATTTTTTTATATCTAAATGTAAAGCTTTAATGAGTATTTTATGTCTCATTTATCAAACTCCATATTCTGAGCATGTGCCTTCACCTTTTTAGACAACTGAATGTAGGCAGTTATACAGTATTTTGTTTTCAGGGACCAACATGTCAAATTGATGGTTTATGTTACTTTGATTAACTTAATTCATTCACATGTTTTAGGTGGGTTGGACAAAACTTTTAGATAATAACATGTGCACTTCAACATTTAAAAGTTCACTACAATGTTGTGCCATCATGAGCTGTTTTTACAAAATATTTTAATTTCACATTCTTTAAACACATTTTCTTTATTTTATTAAAAACAATGTTGCGAAGTCCCATTTGTGGATCACAGTTTTAAGAAAAGACAACACTAGACCTCATGTTTTTTATTAACTATTTTTTAACTCAACTTTTGGCAATCACAAATAAAATATACATTGACTAAATATGGAAACTTGTTCAGACATTTTGCTGTTGATTAATCTTGCATAAGTAGAGGTAATGTCAGTTACATACATTTAAACTCGGGCTAGGACAAGTCTAACCAGATTTGACAATCGTTTTTATTTAATTTGCATTGTAAACTTGCAGGCACTTGCTGACTTGGTTTGGATCCTAAATTAATTTTGACTTGCAACATCTTGCAACAAAGCTTGTTTTTTCCACTTTCAATTAATATATTTTCTTTTCCAAACCAATATTCAAACATGTCTTCTTTTTTATTTGATAGAAGTATTTATCTAGTCTTATTTAACTTAGGGGAGTAGCCAATGCATTTTATGTTTTCTTTCTATTATCTCTTGGGAGCTAAAAGTAGGTCACTGAAAAGGTTAACCACCAGACAGTTGTACTTTTTTCTTTACTTAAACCTGTTTTTATTTTTTTTTACTTAGAATTATGTGTTGTACAAATCTGCACAACTACAGAAAAACAACAAATCCCTCATTATCATCAAAATAACATTTATTAACCAAATCAAAAGCTGATGTTCCCCATTCTGACCAATAGAGGGACACGCTGCCTATACTCTTGTACAGTCTTGCCCCTCTCTCATGCCTCTCTCATTCACTACTGCCTTTTATTTTACCCGTCTGTTAGTAGGCGTCTGGGTAAAACCATTTGTCCCAGAGGGGAGCAGGCGCCCAGGACAGTGACGTGTGCAAAGAAAGTCCCATGTCCTATATTTAACCCTTAGATGTTGTGGATATAGTTAGTGTCTCAGCATTGGAGTGAGGTCTAGCGAACATTTGGACTCCTCATCATAACATAGGCCTCAGGCTCAGGTTATAAAGTAAACAAATCCTTCAAACACTCTTTATGTCAATACACACATCTATCCAGGTCTGTGGGCGTTAAATGAGCTTGTCTCTACCTGCTTGTCTCTCTGGAGATATTATTACTTTCTGTGATGTTCCGACATTTACCATTTCTATCTGGCATCAATTACAGAGCTTTTACTTTCTACAATAACATGTAAGCTTGAGCGGAATCGCCTCTCATCTGTTCTGTACTGTAACTAGATAAGTCTAATGCTATATTGTGGAACATTACAGGCAAAATAATACCTCCATGGAGACTCTTCACCAGAAAACCTTTAGTGTAAGACATTCAAGTAGTAGTCAGTAAATCAGTAGTTGTTAAGCTTAAATCTATATCATAACGTATAATTTTGCAATTTTAGTTATGTGCATTTTTGATTTGAAACAAAAAAGTATCTTGCAGTCTTATCAGTTGTATGCTCACTTTGGAACCGACAATCTTTATTTCAGTGTTACCCATTCTTTTAATTGCAGCAAACATAATGAAGCAGCATCTCAATATTATGAGCTTGTTATAGGAGGAAGTGTGAGTAGCCTAGATCTTCTCGTGGAGGTTGAAACTAGACTACCTCTGAGTCATGACTACGACCTCCAGCTGCTCCCGTCCGTCCATCGCTCCAAGACTAAAAATACTCTCTCCTCTCAACCAGGAAAATCCCTCAGCCTCTGCCCCACACAGGGGTAATAACAATCACAATGTACACTGCTAATCTACCTTGAAGTCAGTGAACTTTACATTACCTCAAATGTGTTCTACTACCAATAAATACCACCAAGGACAGAATCAAGATAAAACTACATTAAAACTGGAATTAAACAGCCCAATACCAAACCAGGACTAAGCAAATGTAATCCTGTTTTGATTGAATCTGTATTTGAAATGGCTGAAACCATGACTAAAGCAGGACTGAGCCAAGTCTAAACTAGGACCAAAGCAAACACATAAACACAACCAAACCCAGGACTAAATAAGGTCTACAAAGAAGGACTTAACCCATAACTCAGCATTTAAATCTGTAACTGGGAAAATCCTGCTGGACACGTACCACAGTTTAGGAAGATTTAATTCTTTTATTTCTTTGCATCACTTTCCGAATCATGATGTGGCTCTGATTCAGAAAATGACTAAGAAATTCTTTTGGGAAACCACCAAGAGAGAGTGGCGTGTTTGGGCCTTAACTTGGCACTCCTTAGACCAATTTGTAATGACTACCACTTTTAAAACAGTAACGACTCTGAACGTTGCCTGGTTGGTCCTGGAAAAGTCATTTATTCCATGCTCCGTTCCTTCCTGGTTTTGTTCACTTGTTTTTCCATCCTTCGTACCTGCCACAGTCTGCCAAATATGAAGCAAAACTAGTGAAGCCAATTTTATGAATAATGCTCAGAATGACATTTGCACTAATAAACAAGGAAGCATTCAAGTTAAAAATGGTATAATATCTCAGTTGTACAATGCATGTAAACCTTATGACTGACTATAAAATAAAAGACAGTTAGTCAAATGTTCAAAAGCAATCAAATGTTAAGAAGCTTCCTAAATTTATAATAAAAATGCAGACAACTTTTGAATAGATTTAGGTGATCATCTTAACCTTGTAAAACATATTCTCTTTTGCCACATATAGCTTTTATAACACCAACAGGAGTATAGCCTAAATGTTACAAGATGATAAAACGTATAGAATACAGTTTATTTCTCAATACAGTTCAATAAACTCAGATTTAACAATTATATGCTTATAAGACAGTTGTTAAAAGATTTCCACAGCGTTGCAATGACACAAGAGGTCAATAAATCGTCTTATAATTCCTGTTTTATTCAAGACCCCCATAATTATAATGCTGTCACTATCCTAGTTTCCACCTTCCTTATCCTGTATTAGCCTACATTAGATTAGAAAGCTTTTATTATTCAGGCAACTTATAAGATACCCCTCTGCCCCCCTGGCCAATCGATAGCGGTCTACTGTAACGGATGAAGTCAATGTTGAGATAAGTTACTTTGCAGTAACACAGACAGGAGCAAAGTCTAATGTGCTGTAATAACTAGAGTCTGTGGAGTCCAGAGCCCGATAAACCTTTGCATATGAACTACGGACATCACTTCTCTTTGCATATGCACAGTCTCTCTCTTTCTCTCTCTCTCTCGCTCTCTTGCCTGCAGCTGTTGTACCCCCTGTGAGCACGAGGGAGGGGGCATTATAGATCTTGCCTTTTATTACAACGATCCCTCACTCCTTCACAGGGCCGCTCATGACCACGAGTTTTTTTTTTTGATGCACCCTATGACAACACGAAATTCAGTTCCTCATTGCGCGCCGATTCTTTTCTCGTGCGTAATTCAACTTTAATCACTAAATGAAGCGCAAGTCGGAGCTTGTGTGAAGCGAAGCGGCAGCAGTAGCACTCGGAGAGGACCATTTAAGGAATATATTTGGATTATAGTCGCTGAACGGACTCGTGGAGAGCGGATAACTTTCTGGAGTTATGACGTCTGTATGGAAGCGACTACAGCGCGTCGGTAAAAAGGCATCAAAATTTCAGTTCGTGGCGTCTTACCAGGAACTTGTCTTGGAGTGTACGAAAAAATGGTAATTATTTCACATTTGGGCTTGTTTGTGATCCTTTTGTAGATACTGGTGTCATCTTATCATCTTTTTGAGTTTCCGCTATACGCATAACCTGTATTTAGTGGTTACACATCAAATTGACTTTTACACCAGGGAAGCCATTTATAATTAACACATGACGCCGGGTCTAGCTAGTTTGTTCACACTTGCACTTGCGTTATGGATAAAATAAGAAATTGCTTCACTTTACTTGCACTTATTTGCATTTTGGAACAGCTTTACCCATGGATAAAATGTAAAAAGTTGAATAAACTACTGGCTGCAATAAAAATATACCATTATAAATTAAGATAGAGCTTACACACACACACACACACTATAACCGTAACTTATTTAGTTTTGTTCACACTAGAAACTTTCGATTCCTCAACCTTTTCGGGTTGACACTTAAAACCTGATGGATGCTTTACCAACTCAGTGACATTTCCGGTCATGCAAAACAGCTGAGAGCCGCTGGTGACGCAGCATTTGCCCGTGATTGATGTTTGGCATGCGCTCGGCTGACCACACTATTCTTTGTTTTAGAATTATAGGCTATGGATGAGGTAAATGTAATGACTTCTGAGTTAGTTTATGGTGTGAATGGACAAATTTATTCTATATGCTTTATTTGGTGAAATTTCATAATTCTTCCACTTTTTAAGTCATTTTATTGTTGTTTCTAGGCACATGTATGGACAAAGACAGTCTCATTCAATCTCACACTCATTCACTAAATTACATTGATTTTAATTGACAGAAGATAATTGTTTTCTATTGATTCATTGATTACAGTTTTTGAAGATAGATAAGATAGAAGATAAGATAAACCTTTATTTGTCCAACAATGGTGAAACATAAGGTGATCCATGCTGTTTAATTGCTGTCCATACATATATTCATTGTGACACTACTTCAGACAATTAATCATTAGCCAAACCAGCAAGTGTCATCTATAATAAATAATAGCCTTAATGACACTGCATAACATGTCCATGAGTGTAATTACATAATTAATCAACAAGTGACAACAACATAATCTACGTCTGAGTCTATCTGTCACTATCTGGTACTTTTCAATTATCAAGAGCATGTTAAAAGATCTTTAGACTTTTGCCCACCTACATACCAGCATAGGACACACTGCACCTTGTTATCAGTCAAGGGTGGTATAATTACTACATGTGTGTATGAAAACTTATGGTCCTAAAGCATTATGTGTATGTGTTGACTCAGCTCTGGGTAACAGTTGTCCGAGAGTAATATTGGAAGGCAAAGACTGATTGGGAAATGAGTACCACTCCCTGTCATGGGGAAATCAACATATAGCGTGTTAGAAGTTAAAACAAGAAGTGTTTAGAGACTTTATTGTAGGTTCTTTTTGAAACCCACAATTTGCAGAGACACAAGGTTTGTTATCCCTAAACACAGCTTGTAATTACTTTGTATTTTTATGTTATTATGTGGGATTAGTGGGATGAGCAAATCAAAAGATTTAGAATGAAGACAAACACAACTAAAATGATTAAATCCCACTGTATATTAGTAAACCGATTTCTTAAAACAGTTAACAAGAATTCTTAAAAAGCTTTCTTTTCAGGTCTGATGTTAGGCATTATGCAATATTATCATAATAATTCTGACTCAGCTGGGAAAACCACAGCTAAACCATGACTAAACCATGACTACACCAGGTCTAGAACAGAATTAAGCCTATATCAGGACTAAACTAGGACTAAACCAGGACTTGAACAGAATCAAACCAAGTCTACACCAGGACTATACAAGGCACAGATCGAGACCTGGACCAGGAAGTATTTGGACGCACCCATAATGGCCCAGAGAGAGATGTGGTCTCACGACTCAATGAACAGAGCCTGAATATATCTTTATATCTTCTGTTGGACCTCATTATTGTCTGTGCAGTGACAAAACATTGACCACACCATAGAATATAAGCACATGTTACTGCAGGGCATTACACTGCTGTATTGACCAAGCTAGTTCAATCATGTATTTTTGTGCTGTCTTTTGTGTTGTTCTGTCAGATGCTCGTAAACCAGGCTTTGATCGTAACTTATTTTGATTGTCTTAAATCCTGGCTTTCATTGGTTCTGGGCTATGTACGAAAACATGTTACAATCAACCCCAGTCATTTTGGATAAAAGCTCATAAAACATTTTAATTTCTGTCTTGTTAATACATTTTTTCATTTATGAATGGATTTTATTACCTGGGGCTACCGTTTCCTGTGAAAAGTCACGCCTCACATTTAAAAGCAGGTCACATGACGTTAAACTTCCTGTTTCACTTCCTGTTTAGAAGCCATGTGAAAATACAAAAGGAATGCATTCGCTGGTGCCACTCACAATGTACAATTCCTCACATATCATCTATAATAGGGCCATGTTTTAGTTATTCACTTGTCAAGAGGAACATTGACTATTTACCTATTGTTTTGACTCCAAGGGGCAATAACAGAGCAATGGCAGTCACAAGACCTAATGCTTGCCCCCGTACTTGGGTCGACTAGATAATATGAGCTTTATAAGGCATGATTAAATTATACTAGTACAAGTCCATCATTGTATCACGTTTAACATACTTTCAACTCTGGAGTTTGGGTCTCAGTAATGTTTTTTGTATTGTGGAGTAAATTTGGTGATGCTGTGTTATTATTTTATTATTTGGTTTATTATAGGCTCATCAGAATAATTGTCTTAATTTATTAGTATGGTTTAAGTAAGGGGATCTGCAATAGTGGCTTGCATGTTAGACTCAAGAATTACTGGTACAGATTTGGCTGTTATTGAGTTTTGGGAATATCAATATTTCATAATTCTAACCTAGTATCACATTTGAGTTTGAAATTTTGGTATCACGACTATATCAGCTCAACTTTCCCTTAGAAACAGCATATAATCAGCAGGTGTATAAAGTAAGGAGTCCGGTGTCTCTGTTTTGACCTGCGTTGTGTGTTTCTCAGGCAGCCGGACAAACTGAGGGTGGTGTGGACCAGGAGGAACAGACGCATGTGCTCCAAGGTAAAAAAACACACTCTTTCCATTACACAGTCTGTGCTGGAGAGGTAAACTGGACAGATTATTCTAAAAGTAATATGTACAATTTTGAATGTGGGCTTTTATGCTCATAAGGCCATATATTAGGCAAGGCAAGGCAAGTTTATTTGTATAGCACAATTCGTACACAAAGTAATTCAAAGTGCTTTTAAAGGTCATATATTAAGTAAAATCGACTCTTGTGAGCTTTAAGCCATGTTATAATGTTGTTACCGCCTCAAAAACGTAACTGGAGTTGTGTTTTGTTCATTCACACATGTTTGAGTAACCTTTTATTATTTGTCTGTCTCAGTTTCTAAAGCTCAGAGTGCTCCACCTTGTGATGTCATGAAGTGGTAGTTTTTCAAGTTAACAGCTACCTTTATTTCAGTATAGATTGGCATTTCAGGGTTGAAATTGTCCAAATGATTCTAGTGAAGGTGTATGGAGTTTAAAAAGACACTGGAGCACTTCCTTTATTACCACATGATATCACATTGTAGAGCAGAGTGTTTCCTGTTTAAGGAAACTGATGAGAAAACATTATAACATAGATCAGAAAATAGCATAATATGGGCCCTCTAAGTGTAAAACCATAGTAAATTTGATTCTCGTGTTAATTTTAAAATTAGTTTATTTAATGGCTGCAAAAAGTTATCACCGTTGTATTACTGTTTTTTTTTTTCTTTTTTACTCATAAGACACCATGTTTGTTTTGACACAAACAGACCATGTGTTTCTCTGAATGATTCATTTCCCAGAATATGGTTCCAGACCTACACGTAAACTATTGTCAAAGTGTGTTGTATTGGCTGACCAGAATTTGAATTGCAAAAACAGTATCTAGTGATTAAAGTATGACTCCACAAAATTCTCTCTTGTCACATGATTGGTTGTTTTTTTCTAAATTAAACAAAATTACACCATAATCACTCAGAACATTACTCTGCAATTTCATCTGTTCAAATCAGTTGTAACAGATTGAAAAAGTACAGTCATGTGATCGTTTGATTGGTAGGATTTTATGTAATAATAATATTCAGTATTTTTTCCATTTCTTCAAATGGTATATTCTGCAGTGTATTCATCAGGAAGATTGTAATTGTAGGGTATTGTTTTTGTTATTGGTATTTTCTCCATGCATAGATGATATGCCAAGTGTAAGCTGATGTCTTGTTTGTGTGTTAGCTCCACAGTTGGCAGCCGGGCATCAAGAACCCGTACAGAGGGATGGTGGTGTGGCCCGTCCCCGAAAACATCGACATCTCTGTTACTCTGTTCAAGGTACCAGCAGTAACAGGACCTCCTATTTACACTGTACACAGCAGCTAGGGGACAGGGAAGAGTGAATAGAGTGAAGAGAGTTGATAAAACAATACATAGACATTTACTATAGCTATATTTATTTATAAATATAGCACATTGATATAGCACGTATATTTATAGCACATTTATATAGCATAAGACTTATAACTTCTGATGTTGCACAGTTTAATAAGATGAAGGTCTTCTTGAATGAAAGAGTTTTGTGAATTCCCCTTTAATGGTCGATGGAAGTGTGTAATAGCCTTTCTTTTTTCACACTCAAGTTAGAAGTAAACTTGTTGTTGTAGACATGTTGTATTTTTGTATATCTTACCAGGCACAACGTTAAGAACAATGTCTAGTTTAATTTTGACAACGGGTCGTATGCCAATAAAAAGCACTACAATCAGTTTAATTTAATTACAGGAAGATTCAAGGTTTGTTATCATTAATTGAAGTTCATTGTGACTGTTTACTGTTTGCAGGATCCTAATGCAGAAGAATTTGAGGACAAAGAGTGGACCTTTGTCCTTGAGGGGGTAGGAATCATTTGATTATGTCTCAATCAATCAGTCAATTGTGAATAAACTTGACACCAAAATTCGACTTAAAAACTGGTGGTTAAACTGGTGATTTGCAGACTATCCTTTCTAGATGCACACATTATGTTTTTCTTCTTCTGCAGGAGAACAAGGGCCATCGTAAAGTGCTGGCGTCCGCAGACATCAACATGAAGCGTTTTGCGAGCCCCACTCCAACACAGACTGACCTGACACTGAAGCTCAAGCCTCTGTCGGTGAAAGTGGTGGAGGCCACGCTCAAACTGTCCCTGTCCTGTGTCTTCATCAGAGAAGGAAAAGCCACGTGAGTTAAAACACATGTTACTGCTCACACATGTTAAAGGGATAGTTCAGGATTTTTGACATGAATCTGTATGGCATCCCCGTCATCAGTGTTGTGCATCCACACCGACTTACCCCCGAAAGCGTCCGGTGAGCCGAGATACTGGCCCGTTTTGGTGCTGAGGAAAGTAGTTCGGCAAGTTGTGTGGGGACTGTATACTAAAGCGTTTTTCTTCTCAAAGCAATATTTGTTCAAAAGAGTGATACATTTGCATCACAAAACCATCGTCGCCAAAAAAGTCAGATCTCATAATCGCTTGGCGCTATTTTCTCTCCGTACGTACCACTGCGCGCGGCCGCCAGGTGACAGCCGCGCACCGATCCATCACTTTCTTCAGTTGTTCGGCAGTGTTTACATGCGCAGACCGCCGCCACGCGAGAGAGCTAACGAGAGAGCTAGAGCCATAAGTATATGAGCCTGGTTCACTTTGTTTACTGCTCGGAATGTTAGCGACAACATGTCTGATTATGACACCGACAATAAAGACTTTGCCTTTACCACAAACCCAAGGGGAGATCTTTGTGAACGAATATACTGATGCCGAATTTCACCAGATGGAGTTAGAACGAGCAGAGAGAGAGAGAGAAAAGACAGAGAAGTGGTACAAGTTGAAGCTGGAGCCGTGAGAGACCGAGTGAACCACAATCACCATCACGTCATTTATAAACTCATATACAGCGAACATAGAGCCTACACTGTGACTGAAGCATGGACTACTAATAGAAACATAGAATCATTCACACGTCCACGTAGCTGCTGCCAATAGTGTACGCGACATTTACAATAGTAATAACAGTCGACTTATAAAGTTACGTTTTGTAGAAGCTTCACTGGTGATATGACACTGAGTGATTTACTGCACACAGAGTTACAGCTGATTCTTGAGCCTGTTCTCTTGTAAACGTAGCGGCACTTCTTCGTTCTTACCTGGTTTAGTTTCCACATTGAAGCCAAAGGCAAGAAGCCAAAGTTTCCTCAGCGCAAAGTCCGTGACAGGAAAACAGTGAAATGTGCGTGGAGATTCAGCCAGATTTTTGTTACAGCCTGGATAATCAAGAGTTCGCACCATTTTTTAGATATATTCATATGTATCTTATACAAGCTTGTATACTTATGGCTCTAGCTCTCTCGTTAGCTCTCTCGCGTGGCGGCGGTCTGCGCATGTAAACACTGCCGAACAACTGAAGAAAGTGATGGATCGGTGCGCGGCTGTCACCTGGCGGCCGCGCGCAGTGGTACGTACGGAGAGAAAATAGCGCCAAGCGATTATGAGATCTGACTTTTTTGGCGACGATGGTTTTGTGATGCAAATGTATCACTCTTTTGAACACATATTGCTTTGAGAAGAAAAACGCTTTAGTATACAGTCCCCACACAACTTGCCGAACTACTTTCCTCAGCACCAAAACCGGTCACGATCTCGGCTCACCGGGCGCTTTCGGGGGGTAAGTCGGTGTGGATGCACAACACTGATGACGGGGATGCCATACAGATTCATGTCAAAAATCCTGAACTATCCCTTTAAGTTTATCCTTCCATGCGTAAAGATATCTATCCAAAAAAGCTACCATATTTCGTGATCGATGTTCTTATTGCCAGCCTTGCCAGATCATATTTAGTTGTGTTACAGGACACACATTTCATTATTATTTCTGCTTTATATTGTTTTTGAGCTACTATGTATTGTTGTTATTGTGACATTTATATTTATATTGTTTTGATTTTACTTGTCAAGGATGTAGTTGAAGAAGTCTGTGCACCTGTAAAGAGATATTTTAGAGCTGACATACGTTAAATAAATAAAGGTTTATTGACCATTGACCATTGTAACCTGTCAAATGTAATACCAAGATTTTAAGATTAAGTTTAGTCATCATTTTTAGGCACACGTAAAATTAATTTTATATATGGTATGCTTAACGAGAGGGTATTATGCAAAGTATACATTGTTTGAGCTTTCTAAGATTGCTCCCTCATCATAAAAACATGCTTGAAGAGGTTTTAGATGTCATCCATGCATGTTTGAGTATTTTAAAGTTCTCCTCCAGGCCTTATTTCAATGTTCCTACGGTTAGCTGTATGATTCTATGCAATGCTCAGCCTCTACATCACCCATGCTCCCACACCACAATTCTCCATAAATATGTAAAAGCATGACGCAAAACCGTACACAGCATCTTGGCAAACCAGATGCAATGTGCAGTAGTTTCATTAGTGGGATGCATGCTCTTTGTATTGTGATAGCGCACTGAGGGGGGAGTGACTTAACGTGGAGGGCAAAGAGAGGGGAAACATGTATAAAATATGTTAATGCGTTGTTTCAGCCAATATAGCATTTTCAAAACAATAGAAGGTAACATGGCAATCTAAATGTGTTAGCAGTTTACACCCCATAGAAGTAAAACACCTCTTCTTTAAGACAAACATTGGTGTATCAGTGCTTCTTTGCTACACAAAATAATCTTTATCTACAGTCACATCATAATGGTTATACGTTAAATATACATTTGTGGTGGTTATATTTGTTAACTTCTTTCAGTGATGAAGACATGCAGAGTCTGGCCAGTCTAATGAGTGTCAAACCCACTGACATCGGGAACCTGGACGACTTCAATGAGAGCGACGAAGACGAGGACAGGAAGTCTCTCAACGCAACAGGTTTGGCTCAATATACAGACACGTTTTATTTTTCTAAATCACTTTGAATTCGCCTTTTATTCTAAACATTTCCATCTTTAATCCTTCGTTTCATCTTGACTGTCTTTCTTTTGGTTTTCCTGTTCTTCCATAGCTGTTTCACACACTCTCATTCGCCCAAACCGCCCAGCTCCTCCTCCTCCGTCAGATCAGAAGCCATTTGGCCCATCTTCAGGTACTTCCCTCCATCTCCCCAAATCGCACCCCTGTTGTGTCCTTTTAGATTCACCCTTCTGTAGGCAAGGGGGTAAACAACTATAGTCTATCTGTCTGGGACCCTCTCTAGATCAGACCATTTCACACATTAATGCCATTTTCTCAGCTTTTCCAACTCCATGGTTCAAACTGCATTCCTCTTCATTCACACCTATGTTCTAAATCATATGGAATCATGTGGACATCTGTAGGATAACTAATCACATGTAATAACATTAGCTGGGGCACTTTAACGCTGGAGACTAGAGTGAATTGGTTACTTTGAAATAGACAGGCAGAACATAGCTGGGATTCGTTCAGGTCGTATTTATAGATGTATTCTTTATTTTTTAGATAAACATGACCAACTTTAGGTCCAGATATCACTAGTGTCTTACAGAATGTGTAAAAACATATTGTTTACCCAGTTTAGTACATATGAATTAAATAATACAATATAATCTAATATATTTTGTAATACATTATAGCTAAAAAAAGAACAGTATAATGATAGACTTGCACTAATTGCACTTTACCCATTACCATCATCAAATTAACAGTGTGTACGCCAGTGTACAATGACTGAATCTTCCATTAAATCTGGGTAATTTGATGCCTTCCATAAAAAACACAATTTTATAATGAATAAATGCATTCTAGAAAGAGACTGTTTTTCCTCGAAACAGGACGAAAGATATTAGTACACAGGAACATATTAGCCTAATTCCTCTCTTCATTCATTCTTGTGTTATTTCTCACATTACATTTGATAAATTACAACAATCCCTTTCATACTAAGATTAAAACCATCCCATTTCCATTTATTACTCATATTATTCTGTATTTTCTCTTTGCTGTTTTTCTCTGTTCTCATCCTCTCATCACCTCATTCTCCACTCATCTATCCATCCAGCCTCATCCCGCCCACCTCTGCCCACCGCCCCTCGCCCTTCTCCACGCCACACCAGGCACTCCTTCTCCTCCGCTCCCGTCCAATCAGATCCTCAGCCCTCCCCTGGCCCCTCCCCTCAACCCTCCCCCCGATCCAAGCATAAAAAGTCAACCATTCAAACCTCCGATGGTAAACCTCAAGATGTGCCTACCGCATCTGTAACACTTCCCGACTCACTTCCTGTTGATGCCGGTAACGTGGCAACCCTGTATTCTAACAACACTCCCACAGATTCAACTTCATCTCCCATTCCTTTACAAATGACTAAAACAGATTCGAAAGAGGTTGCTATTTCGACTTCTAAACTGGCTCCAAAACAAGAACCAAGAACTGCCCCTTTGCCGTTAGTCTCATCTGTAGATATTATTATAAATTCCACATCCGCACCCGCCCCTACACAACCTGCTGCCAAACCAAACCTGGATATGAAGACCTCTCTCATCAAGCCCTCAGCACCCCAGTCCGACCCCGTCCCGCAATCTCTCTCTCATCCCCCTTCTCTCCCCAAAATCTTCCAGTCAGGGCCAACAAAAGGTATCGACTGACAGGATATTATTACTTATTTTATGCATGTTTTAAAGTTTGCATTGTGTTGCGTGGTGTTCAAATTATTTCCAAACAGCCTTTCTATATGTATGTTATATAAGAGGGTCAAGTCCTATCCATCTGTGGCTGCTTTATGTCTTCATTTCTAAAATACTTATTCTATGAAGCACAATTAGATTTTACGATTTGGACACTCTTATATCAGGGAATGCTTACTTCTCAAAGCAGCTGTTATTAAGAAGCAAGCAACATTTTGACTGTTCTTGTTTCAAAAGCAATGGAAAATTTTGTTGCAACCTCCCTCATGTTATGTGTGACCCACCCTTATGTCAAATGTACTGTTTGGGAAACACTTGCTGTGGGTTAGTTAATGCATGTGGTCATAGATTGTCAGTGACTTGCAACAAAGGCATTCCATAGTATTAAAAAAGAAAAAAAATTATGTATTGTTTGTTTTTGCTATACAATTATACTGTGACTGTCAGCCTTTAGTGTCTAATATAGTGCTAGTTTGTTTTTCAAGTTGTTCTTTTAAGGACAAGCAAAAATATGATGTACTCCTGCAGTGCACGCATCCTCTTATATTAACACTGTTCCTCTTTTTGACACCTGATAATTCTGCTGTTTCCCGCTGATAATTTCTGTCATTTCCATATTCCTCTCCTCTTCACTGTTCAGTTCCTGTTTCTACTCAACACCGCCCCCCAGAGGCTGAATCTGAACATGATGTGACTTCAGCTACTGGTCTGTGCCCTTCTAACACTTTAAATTCATTTCTGGTTTAATTCACTCATTACTTTAATTTGTCACATGCAAATACTGTTTACTGCCCCCTTCAGGCCGCTCACACATTTTCAAGCCTCACATCGTCACCCCTGTCGCTCGCCCTTCCTCTCCCTCACCCTTTTCTCCTGATGCTCCTGCTTCAACTCAAGTTCCTCCTTCTAAATCTGCTTCAGAGACAGGTATTCATTCATATCTTTTGATTATTTTGTATTCTTTTTTACTTTTTTATTTCTTTTTGGGTTTCAGAGTGATGAAAACTGATCACTGTTTCCATAGCAATTAACAACAAACAAAACAGCCTATTCTTTGAATGATGATGTAGTACTCAAAATGCAGCCTATAAACCAGAAGCTGTAAACTATTTGTAGCTTTATTATTACATCATGTACCTGAAACAATCCTTGCACGTACACAATTTTTCTTTGTAGTACTTAAATCAAAAGTCGAGTTGTTTTCTGCCAGTGCCTTTAAACTATCCTCTCTCACCTCTTTTCTCCTTCACCCCTCTATGCTGACCTCCAGGGGGCGCAGTAGGTGCTCCAGACCCCGCTCCTGTCCCTCTGCTGACCAGTCCAGATCTGGATGCCCTGTGTGACCCCCTGACTCCTGCACCTCTCTCCACCCTTCCTCTGTCTTTACCCCAACGTGCACCCGCCCCACAAATGTCATCCACCCCTTCTCAAAATAGTGTTTCTGCAAAGATACATAAACGCCACTCAGGTACATTAGGGTGGTGTATTTCCCTGTTTAATCATTCAATTTGTTGATAGTATTTTTTTTTTACTAATAATCTTGATGATGTGCACATGTTTGACAGCCCCTAGCTATTTGCTAATCTACAATCAAGTGATTCATAAGACCTTGCACGATCCTTGCCTCAATCTGCTGGAGATCTCTGAATTTGCATTATTGGCTTATAGCTAGAAAAAGCTCTGACCACTGCCAGACAATGTATTTTTGACTCTGTAATTGATCATTTTGTGCCTTTATTTTTCAGGACCATCTCTGAGCATTGTTGAAGAGGAAACTGTTACAGAGGAAACAAATAACCATGTGACTCCAAACATAAGTAGACCCCAAGAACCAGTGAAAACAACAACTCGACCTGGCACAGCACAAACTGAGAAACAAAGGTGAGCTTATCTGACACAAGTCTGGAGTTTGGCATGAAGTATTAGTCCTAAATACTGTCCTGAAAGAAACACTTGCATGCAGGACAAGTTCGTAATGCATGTTTTTGAAGTTGGGTGTTTTTGGAAGCAGTCCTTGCAGGGGCTATGCTATTGAAGGTGTAATTATATCAACATACAGTTAAACCCAAATAACATGAAATTAGTTTGTTTTTGCTGCAAGTGAAGCAAAAGAGCAACTGTAAAAAAAAAAAAAAACAAAAAAAAAACTGTCCCATGCCATGCTATGCTATGCAGAGAGGCAAAAAGGTTAGCAATGCAATGAGACAAGAGTATGATTATGCAAGACACTGTATGTGCTTCACACACGGGTTAATAGAAGTCTGAGGTGGTTGATGGTTCTGCTGCTGCAGTGTAGTGTAGTTTCATAGCTTCATGGCACAAGGAACTGAAGTGCAGAAATGTTTCCTGTGCATTAATTATGTGTATGCTCCCTGACCACACTGAGTGCACAACAGTTGATTTGACTTGCTCCTCTCCGAGCTAACACAACAGCTGTGACCCCTGCCCTTTGTCCTTTTCCTGCACGGCATTACTCTAATAAATTCCCCTTAATAAAATATCCCAAATAAGCACAACTTGACCCCATCATTTGTGTCTCCAGCTCGGGCCAGTCCCACACAGAGCTGATTGTAGCCCCACCCCCTCCCTGGCCCTTCTCCATGAGCGACAGCAGTGCTCCTCAGCAGCCCTCCACCAGCGTTGTAGCAGCTTTTATCACTCCCAAAAGAGAGTTAGACACAAAGCTGGAGCATACTGCCAGTAAAGTTAACGATGACACGCCCCCATTAGCTGAGCTGGAGGATATTTTTGAATCACCCGACCAATCACAAGACTCCGCTGGTCTGTTTTTGGAGGACGATGACTCTAAAAGCGACACAATCAAAAGATGTCCTCCTGGGTGAGTATCGGTGTTTACAAAAAAGACACACACATTATCAAAGAGGAGAGAATTTCTAAATGAACCAGTGAAAATTAAAGTACTCCGGCAAATGGGAAAATCTGTGAATGTGTCATGAGTAATTTGGTGCCTGTGATGAAGGGAGAGGACATAGGCTCAGTGAAGAGGAGGGGACAGAGAGACTGAGGGGGTTGATTGTTCTGCTGCTGTTGTGAAGATGAAACAGAGACACATGGCTCTTACTATAGGATGGTAGAGAGAGTGTATTATGTCAACTTTTCTGGTGGACGGTCTGCATGACTACTTGGAAATGTTATTGCTTTACCTGAAATTATCCACAATTTAAATTATGTATCTAAAATTAGTTACATAGTTCACCTTTAAATGAATGTCTAGACAGATGATTGGTTGAGAAAGATGATGGCAACTAATTTATAAACAGAAATAGGTGTTGTGACAGTTGACAAAAATGCTAAATGTTCATAAATTATCAACGTGGATGGAACTATAAATTGAAACACATACAGTAGAAGATAGTTATATGAACAATTTCAACATAGTGGCACACAATGAAAACAAGTTGGTGGTTTTCAGATGTCATACTCTCAGATGAGGGCAAGAGCCAATTTTCCCTATTTATATTTTGCAGTGAGATTACGCTGGGGGTGTTCTACATGTACATTTAATGGTGGAACGTTTAGGAGTTACCATGATGACACAATGCACACACTTGTAAACAGTGTCAAAAAGTTGTAAGGTTTCCCCTAATCTGAAAATGGATTTAAGCAACACAACATTTTCAGGAGCCTGTGATCAATACAAGCGTTCATGGTCCAGTTTAGGAGTTTGAGTTTCAATAAAAAGGGTGTGTGCTAGTTAGGTTGTGACAGTAATGAGATGGACTGGTTTAACAACACAAGTCAGCTCCAGCTACAATTCTTTATGGTCACATTTTGTTCAAATAAAACTCAGATGAAAGTCTAATTTAGTAACAGAGCTTCAGACAGAGCAATGACTTCAGTTAGCTTCACACCTCCAGGGAATGTTGATGACATCAGATTAGGGTGAACAGATTTTCAAAATAATAAACTGGGACATTCCTGGGTTGGACTGGTAATGATGAAATTGTGAAATGAGTGTGTAATTAAGGAAAATTGTTCTGCGCTCGGCCCATTTGTGACTAACATGAGTCAATATAGTCGCTTTGTGTTTGTGTTTTGGTGATTTTTAAGCAGCTTTTCTGTATTTTACCTAAACAAATGACAATTTATGCCTCTCTTTACTGGTGGTAGGGATCAGATGGGCCAAAAATAGGGACACAATATGACATTTCTTGAATAAAACTGGGACAAATCTCTGGTTTTGGATAAATTTGCAGGGACAGGGGACACAGGACTCAAAATTGTGACTGTCCCGCGTAAATAGGGACGTCTGGTCACTCTACATCACATGAAAAATATCAACACATGGTCACATTGTATTCAAATAAAGATCAGATTAGTAACAGACAGACAGACAGAGCAGTGACTTCAGTTAGCTTCACACCCCCAGGGATTGTTGATGACATGAAATTAGGGTGACCAGATTTTCAAAATGAAAAACTGGGACATTTCCTGTTTGGGTTGGTAATGATGAAATTGTGAAACAAGTGCGTAATTAAAGGGACAGTTCAGAATTTTGGACATAGAGCCTCATTTTCTAGTTAGCCAGAGTGTTGGAGACGTGTGGAGACCCTTTTTTAAATATTCCATCCAGTCCTTGTATTTGCAGAGGTCGCTGGTGCTAGACTAGTGCATGTCAATGGCCATAGTTATCCTACCACTAAAAACAGTCTTACCCACTCCACAAAACACCCGAAGCAAATCTTTTATTACACAAGACTGTCGATGTGAATGTCTCTATTGATAGAATAATGTTTGAAATAAGACTAACCTTGCAACGCATGAATCGTCGCATGTTGAGGGACTATTTTCTCATATATCAGTCCGCCTGCTGAGCTTTGTATTAGGAAGTACACCTCACTGCTGCTCAGACATAAATCCTTCAAATGCAAGGTTGGTTTTACTTCAAAATTTATTCTATCGACACAGACATTCACATTGACAGTATGGCTTATAATTGTTTTGGTTTGAGTGTTTTGTGGAGTGGGTAAGACTGTTTTTAGTGGCAGGCTAACTATGGCCATTGACATGCACTAGCCTAGTACCAGCGACCTCTGCAAATACAAGGACTGGATGGACTATTTTAAAAAGTGTCTCCACACATCTCCAACACTCTGGCTCACTAGGAAATGAGGCCCTATGTCCAAAATCTCGAACTGTCTCTTTAAGGAAAATTGTCCTGCACTCAGCCCGTTTAGGACTAATATGTGAGTGAGTATAGTCACTTTTTCTTTGTGTTTTGGTCATTTTTAAGCAGCTTTTCTGTATTTGGCATCAGATTGGTCAGAAATAAGGACATCTGGGACATTGCTTGTATAAAACTGGGGCAAATCACTGTTTTTTTGATAAATCTGCAGGGACAGGGACACAGGGCTCAAAACTGGGGCTGTCCCGGGTAAATAGAGACGTCTGGTCACCCTACATTAGATGCAAAATATCAACTAATTGCATTGTACTTTGCCATGAAAGATCCAAAAGGTAAATTCATACAGTAAATATTGAATCTGATCATTTCTAGACCCAAGAACTCACTGTATTACAACAAAAATCTGCATTTGAACAATATTCATTTTTATTGGCGTTGTTCTGTAGTTAAGTAGTATTATATTTGTTGTACAGTTCTGAACAGAAAACGACGGCAGTACAGTCACAAGAAGCACCAAAAGAGAAAGAGATCAAAAAGAAAGAAGAAGATCGTAAAAGAGAGGAAGAGAAACGAAAACATGAGGAGGAGAAGAAAAAACTTTTGGAGCAGGAAAAGAAACGGCTTTTGGAGGAGGAGAAGAGGAGGGTTATAGAGGAAGGACGAGAGGTTGAGAAGGAAAAGGAGAGACGGAGGCAAGAGGAGGAGAGATTGCTGAAACAGAAGAAGGAGAGACGTGAGGAAGACGAGAGGAGGAAACAGGAAGAAGGAAAGCGGAGGAAGGAGGAGGAGAGGAAACAAGGGGAGAAGTTAAGGAAAGAGGAGGAGGAGAGGAGGCAAGAGAAGGAAAGGATTTTAAAGGAAGAAAAGGAGAGGAAGAGAGAGGCGGAGGAACGAATTAAGCGAGAGGAAGAGAATAGAAGGAAGATGGAGGAAAAAAGATTAAAAGAGGAAAAGGAGAGAAAAGAAATTGAGGAAAGGAAGAAGAGAGAGGAAGAGGAAAGGAAACGACTTGAGGAGGAAAAGAGGAGGCAGGAAGAAGAAAGAAAACGGGTAGAGGAGGAGAAAAGGAGAAAGATGGAGGAGATGAGATTAAAAGAAGAAAAAGAAAGAAAGGAAATGGAGGAAAAGAGGAAGCGAGAGGAAGAGGAGAGGAAACGAAAAGAAGCTGAAGAGAAGAAAAGGAGAGAGGAGGAGGAGAGGAGACGAATTGAGGAAGAAAAACTTAGAAAAGAGCAAGAACTGAGAGAAAAACAGGAGAGAGAAAGAAAACAAAAGGAGGAAGAGGAGAAAAAACTGATGGAGGAAAAAAGGAAGAGAGAGGAAGAAGAAAGGAAAATAAAAGAAGCTGAGGAGAAGAAAAGGAGAGAGGAGGAGGACAGGAGGAAAACTGAGGAAGAAAGACTTAGAAAAGAACAAGAACTGAGAGAGAAACAAGAGAGAGAACGAAAACAAAAAGAGATGGAGGAAAAGAGGAAGAGAGAGGAAGAAGAGAGGAAGCAAAAAGAAGCAGAGGAAAGAAAGAGGAGAGAGGAGGAGGAGAGGAAACGAATTGAGGAAGAAAAACTTAGAAAAGAGCAAGAGCTGAGAGAAAAACAAGACAGAGAAAGAAAACAAAAAGAAATGGAGGAAAAGAAGAAGAGAGAGGAAGAAGAAAGGAAACGAAAAGAAGCCGAGGAAAGAAAGAGGAGAGAGGAGGAGGAGAGGAGACGAATTGAAGAAGAAAAACTTAAAAAAGAGCAAGAAATGAGAGATAAACAAGAGAGAGAAAGAAAACAAAAAGAGATGGAAAAGAAGAAGAGAGAGGAAGAAGAGAGAAAGCAAAAAGAAGCTGAGGAGAAGAAAAGGAAAGAGGAGGAGGAGAGGAAACGAATTGAGGAAGAAAAGCTAAAGAAAGAGATAGAATTGAAAAAGCAGCAAGAGGAGATGAGACGAAAGCTAGAAGAGAAAAGATTAAAAGACGAAAAAGAGAGAAAGGAAATGGAGGAAAAGAGGAGGAGAGAGGAAGAAGAGAGGAAACAAAAAGCTGAGGAGGAAAAGAAAAGGAGAGAGGAGGAGAGGAGACGAATCGAGGAAGAAAAGCTTAGAAGAGAGCAAGAGCTGAGAGAAAAACAAGAGAGAGAAAGAAAACAAAAAGAGGAAGAGGAGAAAAAACTGATGGAGGAAAAAAGGAAGAGAGAGGAAGAAGAAAGGAAACGAAAAGAAGCTGAGGAGAAGAAAAGGAGAGAGGAGGAGGAGAGGAAACAAATTGAGGAAGAAAAACTTAGAAAAGAGCAAGAGCTGAGAGAAAAACAAGAGAGAGAAAGAAAACAAAAAGAGGAAGAGGAGAAAAAAATGATGGAGGAAAAAAGGAAGAGAGAGGAAGAAGAAAGGAAACGAAAAGCTGAAGAGGAAAAGAAAAGGAGAGAGGAGGAGAGGAGACGAATCGAGGAAGAAAAGCTTAGAAAAGAGCAAGAACTAAGAGAAAAACAAGAGCGAGAAAGAAAACAAAAAGAGATGGAGGAAAAGAGTAAGAGAGAGGAAGAAGAGAGGAAACGAAAAGAAGCTGAGGAGAAGAAAAGGAGAGAGGAGGAGAGGAAACGACTTGAAGAAGAAAAACGTAGAAAAGAGCAAGAGTTAAGAGAAAAACAAGAAAGAGAAAGAAAACAAAAAGAGGAGGAGGAGAGGAGACGTCAAGATGAACTGAGGAGAGAACAAGAGAGGAAGAAAAAACAAGAAGAAGAAATGAAAAAGAAAATGGAGGAAGAAAGGAGAGCGGAGGAGAAAAGACATCTTGAACGAGAAGAAAAACTTAAAAAAGAAAACGAACAAAGAGAGAAGGAAAGAATTCGACAAGAGGAGGAGAGAAAGCGAGCGATGGAGGAGAAAAGACTGAAGGAAGAAAAGGAGAGAAAAGAAATGGAGGAAAAGAGGAAGAGAGAGGAAGAGGAAAGGAAACGAAAAGAAGCTGAGGAGAAGAAAAGGAGAGAGGAGGAGGAGAGGAGACGACTCGAGGAAGAAGAAAAACTTAGAAAAGAGCAAGAGCTGAGAGAAAAACAAGAGCGAGAAAGAAAACAAAAAGAAGAAGAGGAGAAAAAACTGATGGAGGAAAAGAGGAAGAAAGAGGAAGAAGAAAGGAAACGAAAAGAAGCTGAGGAGAAGAAAAGGAGAGAGGAGGAGGAGAGGAGACGACTGGCGGAAGAAAAACAAGAGAGAGAAAGAAAACAAAAGGAGGAGGAAGAAAGGAGACTTCAGGAAAAACTGAGGAAAGAGGAAGAGGAGAGGAAAAAACAAGAAGAGGAAATTAAAAGGAAAATGGAGGAGGAGAGGAGACGACTTGAGGAAGAAAAACTTAAGAGAGAAATAGAAATGAAGAGACAACAAGAGGAGAAAATACGCCAAGAAGAACTGAGACGTGTAGAGGAAGAAAAACTTAAAAAAGAGAAAGAGCTCAGAGAAAAACAAGAAAGAGAAAGGAAACAAAAAGAGGAGGAAGAGAGGAGACGACTTGAGGAAGAAAGACTTAAAAAAGAGAAAGAGCTTAGAGAAAAACAGGAAAGAGAAAGAAAACATAAAGAGGAGGAAGAAAGGAGACGTCAAGAAGAACTGAGGAGAGAACAAGAGAAGAAAAGACAGGAAGAGGAAATGAAAAAGAAAATGGAAGAAGAGAAAAAACGTTTGGAGAAAGAAAAAGAAGAAAGAAAAAGAAAGGAGGAAGAGGAGAGAGTGAGGAGGGAAGAGGAGAAAAGACAGAAAGAACAAGAGAGGAAGAAACACGAGGAGGAAGTGAAAAGACGGCTGGAGGAGGAAATAAAGAAGGAGAGACGACGGCAACAGGAAGAGGAACTGAAGAAGAAAAAGGAGGAAGAGATGAGACAAATTGAGGAAGAAAGAAAAAGAAAAGAAAAGCAGGAGAGGAAACGTCGGGAAGAAGAGGAGAGAAAAGCAAAAGAACTACAAATGGAAAGAGAGAAAGACGAAGCGAGGAAAAGGACGGAAGAGCTAAACAGGAAACAGGAAGCTGAGAGGATGAGTAGAAAAATGGCCGCGGTTTTGAATGAGGAAGATCTCAACAAATCGGACGAAGATAAACAGAAGATGAGAGGTTTACCTTTTAGTTTGATCGACACTACGTCCAAAGTCACGCATAAACCTCCTCTCGCCGTAAAAGCCCCTCCAAGTGCCCTCTCAGCTTCACGCCTCCCTCCTCTGGACAAACCCAGCATTACGTCTGAGCCTCCCAAAAGCTTCAGCCAATCACAGGACTCCAAAGAGCGGTGAGTCACAATAATCAAAACTAATCGGGTGATTGATTGAGGCCTGATTCCTTTCTGTGTTCGCTTTGGTGATGTGCTGCCAGCAGTGTCTCGATCATTAAATCAATTAACCAATCAAGAATCCAATCAAAAATTAATAATTGTAGTAGCTCTTACTGAAGTGATGATTGCATGTTAAAGTGTGTATGACAGGTTTTGATGACGTAACCTTTACTTCATTTGGTAAGATAATTCCTGTTCTAAATAATAGTAATAGTTTTATACCAATCAAGAAGCAATTTTGGGAGGAAAAGTTGAAAATTACAGGAGAGTACTGTTTTAGAGAATTCAATACTGACGACATCACACTAGGGAGAATACTATCCACAAGGTCCACAGTATTTAAACTTAAGTATAAAATTAAATGTATATTAACTTTCAACATTATTTCAACAAAATAAAGGTGTTTTCTTATCATTTTATTTGTCAGATAATAATTTATGTGTACATTAGAAGATGTGTGTAAAATCCCTCAGTCATCCAGGTAGAATCGATGCCAAAAGGAAAAATTCAATTTGTCAGCTAGACAAAAGTTTACTCTACTTGTTTACAGTACTGTAAACAAGTAGATGTGTTAGTTTCGGAGTAGTTTCATTGTAATTAGCTCCTCCCTTCAGGCAGATATAAGGCAGTGTCCACCAGCAATCCAGCCAGAACTGAAGAAGCAGCTTGGATGAGTGGTGAAACTTATTCAACCAAATTAACTTTTGTCCAGTTCGCAAATTGAATTTCTCCTTTTCCCATACATTAGAAAAGTTTTGACTTACTATACAGCATGGCTGTTGGTAACAGTTGGAATTCCCTAGTGCAATATCATAATTTCCAACCAGGCAGTCAAATTTGAAACCTGAAAAATTTAACTGTAAATGTAATTTTTAGTAAAATATCTTAACTGTATTTTACTTTAACCTGTCATAAGCACTTTAATTGTTTCCCTATATTATCTGGTTTGGTGGTGGTTATGCAGCGATTAAAGCTGAGGTAGATTCAGTTGAACTTAATTTTGTTGAACAATAGCTGGCCTATTGTTTGCACAAAAACTAGACAGAAGAAGTTGATCGTGAAGGCCAAAAATTATTTCATCTTGAGATCTGCAGTAGATTACTGTTTCTTTAGACATGTATATGTGTAACGAGTGGTGCATAAGACAGTTGTGAGACCAGTGGTGTGCAATTGTGAGCCAGTGGTACTGAGCAAAAGTTATTGAGGGTCTCTTTGTTTTATGACAAGAATGGGCAGAATTAGGACAGTGGTACATGAGAGGGACAGCTCAGACTGAGACTGGAGTTCAGATTGAAATGGACACATTCACACAAGGGACAGTGACTGCAAGGGTAGATGGAGGCTGACTTAAAGAAAGACCAACAATAATATATAAGTTGATAGGAGTTAGATACCAAAATATGAAGGCCAGAATTTGACCAATATTTAAAATTTGTGGAACAAGTAAGGATACAAAGTCCTTTACCTACCCCAGCTTTAATTACAAATTGCTCTATATTTTGTTTTTTGTTTATACTTTAAGCTTTCTATCTTTCCTGCTTCTGATTTCTGATACCATCTTTTTTTCCCCTTCTTCTCTCCCCCAGTCTTGAACATCCCTCTTCCACAAAGTCATCCTCAATCTCAAACAAAATTCCAACTTCCAAAACCCCTCCAAGTACAACAAAGCAAATTGTTCAAGTTCAAGAGAAATCATTGCCTGCAGATGCCATGGCTACAGTACCAGCTCCACAAAAGCTAGCAGTGGCTGAAATCCCTTTGTGGAAAAAACTGGAAGAAAAAACAGAGGCAGAAACTGAAAAAGAAACCACCATGGAAGTTATTGCACCAGATCTAAAAGATTTGAGAAGAGGGTAAGGTTGTCTGAGGGGCTATTTATCTTGCTTTTGCCCTTTCAAGTACTCCTTTGTTTGTGGTGTGCCGTGCTGGGGCTTTGCATTTGTGGTGGTGGGTACTAAAATTAAAGTCACACTGGAAATTAATGTTGTTGTTTTTCTCTTTATGTTCACAGAATGAACGATTTGAAGACAGAATCTGAAATAAAACCAGCTGTACAGGCTAAAATACCAGAAAGCATTTTGCCTATTCAACCAACTGCCCCATTGGTTAAAGAGGAACCAAAGAGACCTAGCGTTGAACCAGCAACCCAGCCGGAACCCTGCCCCAAACCAAGTACAGAACACATTGCTCTAGACCTGGCGCCACTTCTTCCTTCAAAATTACAAACAGACCAAGTCCCACAGGCGAGCTCACAACAGGATACAACCAATGTAGAAGTGAAGGACAATGAGAAGCCTGTTTTGGAGGCAGAGAAACAGCTTTGGGGCAGAGTGGAGGAAAGCACTGCAGAGACAGAGAGAGACAGAGAGAGGAGCTGTACCGAAAAGAAGGGTGTGACTGCAGGGTGAGTGACAGACGCTACTACAGGAGTTTAAATCTGCATGTTGGAATTCATTTGCTTCATAATCATGACATGCAAAGTTCTACTGGTGTCTGCATGATCCTGGCTAACTTCACTGACCTTTACATAGCCCTGTGTGTAGTATTATTTGCAACTATGGCCATATATGAGAACAGGGAGACAGTGCCCTCTCCTGGCTGCTCCTGTGGTTGAAATGCCTCAGATAGAATTGCTGTTCTCTCAACTGTACCTGACATGTGTCAATAGAAATACCGTGTTTTTCGGACTATAAATCGCTCCGCACAAGCAAAAAAATGCGCAATGAAGAAGAAAGAAAAACATAAGTCGCACCAGACTATAAATTGCATTTTTTGGGGGGAAATTTATTTTATAAAATCAGAGACCAGGAACCGACATTTCTTGAAAGGCAAGTCAAAAAACAGAATAGAGCACAGACTGAATAGGTGTCTGGTATCTTAACGTAACATATGAAGAGTTATTCAGATAACTAGAACATAAACAACATAACATAACAAGTTTACCAAACTCTCAATCTCACTCCAAATCACTAAATTCATCACTTCTGAGCAACTCCGCAACCTCCGGAGGTAAACGGACTGCCGCTTCCTCTTCAGACTCAGCATCAGTTCCAGTTAGACATCTTCCGGTCTTTCTGAATCCCGACAGGATGGTTTCTTGTCACTGAAGTCCAGGCTTTGTCCATCCATTCAACAAGTTTCTCACTCACTCCAAACTGCTTGATTACCCCTTTCAGCTGCATATTTCTCTACTTGCAGCTTGTAATCTGCAACATATGATTTTCTTTTTGGGGGCATTTTTGTTCAGTCTTCTCAGTTATCTTATTAAGTTTGTTTAAAGTTAAAATTTTTAGTGGTACAGAAGTAATGGTGCAATCAACTGACATGATACCAGACAGGACAGAGGCTCTTTCTGCAGAAGACATGCGCAATAGAGCCAAGTAACAGTGGTACAGGAGTAATAGTAGCAGATACTGACACACAAGCTGTCAGTGTGAACATTTTAATATGTAAGTCGCACCGGAGTATAAGTCACAGGACCACCCAAACCATGAAAAAAGTGCGACTTATAGTCCGAAAAATACGGTAACTAAATATTTAAATGGATCTAATCTTAGCTGTCCAATTCGAAGTATGTGTATCACAGGTTACAATGTGTTGATGTTGTATAATACATAAGATAAGATAGATACTCCCTTATTGTCTCTTTTAGGAGAGGTTCCATATACCAGTATACCGAAAATAGAGCATAGCGTAAGAGACCACAGTAATCATGATTATTGAAACTTCCTGGAGGCCTGTTTATCTCAACAGATATAGCACGATTCTTGCATTTGTGCGGTTTTAAAAGCACATTCCCAGACATACACCATTTATATATTGAATTACCATATGTGCACATTACATATGCACTGGATATCTTCTTTGTTGTTGAGAAGCTTGTGTTAGAGTGTGCCTGCATCTTCCCTGGCAGAAAATATGAAGGCAGCCATCTGTATTTTTACTATCTATAGTTTGAATAGTTATTTTAATGTTATGCAATACTTGTGTAGTTTGTTTTTGTCTCTAAGCAACCATGTGCAGGCCTGTTTGCTCTGTTCATTTTTTACTATTTTGGACTATGCACATACAGTAGATCAGACATGTTATCTGCTTTGAAAGGTCACATCTTAGACTATAACACAACTAGTGAACTTTTTACTTTCGGTTAAACGGTAAAAAAAAAAAATAATGAAGTTCCCTTTAATAAATTAAAACATAATCCAGTGATGCTATCCTTTTTGTAAGTCATTATGTTTGTTCAGTGGCACGACTTCCTCAGTGTCCTCAAATAGCATTAATGATAAAAGCATATTTTCTCAAGTTGCTTTCTTGCTATTGTTTGGACAAGTCAAACAAAGTCTAAAATACACTCAATCACGCGTGCTGTCTTCTGCGTTATATCACAGTGAGGGTTGCTTGAGGATTAGTGCTATCTCAAATTTTGCTTGTGTTCATTTGTGTGTGTCCCATAGAGTTACTCAAGCAACTTCTGTCCAGCCAAAAATGGGAATCAATGAAAAACCACCCCATAAAGCAACTTCAAACTCCACTATCCCTGATGAGGATGCCTTTGCTGTTGCGATTTCACCTCCCAAAGACTTCTGTGACACCGTAGAGGGTCAAGCTTCAACCAAAAAACAAGATCCTTCCAAAGAGACACTTAGTTTTGTTGCAAGTCTTCGCCTAGCTGCAAGTGAGAAAGAAAAAGAACAACTTGAGCAGGAGAAACTGAAAAAAGAGGAAGACATTTTAACAATACAGGAACAAAACAAAACAAAAGAGAAACATGCCAAAGATGGAGTTAAAGAAAATACAAAGAAAACTGAACCAGTGCAAAAGAAATTAAACAACTTCCCCCCTTTGAGAGAGGCTGAACTGCATGATATAACTGTTGAAAAGCAACCATGTAAAGACCAAACAGCAACGAGATCTGATGTTAACCTGCCAAATCAGACTGTTTCCAAAACTGACAATGCCCCTTCAACAAAGCCAATGACCAAAGCAGGAAATTCTGTGACAAAACCCAAAAATGTCCCATCTGGTGCTATTCCAGTGTGGATGAAGCAAGAGGAAGATGAGGGGGTAGAGTATGAGACAGGGCATGAAGATTTGGGGTCCGTTTGGCTGGCAGAGCTGTACATGGACAGGACTGCAGGGTGAGTATACAGAGTAGATAGAATAATGTAAAATATTGATGAAAATGTAATTGCTAGATGATTATTTAAAGGTGAACTGTGTAACTTTTCTGGTGGAGGTTACACAACTTGCTTGTCTCCATAGTAATTATATTGTTTTTCCTGGATTGTTCAGCATGGCATTGATTGAACCTTTCTCTCTTGCATTTATTATTGTTAATTACAGGCATTATATTGGACTTCACTTGAAAAACATGTATTCATATTATGAGCTGGGTTATTTCTCCACAGCTCTAGCCTCTATCTGTCGGCTTAGTGCAGAGGTCTTCAGCAGGGGGGCCGTGGAGGTACTGCAGAAGCATCACAAAAACTTTGCTTGATTAAACATTTTTATATATATGTATTCATTTTTGAAGGATGAGGATGAACTGGTTTTCAGTGGATTCTGACTGTTCGCTCTTTCATCACGTCTGTCTCTCTCTCTCTTTCTCTCTTCATTCCCTTGTCTCCCGCTCCCTGCCAAATTGCAAACACCTTGGCATGGATTTTATAATTTTTTTTCTAGGCTACATATGAAGAGCTCCTTTATAGCTTCACTTTTACGCATGGCGGAAATTAACGCATCACTGAAGTGAGGCAACTTCATTCCCCGGCCTGCATTAACCAGGCTCTGCACAGCCATTCTCCTCTCTGTCTGTGGAGCAACGAGGTGAGGAGGGGAAGCAAACAGGAGAGGAGAGAGAGTCATGTCTTTCCTTTTGCTCCTCAGATCAGAATGACTGGAAAAGTTCTGTGGCACATATCAAACTCTTGTCCATGCAGTGTGGCTCCTCTTGCGTTTAGTCAGATAATTTTAAAAGTCACTCACATTTTCCGTGATGTCATAGTTTCATTGCTCTGGCCTTCTCAGAGTCACCACGAGCACAAAGCGCAGCTTAAACTTAGACCAAAGCTAAATTGAGTTTAGCTTTGGTCAGACTCAGGCTTATTTCTGTCATGGAGCGAGTTGAAGGTTAAACTGGAGATGGACCTAGTTTCAGCACTGGATTTCAGGATAAGCCTGGACTTGTTAAGCGACTTTGATGAAATACCTCTCTAGTACTGAATGTACAATAAGAGTAGCTATGTTTATATATGACATTATTTAATATAAAACACAATTGTATGCCATATATATAGTAGGGGGCCCCTGCTCCAGCTCTCCATCAGTTTGGGAGTCCCTGGCCTGAAAAACATTGAAAACCCCTGACTTAGTGGATCATATGTTGATCTCCATGGAGATTTCCGGTTTAATGCCATAATGTGGAACATTTCAGGTAAAAACAAAAATATGTTATTGTCTATGGAGACAAGCAGACCCTTCACATAGTGCACCCTTTTTATTGTGGTATCCCAAAACATGTATTTGTTGATGAAAAATGTGTATTTTTTCATATACAAGTTAGGGTTACATACATACAGTATTTTACTACACAACATTATCTAAATTGGTCTTTTTTCTCTTCAGCCCAAACCAGCAGACATTACCACCACCTGCTAGTACTGGGAAACCATCTCAAGATCCAAAAAGTTTAAATACTCTTCAAAATAGGACAGAGTTTTTCCTAACCATCAACTCAAGTTCTTCTGAAGAAAATTCTCCAAAAGAGCTACCACTATCTCAGCAACCTAGGCAGGAAGTAAACATAATTTCATCCAAACAAGCCTCAAAGGAACCAACCATTCAGAATCAAGACGTTCAGACTTCTTCACTGCCTTGTCACTCTTCTGAAAATGCTACCAAGTCAACAATCGGTACTGAGGAATCCAAAACACAAACAGAAGAAAATAAAATGAATGAACAGCAAGAAAAACAAGATTCAACCATAAAAGAGCAACCTACTAAAACACTTGAACACAGCCAAGTTACTAAAGACATTCAGCTACAAGAAGAAGAAAAACTCCTATTGGCTAAAATTCGCAAAATGTCAGGTGACCAGTCCCCCATCACTGGTCCTAAGACAATGAAACGACTTATTCCAGATCCTGATGATATTAATGTAGAAGGTCACCGAGCAAGAAAAGGACATCCCTGAAAAAGATGTAATAACTACTGAATTAGATGCTGTGCAGGAAATCTCCTTATCGGAAAAACAAGAGGAGGAAAGAGGAGGTAGAAGACATGTAAGTCGGTATGGGAGATGGACTTGCTGCTTGGCACATCGGGCAGTTTGAAAGCAAGAGATTGCCTGTTAGCTTTGCATTTGCTTATAAGGCACAGGGATTTATAAATTGCATTGCTTATAATTATGTAATGTAATGTGTATTTATATGTTAATTGGTACTTATGTTAAATCAACTTTAATCATGACAATTCACTTCTGCACTAGATACAGACTTAAGGGTGAGAATACATTTTACAAATTAAATATTTAGTTTTTTAAATGGTCAATAGTCCTTGAAATTTTGCCTTTATACAGGAAACTAAATTCATACATATAATTCTTTGGCATCAAGACAATAGGCTTATGCAGTACACCAAGTAACAACAAGTCTTTTTGTAATGTGAAGTCTGATGAAATTTGACTTTGCATTGTTTTGAGAAGGTATATGAAGCAAGCTTGTTTGTGCTATTGAATTCGATCATCCAAATACTGAAGTGGCAGACTGAGCATTAAGGCCTTTTATTGCATGTTATCCTAATGTTATCTTTGCTTTGCTATTGCTCCATCTGAATATGCTTTGCTTTTAACATTCAGTCAACCCTGCAACTAATGATGTTCAGTAATTTGGCCGTTAAGCTCATTGACAATCACTGGCTAATGTTGTTTACTATTACCTATAGTTTTTTTCATTTCAACTACCTTTATAATAATATAAATAATAATTCCTTTTTTAGGCCCAAAGTCAAACTATCAGAAAACACTGATGGATTACAGAAGACATCGCTCCCAGAGAAGACACTTAATTGTCCATCTCAAAATGGCAACCACATTTCCAAAACAAAAACGGTTGTAGACAGCAGTCCCTCTCCCTCACATACATATGAAATATCAACATCCAGACTTCCAACGTTAATAGAAGAGGAGACCCCAGAAGTGAAAACTAAGTCCACAAGTGCAGGGACAGTGGTTAAAAAAGAAGCAGATGGAAAGGAGCACCCAAAAGAGGTACTGAGACTGACACAGTGATATTGTTCTCATCTCTTTGCCTTAATCATTAAGTTGACAAACACTGTTTTCATGAATGGTTCCCAGGACCTGGTGAACTCGAGTCAGTCTCTGCTGCAGTGGTGTCAGGACATCACCCAAAACTACAGAGGGGTCAAAATCACCAACTTCAGCACGTCCTGGAGGAACGGACTCGCCTTCTGTGCCATTTTGCACCACTTCCACCCAGAGAAAATGTAAGTGACTTTTCACAATAAAGTAAAATACTGGGTAAAACCTCTTGTCCATTATGTATATTTTAATTAAAGGAATACTTTTTTATCACTTACTTTAAACGATGTATGCCTAGTTGTTGTACTATTTATTATTCTATTCTATGATTGTGTTTGTATTTATGTTTCTTGTGTAGTGAGTTTGATAAATTGGATCCTCATGATATCAAGATCAACAATAAGAAGGTAAGCTTACAACCTGCTCTACCATGATTTAGCATATACTGCTAACAGTATAACAGTTGTAGCTCAATTACTTAAGTTATACTCCTGCTAATCAGAAAATGATAAAAATATCGAGGTAGAAGGATAACGTCTTCTGTCATTGTTTTGAGCGGGTATTATGGTAAATAATTTTTTAAACTGTTCCCCTCATCAAAAACATGCCTGAAGAGGTCTTAGGTATCATTCATGCATGCTTGAGTAATTTAGTGATCTTCCTGACCCTATTCAAAATAGCTATAATATTCTGTGTAATGTGCATTCCACAAGTCTCCTCCTCCAGTCATATTCCTAAAGGAAAACACTCCATAAATACACAAAAACATGATACAAAACTATACACTGCAACTTGACAAACTTAATAATCCACAAGTAAAATACCCTCTTTTAAAGCTTTTCTTTCTGTTTCAGGCATTTGATGGTTTTGAGTCCGTGGGTATCTCTCGTCTCCTGGAACCGCTGGACATGGTGCTGCTGTCTGTCCCGGACCGGCTCATCGTCATGACGTACCTGAGTCAGATCCGCTCCCACTTCACCCACCAGGAGCTAAGCGTGCTGCAGATCGAACACAACAGCAGCCAATCCAGCTACGGGCTGCCCCTCTCTGGCCCTGCCCCTTCCCAAACAGACGCTGAGGCCTTCTGCATGGCCCGGCTCAACGAGGGGGGCAGTCTGGAGGAGGGAGGGGGAGCACTGGTCGTCCCACCACCCAGAGCCAAGAAAGTGGGCAAAGGTATGAAGAATCAACATGTGCTAGGGGCTGTTTTGTTTGAACTGTATTTTCACACATTGCTTAAACACAGTAAAATGACCAAATATTTGCACACATTAGCAAACACTGTCAAAAAGTGTACATTTTAAAGATTGTCTAATAGCTTCTGACAGAGTAGTGCATTACACCTGCATAGTATTAATTGTTATGACATAAAAACAGGGAGCATTTTTAGAACTGAATATTTAGAAACATTACCTCTTTATTGTGCAGCGTGAGTTATTAGACTAAGGCCAGATTCTAGTCACAAAGTATACAGTCTTGATTGGCCCAAAATTATCTTATGTTACACTTACTTTGATTGAATTACACTACTTTAAATATTTCCAGTCACTTGCAACACCGTACACACTGTAATTTCCAAATCAAAAGCACCTGAAAGCCTGGAAGAAAGAAATAACAGACTTTGCGAGAAACACCTGAATGCAGCAGGAGATGGTTCAGTGGGTTTAATGGTGAATAATACCGGAGTTAGTGTCGAGTTGGTAGAGCCCAGATGAAGAGCGTCCAAATCCAATGGAAAACTGAGGGAGGCTAGTTGGTTTAACAGCTGGAAAGACTTATTAAAATACTGGAGACATGTGGAAAGTCATGATTACAAAATGGACACCACATGGCTCAGGGTGGAGAGCTGCAGGTGCATGAAGAGGAGATGAGTGGTTAAATTCTTACAAGAAACAAAGAAATTAGGTGAAGACAGACAGAAAATGCAGGAGGATTGGATTAGATTAGAGGTGAAGGAAAAAAATCAAGGAAATGGGTTGTGAGTTTTAACTTTATAATCATGTACTGTTGTATTTTAATTTATACAATGTTGATCTTTTATAGGGGAAGATTCAAAAACCCCAGTTGCACCTCCCAGGGCCACTAACAAAACAGTCAAATCTCAGGTGAGTTAAACAAATAGTTAAGACTATATTGTTGTTGTTGTTGATTTACATGATTGTCTTCCTTATTTTTTCCAGCAGGATGAAGATACAAGCAAGAGTATAGGTTGGTCTTACCTTCGAAATCAGTTCATTTAATCTTTTCTATTGTCAAACTAAAGTCTGTCATGTCCTGTTTTTGTCCACAGAGCAGCAAAGTAAAACTGAGATAGAGGCTCCTAAACCAGCAGAGGAGACTATGGTCAGTTTGGTCTTTCCGTGTATCGTTGGGATATCCGTTATATGTGTATTTTCATTTTCTTCAGCTTAATATTTGTCAATCAAACTATCAAATCAAAGTTGTTTCAAATCTTCACCTGTGTCTACATGCACTGCTGTTAAAGTTTTAAGTATAAACATTCATTCACATAATCTAAACCATTCTTCCATTTTTGTAGTTCTTACATTTATATTATGATCTGAATAATCATAAATATTGATTCACCAAATAACCTTGACATCCCAGACAACACTAACATTGTCTTGATAACCATTCCTAGTGACTTTATTTTTGTGAATAATTAAGTAATTTAACATAAACAGTCAGCTAAAATTGAGGGTTTTTTTGGAGTACAGATTGAACTCAAATACATTTTTAACCTTGACATCCCCAGACAACAGTGCATCTGGCTCTGTTTGTGATTTCAAAGTTGATTCAAGTCCTATCATCATCTCTCTAATCTTTTGACCCCTCTCTCCTCTCTTTTCTCTGGCTTCCTGTTCGTCTGGTCTCCTGTGCTGTGGTTGTTGGGGACTGTCCCGGCTGGTTGTTTCACGTGTGTCTGGTTTTGTGTGGTTTGGGGTCAGCGACTTCAGGACACCAGTCAATACGTCCTGAGTGAACTGTCCGCTCTGGAGACGGAGCAGAAACACATTGACAGCAGAGCGGCCGTGGTGGAGAGGAGACTGAGGAGCCTCATGGAAACTGGTGAGGACTGAATAATGGATATGTCTGTAGCTATTTCTAGTGTATTTTGCATCATATCTATAATAAAACTATACAAGCTAGTATAACTATCTACTAGACAGCAAAAAGACAAATCATATGGGCTTTTTTATATGCAGGAAGCGATCGGGATGAAGAAGAGCGTCTGATCCAGGAGTGGTTTACTTTAGTGAACAAGAAAAATGCACTTATACGAAGACAAGATCACCTTGAACTCCTGTAAGAATTCAAACTTTTGCTGGTTTGAACATTATAAAAATGAATATGTTTTTATTTTTTTTCTCTTGACTGTGCAGACAAGAGGAGCAGGACTTGGAGAGGCGGTTTGAACTACTCACCAGAGAACTACGGGTCATGATGGCCATTGAAGGTGAAGATAACTTTGTACATTTAACAGAATCTTAGTTAAGTTATCTAGTTTTAGTACCTGCATATTAGTAGTGAAATATACAAGTGCAATGTGGTCTTGTTTTTCAGACTGGCAGAAATCCTCAGCTCAGCAGCAGAGGGAACAGCTGCTTCTTCAGGAGCTGGTGTCTTTGGTGAATCAGCGAGATGAGATTATCAGGGATATAGATGCCAAAGAGAGAGTGTAAGTACAAAACATGATTATGAGACAACACATTTATTACAGTAAATGTACATGAATTGTGACAGAGGTCTGCAGCCACATAACTCTCACTTTACCTGCCCCTAGCTGCATTAATGGGCACATGGAATACTAAATGATGTCATCTGAGAGAACCTTTTTTCTTCTCTGTTTGTGTCCAGCAGCAGCAGTCTTTTTTTTTTTTTTCAAATACAATGAATAAAAAATAAATAAATATGTTTTTCCATTACACAGGGCTCTGGAGGAGGACGAGCGACTGGAGCGCGGTCTGGAGATGAGGAGGAGAAAATACAGCAACAAAGACAAATGTGTTCTTCAGTGAAATCTGTGCTTGTTTGCCATGGAGACTGTTCTGACAATTCAATTCCATTCTGTCTTAAATTAATAGTATTATTTTAATTTGTATATTATTTATTTCAAAATAATGCTGTGTTTCTTTTGCACATAGATTTAAGTGTGTCTTATTGTTCAGTATTTAAAATGGTTTTGTATTGAAAATATGGGATTTAGAATTTTGTTTTAAGATTTTTTTTTTCAGTGTTTAACTAGTGCACTCCAAGAGAGAAGAGAAAATGCCATAAGAAACTGTTGAGGCTGTTTGTACATTCTGCACACTCACTTATATATGGCCTACATTTTGAAAGTGGTCTTACAAAGGTGATGAACAGAAAAAAATAAATAAATACAACTCTTTAAATAAATATTGAGCTGGACTCAAAATTTTAATTTGTTATAGGCCTAATAATTGTGGTGGGGAATGTAATTGTCAATAAAGTATCTCTATGAGTGGCTCAATTTCTAGTTCTTTTGCACAAATTACCACACGTGCCTTCTAAAATAGTATGCAGTTTTGATGTGAAAAAGATGTATAGAGGTTTTGTGTGCTGAGTGTTTTAGAAGATGGTACACTGGTTTTCAGACGCCAGTCATGTTTAATATATTTATATCTGTGCAGTGAGAGGAATGTGGATGGTAAAAAAAAAAATTAAAAATAAAAAAGTTTCATTGCTAAATGTGTGTTTTGTATCTGTTACACATAAGGGTTTAGAGTTTACAGGCAGAATAGAAAAAAATAATGCTGAGAAAAGGAGAAATTTAATTGTGGCAGATGACGTAAATGATTGCGTGTTGAAAGTGTTGAAAGCGTTTGAAAAGCTGAAAAACTTTCGACCTGGCAACTCTTGAACACCCTTCAGCTGCACGTGGCGTGGATCTGACGTCTAATCTGATCAAATATGAATCTTTTGCGTGGATCTGTCATACAATTATGATACAATTATTGCTAGCTGAACAGAGGTCAAGCATCTTGTAGTAGGATATTTTAGCATTAAAGTTATGAGTTATTTTAGTGGTGTCCTGAGATAAATAAAAAGACGAAAAGCGCTACAGCAAGAATCAAATGCTAGGCTAACAACGTTGATCGCCTTTGTGACAGGTAAACAATAAGGGAAAATGACAGTGCATTTTATTACTTTTCAATTCTCTAAAACTGTTCGTAGATCCGGGCAGATAGTTGTAAATTTTAATTTTGCCATTCCTGCAGCATCGGCTCCCTGGTGGTCTAGTGGTTAGGATTCGGCGCTCTCACCGCCGCGGCCCGGGTTCGATTCCCGGTCAGGGAACTTACCTTTTTGTCAACTTTGAAATTCATTACAACTGTATTTAAAATAATAGACGGAAAAAAAACGAGATGAGTACTATACTCTGAAATGTAGGAGCATTTTACCATCTGTAAAGCATTAAAGGCAATCGCTTGTCTGCAGGGCTGGAAAGAGCGTGCCTTTGTTTTGACTAATGTGAAGTGACACAAAATCATGATGAAACTCTGTAGTCTTCACCTGTGCACATCCAGCTCTAATGTGCTCCAGCCTTTTTTTTTTTACCCCCGCCTCTGCCTTTTGCAGACAGATAACCACGCATATTATGTGAATGTGTTTACCAGATGTCTGTTGTTGTGATCTCTCAGTTTAGTTTAAACCGGACTCACAGCAAACAACATGTCCGTCACCATCTTGTATATACAACAACTGGTGAAAGAGTCAAATAAGGACCACTTTACCTAAAGGGACCTCTGAAAGTGAGCAGTAATTCACTAATAATCAATTTTAATCTTTCACCCCAATATCATACTGAGAAGATGGATTTATATGGTAAATTGTCAGCATCACAGCAGTGGTATAATCTATGTCAATAATGTGCTCATTCTACCGAACAGAACCTTTAAGATTTACTGCGTATTATTATAAATGGACATGAAATCAAGAGCTTTTCGGAGCTACTGACAGTTTTATTTTCAACTTTATTTTTCTTACACCCAAGCTATTTTGGTATAACTAACTTTAATTCCCTCCATTCAAATGTCTTTAACAGCAGCTTCCTATGGTTGTAACTGTTGAATCCTGACTGTTTTACTGTAAACATGCACATTTTATTGTCTTTAACGGCCAAGGATTGCCCTAAAATATTCAATGGGGAGTTGGATATCATTTACCTAAAAATATTTAAATGTTATGTTGATCCTATTGAGCTGAACATATGTGTTTTTATGTACTTCTCATCATAAAGTCTCGGCATTATTTTGCAGATGTTGCTGTTGTGGAGATTGTGTGGAGGCTGCAGTGTGGCTCAGGAACCAGGGGGTGGCACTACTGACAGAAGAGCAAAGATTCTTGGGACCTGGGCCTGTAATATGGATCTCTCTTTGGTACTGGTGAGAGATTTTTGTACATCAAGTGGAGATTGTTGTGGGGCTAACTACAATGTAGATTATGCAGAAACTGATCTGTAGAACTTTTTAAATAAATACCCATATATATAATCAAAAGCAATTGAGACTTTAAGCCTTTTGGAGCACAGCACTAAACTTTGGTCACACTGGTTAGCCATAGACACCAAAATTGTAGCCTAGTGATGTCTCTGTACTCTGTTTTGTGGTGTCTCATTGTGACTGGAGCCTCTGATGTTTTATTGTAATGTGTTGATTCCTTCCAGTACATTGCAGTAAATGGTATTTAAATTAAATCTAACATTAAAGTCCAAGATAGTAGAACAGAATCCAGTGAATGTCACAACAGTGACTTTATGCATGTGTTTTTGTGCAGCATCAACAGCAAACTCAGTCATCAAAGTATCGCACATGTTGGCTTTCGTAATGGGAAATAAATAATATTAGTGTGAGTGCATCATACTTTGATTCTTTGCCGTTCACACGAAATGTCACGAAATCTAGATTTTACCAGCGCCAGTGTCTGGAAATACAGTGTTAGATGTACTATAGTTGGAGAATAAATACTTGCATCACATTTATTTTGATCTAAATATAAAGATGTCATTGCTGGGACTCACTTTTTAAGTAGTAGCCAAGTTTAAGCAGTAAATTCAGTGTTTTGAATTCAACTCAGACTACCAAACTCTGACCTAAATCAAGAACAGATGTTGCTAATAGCTGGCCTGATTTTCAAACAGTTTTTCATCTATTTGAAAATGTGTCTTCTTATTTTGGTGAAGACTGTCTAATCACATCAGTCACGAGTCTTGTTTAAAAGGAGTAATACGTTTAAAGCATATTATTGGAGGAGAATGGAGCAGTGGTTCTCCTCCAAGCTCTTGGTGCACTGCCACTGAGTAGTGAAAATTACAGTTAGTAGCGTTAAAAGTGTGCTGTAATGACACAATGACAAAAGTACAATACCATCCCTCTGGAAATATTCCTCATTCTTACCAATTATAATATAATACCAGAATGACGTCAACTCTGATCTACATGACATCAGCACAAAAATACTCTCATCCACTATAATTTATAAAACATGTGATTGTTTTTTTTTTTAGTTTCTGTTGAACTGTACCTATAGACTGTCACTGTATCCAATGGCGGTCTACCACCAGGTTTCACCTCTAGTCTCCGTATGTTAATCCCAGACATCCTGGTCTTGTGAAACTTGTCATTTTCTTACGAAACAAAAGCATTTTATTAAGACTTTGGGCCTTTATATGTGTGTGGGAGTCACAAGAAGAGAAACGATCCTAGCAGCAGCACAGACATTTCCTGCATGGCTGAAAATATTTCCTACTGTATTGAAATTGAACACGGGTACAACTTTGTCTGGCTGTAAAGAGAGAGAGAAGACAGAGCTAGACCTGAGAAAAACAGACGAACTGTGAAAGTCAGCGACGGAAAGCAAGCATTAGTGGCACACATTGGCAGATAGAATTGAAAGTTTTCTGCTCATTAAAGTTATTTTATTTGACAATGAATTGGTTAGCCTTTCCACAAACTATTTTTGAGTCATTCATATCTTTTGCAGTGTTTTTCTGAGCAGCCAAGTTAAGACCTTTCCCATCAGACCTTAGGTAAACTAAGTTCATTTTTTACCCCTTGTGATATTTTGTGTGCAGTGTTTTACTGACTTGTATGGTTATAGTTTTGAAGCTTTGTATCTTGATTTTTTAAAAGTTACATTGTGTCAGTCAAAAGCTTTTCTCCATAGAGATGTTATTTCTTTGTCTGGAATCTTGTATTAAAACTTTGTCTCTTCATGGAGACCAAACCAGATCAAGTTACAGGTCAGATCTATGGAGAGGCAACCCCGCTCACAGTCAGAATGCCTGTTTTTCTACATATTTTTTTAATTAAAAAAACACCTTTAATTTAATAACTGTAAGGTAGAGCTGTTTAATGTCACAGTGTGAAACATTTCAGGCACAGCAATGACATCTCCTCTGAGTAAATCCTAACTGTCTGTCGATATCATTTGTGAAGTCAATGCTAAAACGACATGAGAAATCGATAAACAGCAGCAAGCTTAGTGTAGTCATTACAATTAAATGGAGTTTGAATACTGCACTTTTACAGAAGGAGCCGATGCACATGGCCTCATTAGCCACTTGGGAGGCCTAAATGAAATATTAATGTGCCTTTATTACTTAAACACTTGGCCTCTCTATTTGCTTTTGAAAGAGATATGTGCATGATATAAGAATTAGGGCTTAGAACTGCAATTTTGGCAAAGTAAAAGCTCTCAAGACAATCCTATAGGCCTCCATAATGCTACAAATTACTCTGTCGAGCAGTGTGAGTAACTTAAAACCATTTTAGGTGTGAAGTTCTATAAATGGATTTACACTTACTACGCCAGTCAAGAACGCCATCTTTTTAGCACTGCATTTTAAAGAGCCCATATTACGCTATTTTATGATGTATGCTATAATGTTTTTCACATCACATACCTGGAGTTGTTTTTTGTTTCATTCACACATGTTTAACACACAAATCCTTCTAATTTAAACTACCACTTCATGACATCACCAGGTAGTAGAAGAGACCATTTTCAGCTTTGGAGATGTAGACAGACTAAACACCAGGATCATTCAAACGTGTGAGTGAAACAAAACACACCTTTAGGTATGTTTTTGATGTGGAAACAACATAACATGGTTTAAAGCTCACCAGTTTTGTGTAATGTAGGACCTTTAAAACTTTGCCCTCCTTTTATGATCTTGTGTGCTACCACCATCCTGCACAATTATTTCAGTGTTGTTTTTTATAAATGTCAAAAGTTGAGTTAATACTTCTAAATTAGAATAGAAAGCCTGGTTTATGTAAGATCTAAGGATTGAGTCACGCTCTGAATAGTTTCCGAAGAAGAGGACAAATGAGGTTAGAAACGCTGACAGCAGACAGAAGCAATTCCAGTTACAGAGAGAGCATTGAAAAGTTTAGGAAGTGCAGAATAAAGGGGGCTTTAGGGGGGTCCTGGGGTGGCCCTGGGGGATAGGGGAATGTGAAGGAGGAAACCAGTAAGGACTGAGGAGACTAAGGGGACAACCCACGAACAGAGGGTCAGGAGGGATCAGAGCAAAAGCTGTAGGTGTAATTTGGGGTCAAAAGTTACGTCAGAGGCCAAAGATTTATGATACTCGGTAATGAGTTTTTATAACATAATAAGCTACTTTAAATTGCTTTCTTATGAGTTACCTCAATAGGCTTGGACACACACAAAGGAAGCTGTGT